AAGCCCGTGAGGATCGTCACGGGCAGGTGGCGCGTCGGCGGCGCCAGAAGGAGCTTTTCGTAGTGCAGAGAGAGGTTGAGGCGGTCGACCTCGAGCTGCGCGCTGCTGCGGGCCATGGCAAAGGCAATGTGCTGGCCGATCGACGGAAATCCGGATAATACAAGCGTATCCGGATACTCATGGGCATCCGGATATCGAGATGTTGGCGCCATGCTTGATGTCGACGAAGGCCCAGACTCTCGGTTGCCAAAGTCCTCATCTTAGAACGAGCGACTCCCTCCTAGGGCACGTGGCTCTTCAATTTATCTCGACCATGCAACTACACGACTACCACTAATGCATATTATGCTGCGGAGTGGCCATTGGGCGTTGACCCCAAGGGAAACATGATTCCTTTGGTTGCCCCTCACGTTGCCGTCCCTACTCGCATTCATCCCATAGCACGTGCTACGAGGGGTGCTCACGACAGGATTTAGAACGCTTGGTGGCAACCCAAGCAAAGGATGTACCGTGCTGTGCATGGTATCGACCGATGTACCCAGCGGCATTGTACGCTTTATCCTGTCGCGCTGCCACGTGGTGTCCTCATTGTCGTATCCTGCAACCAAGTGTCAAGCCAGCGCTCGCCGCCCAGTGCGTCATGGCGGCGCCATGCGCGTCGATCATCTCGTGCGTCGGGAACCAAACGACTCGGAACTGTACGATGGCGCTGGCGAGTGCGAATATGGAGTCGTCGACCGAGTACACGTCGGCAGTCGCGACACGGCCAACGTCGCGTACACTGCGTGGTATGTGTGTTGCGCAGGCGCTGACGTGCATAGAGATCAACCAGAGTCCGCTGCTGTCGACGACCGCGTCGGTCGCGGCCAGGCGCATGCTCACACGGTCCTTGGACGCTGCGACGCAAGAGTTGCGTCACGCGATCGCCGGTTTCAACATGAACGTCAAGTTTGCAATCGGGTCGAATGTCGTCGGCGCACTCCTCAACGTGACGTCGGCCAACTTGACAGAGAGCTTGACCGCCCAAGTGCAGACTATGTTTGCTGGTATTGCGACCGTCACGGTCATCACAGGGAGCAACGCGACGGCGTGGTTCCTCAGTATTTGGTACGAGGGGTACTATGGCCCGCCACCGGCGCTCACGATCTATGGCTCGCACAACGCCTCACGATCGACGTAGCATCCCGCCAGTTTGTCAACGTCGTGCCCTACAACCCCTTGTCCCGTACTAGACCAGTCACCTGCAAACCTGCACGTTCAAAGTTGATTTGTGGTGATACATCTTCTCTATCATGCTCCTCTACGTCCTCTCTCAGCTCTAAACGTTAGCGCCGAGCCGCATATAGTGAGCCGGTCCCACATCCTGGGCGGCCACGGGGCCAACGACGCTGCCTCGTCTGCGTCTCCCGGCATCATTGCGATGATTGCCACCTACCCGCAGACGCACGTATGCCCCTGAAGAGGTCTTGGCCGCCGATGTGCAACCAACATGTACGTCGTAAATCTCCATCTGCACGGGTCGACGAGCTCGCTTCATCGTACTGCCACGTCACAATATAGCGTGGAGTATGGGATACAAATAGAGAGAGCATTTGAATTCTGAAAAAGCTCTCCACTGGTTGGTCCACAGCGGCTCGGGCGTGGATTGGCTAAAAATGGGTCCGGTTTGAAGCTCGGTGGCATAATCCACGCACTTTAAACGAAAATCGTGCATGTGCATACAAATATAAAGGTATATTAAAACCTTAGTATATTAATATTCCGACCACGACCATCGGCGAGGTTCATTCTGCGAGCTTGCGAGACGAAGAAGCATGGGTGTCCCCGCGTTCTACCGCTGGATCAGCATGAAGTACCCCAAGACGGTGGTCTACGCCACCGAGGACCCGCCGACGAGGCTCGAGGGCCGCGACCGCTTCGGCCTCATCGACATCGAGGCCGAGAACCCCAATGGCACCGAGTTCGACAACCTCTACATCGACATGAACGGTATCATCCACCCGTGCGCGCACCCGGAAGAGGGCGAGCAGCCCAAGACCGAAGAAGAGATGTTCATGCGCCTCATGGACTACGTTGACCGCCTCGTGGCCTGCGTGCGCCCGCGCCGCCTCCTCTACATGGCCATCGATGGCGTTGCACCGCGTGCCAAGATGAACCAGCAGCGTTCGCGTCGTTTCCGATCTGCTCAAGAAGCGCGCCAGCGCGAGGAAGTCGACGCCGAAGCGCGCGAGTACATGGCGCTCATCGGCCACAAGGTGCCGGCCAAGCAGACGCCGTGGGATTCCAACGTCATTACGCCCGGCACCAAGTTCATGGCCAAGCTCGCCAAGTTCATGCGCTTCTACGTCCGCGATCGGATCAACTCGAGCCCTGGCTGGAAGAACATCAAGGTACTTCATAGATGCATGCTCCATCTCTCATCCGTCTTCTCGATAGGTGCTCTTTTCCGACGCCGGGGTTCCCGGGGAGGGTGAGCACAAGCTCATCATGTACATCCGCGACCAGCGCTGCCAACCCGACTACAACCCGAACCTGCGCCACGTGCTGCATGGTCTCGATGCCGATCTCATCATGCTTGGGCTCGCGACCCACGAAGCGCATTTTTCGGTCCTTCGCGAAGAAGTCCTCTTCGGCAAGGCCAAGTACGAGGCCATTGAAGCCAAGGCGCGTCTCGCGGGCAACGATCCGTCCAATGCGAAGCGCAAGGCCGGCGAGTACGGCGAGCACGACGCAGCCATGCTTGCATCCAACTTGAAGCCGTTCCAGTTTCTTCACATTAGCACACTGCGCGAGTACCTCCGCATTGAGTTTGAGGTACGTCGCTCATTCCGAACTGCTTCTCGTCCTCATTCCGCACTCTCTAGCCCGTCGCTGGTACCTTGCCCTTCCCGTACGACTTCGAGCGCATCATTGACGACTTTGTGTTCCTCTGCTTCTTTGTCGGCAACGATTTCCTGCCGCACTTGCCGTGCATGGACATTCGCGACGGCGCCGTCGACTACCTCCTGCTCGTGTACGCCAAGCTGCTTCCGTCGCTCGGCGGCTACATCACCAACCCCGGCGGTGAGATCGATCTGTCCCGAGCTGACGTGCTCCTCGCCGAGGTCGGCACTGTCGAAGAAACCATCTTCCAGCGCCGCATCGAGAAGGAGCGTCGCAACGTCGAGTTCCAAGCGCGGCGAGAGATGTACAAGAAGCGCGATCAAGTCGCCGCCGAAGCGGCCCGCGGTGACGCAGTCTCGGTCAAGCGCCACAAGGACGGCCGTGGTGTGGCCACGCCCTCGAACGAGGTGTACACACAGCTCGAGCCCAAGCAAGCGCTGAAGGAGCGTATCAAGCAAATGGAGCAAGCCAAGCTCGACAAGTACCGCGACGAAATCAAGGACACGGTGCGCCTCGGCGAGCCGGGCTGGAAGACCCGCTACTACGAAGACAAGCTCAAGGCCAACGACATTGAAATCGGTACGTGTCCTCTTGTGTTCGAGACGATGTATGGACAATGCGATTAGGTGGCGGTCGCGAGCGCGTCTTCCAGGCGTACATTGAAGGCCTGTGCTGGGTCATGCGCTACTACTACGCGGGCTGTGTGTCGTGGACGTGGTTTTACCCGTTCCATTACGCGCCGTTCGCCTCGGATCTCAAAAACATTGACCGGTACGAGATCAAGTTTGATCTTGGTCAGCCGTTCTGCCCGTTCGAGCAGCTCATGGGCGTCTTCCCTGCCGACTCGAAGCATGCGATCCCCAAGCCGTACCAGTGGCTCATGACGGACCCCGAGTCGCCGATATTGGACTTTTACCCGGAAGAGATCCCGCTCGACCCGAACGGGAAGCCTGTGCCGTGGCTTTGGATCGCGCTGCTGCCGTTCATTGACGAGAAGCGCCTTCTGGATGCGATGGCGCCGATGAACGCCAAGCTCACGAACGCCGAGAAGAAGCGCAACGAGCGCTTTGGGAAGGAGCTCATCTTCTTCCATGCGAACGCCAACCAGCCGCTGCCGACGCCAACGAACTCGCCCGTGGCGCTCGTGCCGGCGACGTTTGAGATGGCGGGCAGTATGGCGTACCACGAGCCGAGCTTCTTTCCGGAAGGCTGCATCGTACCGAGCCCCGAGAAGGCCAAGATCGAGCTCCTCGACATTCGCAACAACAAGTGCCTCAGCTTTGAGTTTCTCTCGCCGCCCAAGAACCGCCATCTCTCGGTCTTGCTGCCCGGTGCGATCGAAGACGAACCGGTGCTCGTGACGCCTGAAGACCGCGATGTGCGCGCGCCCTTCTTTGGCAACGCCAACATTTCGATCATCGACATGGCCGGCGCCGCCCGAACTGCCATTAGCGTCCGCAACCATCAGCGCGGCGGCGGCCAAAACAACCACAACCGCTTCCAGCCGACGCAAGGTCAGCAGGGGTGGGGGACCCCGACCCACAACAACTTTCTCTACGTCCCCAACAGCAACAACGACCAGCAGGGTCCGCCGACGACGTCGGGCTTTCGGCATCAAGCGCCGTCGGGTGGGCGCGGTGGCTACCAGGGCGGTCGTGGCGGCTACCAGGGCGGTCGTGGCGGCTACCAGGGCGGTCGCGGCGGCTACCAGGGCGGCAACAGCTACCAAGGTGGTAGTGGCGGCCGTGGTGGCTATCAAGGCGGCGGTCGCGGTGGCTATCAAGGCGGTGGCTACCAAGGTGGTGGCGGTGGTTACCAAGGTGGTCATGGCGGCTACCAGGGCGGCCGTGACTACCAAGGCGGTGCCTCGTATTCGAATGACGCACAGCAGCAAGGTGGCGTCGCCGGCTCGGGCTTCGGCCCGCAGGCGCCCAACATGGATGCGCTCAAGGCCGGCCTGCGCAACATGCACGCGCAGCGCGGCACATATGACAAGGCGCCGTCTTCCTCGTACCCCAACCAGCGATACGACCGGTAAACCACGTAATACTTGCTTCATAAATCCAAGATCCCGTGTTTTATCTATCCAACTCTTGTCTCTTTCGTCTGTCACCAGACGTTTGACCATAGATAGACACCCTCTGGCACCCACTCGCATTTTCACTCGGTTCTGGTTCGCGCATTTTCAGAATCGGGAACCACATGAGGCCTCATCGATTCCAGTACTGCTACGCAGATTACTACGATGCAAAATGATGCAAAACGATCGAGTTCAAACGAGCCCGAGGATGGCCTTTCACCGAGAAGCTCCTTATCTGCGGACCAAGTAATGACGATGTTGAGGACGACCACAAGCTTTTCATGTCAATAAATGCCACCTAAGATCATATTCTCGAAATGAGACCTTACCCCAGCAACATAGAACTGTGACTTGTGGTAAGGCATCCAGTTGATAGCTCTAGACCCGCACCTTCACTCAGCTCGTCGACAGCAGCAACGAAGCGACGCGACGATCACTTTCCCCGAAGGTGCTCCTGGGCGGTGCAAACCTCTAATTTTGAATACCGTTAGATATGCGTTGCTAGAGGTTCTGCACGCCATTGGTCCAATCGGTTCTTTTGGAGGCCATTGACAATCCAATTCGGGATCAGCAGAAATCATCAGCATGGGCATCCGAGGCCTGACGTCGTACTGCCACGCCAACCAAGCCGACTGCGGCGACGCCGACGTGGACCTAAGTGGGCAGACGCTGGCCGTCGACCTCGACTCGTTCCTGCACTACGCGTGCGAGCAAGTCTCCAAGCAGTTTGCGCCCTTTGATGCGAGCTGGGTGCTCCTCGGCGGTAATCGCTTGCCCACTTCATGACGAGGCCAACGACGTGCATCTTGCGATAGGCGACCAGCGCGCGCTATACCTCTGGGTCCAGGACTGGATGAAGAAGTTCTTCCGCGCCAAGATCCGCCTCAAGTTTGTACGCGACCCGCCCGGCCGCTTGAACTCGATCAAGGACGTGACCCACGAGAAGCGTGCGGACGAGCGCGCCGAGAAGAGCGCGATCGTTCGCGACGGTATCTTTGCGCCGGCGCCCGAGGTGCCCGAGACCAATGCCGAGGTGGACCCGACGACGATCCGCGTCGACGAGAGCTCGGCCGCCGCCAAGATCGCCGTCGAAGCCCACGCTGTGTTTCCCCTTGCCCGTGCCACTGTGGTAGCGTCCTTCCTTCGTGGATTCGTACATGAGAGTTGATGCCATGCTGCAATAGGTGCGTTGCATTCAACATGCGGGCTGCTCGCTAATTACGACGAGCGTCGAGGCCGACGAAGCCCTCGGCAAGATGGTGCGGGACGGCCTCGCCTTTGCCGTGCTCTCCCAAGACTCGGACTACCTCCTCATGCAAAACGTCTCGTACATTCCCTTCCCGAATATCATCTTCAAGTACGCTCCTCTCTGCGCATCGCATGATGCTGACTGTACGACTCCTAGGGAGGACGAGACCGTGACAGCCTTTGTCTACCGCGCGACAAAGGTAGCCGACTGCCTCGGCGTCGCGCCCACCAAGCTCATCGAGGTCGCGCTCGCATGCGGCAACGACTTTACCCCGTACCTCGAGCGCCATTTCGACTTTGCGTCGCTTCTCAACTTGCCGTCGCTCCGCCGTGCAAACGGGCACCTTGGCGTGCAGGCCAGCGTCGAGTGGCTTGGGAGCCAATTTGGCGAGACCAACTGGCTGGACGACCCGTCGTTTCAGCTGTTTCTGAGGAGCAACGCGTCCGCACTCAGCTACGTCTATGCGATCTACAGCTTTTACGGCGCCGACGACCAGTTCCTGTCGCGGTACCCGACTGCAAACCGGCTGTCGTGCCTCCCGCCCGCCGAGTGGAAGAAGGCCATCAAGCTCCTCGACAAGCAATCGTACCCGAACTTTGCCCTCGACGTGCTCTACTGCCAAGAGCGCCATTTGAGCGCGCGGTTTGCCGCCCTCGAGTCGCACCCGATCGCAATCGAGGCCAACTGCCTTGTGTACCACGCGCTCGGACAAACCCAACCGGTTGTCGAGATCCTTGCCGACGGCAGCACGCGCAGCATGACGCCGCGTAGCAGCGACGGCAAAGCCCCGATCCCGATCCACCGGCTCTTGGCCGTTGGGAAAGAGGCGCGGGCGGCTGCGTTTCAGCGCAACGTGGTGTTTCTTCTGGCCCAACACCCGGCGCTCCAGTCGCGCCTCCAGGCTTGGAAGGGCGCCAAGACCCACTACGAGCTCCAAGTGGTGGCCAATGCAATGTCGCTGCTCGTGCCGACGCTCCACGAGCGCCTCCACGCGTACGTGCTGCCGCTGCTCTTGACGGCTGCCGTGTGCAAGACGATGCAGAAGCACACGACGATTGTGCCGCTCGCAACCGTTGCGAATGCGGCCGAGATGGACGCCTCGGTCGTCTTCCGCTACTGGATCGACTGGCAGCTGCATCACCTCAAGATCTTTGGCTTGTCGCCGCGCCTCAACGAACACGCCTTCTTCTCGGCTGGTGTCTTTTCGACAATCCTGTCGCTGGTGACGCCCCAAGTCTACTCGAAGAACCACGTGAACGCGGTCGCGCGACACTTTTTCGGGGACGACGCCACTTCGCTCCAGCTCTGTTCGTGGTCATACTGGATGCTGGCGCCGCTCTTTGAAGAGTACCAGCCGCCGCCGCTGCCGCTGCTTGCTCCGAAAGGCGCGCTATTGCCGTCGGTGCTGGCCAAGCGCCTTCGCCGCCCCAAGACGACAAGCTCTACTGCGCCATCCACTGCGTCGCTCACGACGCAGCTCGAGCAGCTGCAGTTGAACCCGCCGATGCCACCGCCGTTGCCGCTTCAGCCCCGCGCGCCGCTGCCGCCACGCGAGCCGGTGCACATTGAAAAGCTCATTTTCACACTGCCCGTGTTTGCGCATAAGGACGAACTTCTCAACAATGTGGCCAAGAACCCGCTGACGATCATCCAAGGCGAGACGGGCTGCGGCAAGAGCACGTCGGTGCCGCAGTTTATCTTGGACGAAGACCCGACCGTCAACATGTACATTACGCAGCCCCGGCGTGTGGCCGCGATTACGCTGGCATCGACGGTCGCCAAGATGCGCGGCGAAGACGTCGGCAACACGATCGGGTACCGCGTCGGACAGTTCCAGCGCGACTCGAAGGCGACGCGCATCACGTACGCGACGACGGGCTACATGCTCGAGCGCATCATCCACTCGCCCGAATCGATTGCGCAAGTGACGCACCTCGTGCTCGACGAAGCGCACGAGCGCAGCATGGACATGGACCTCCTTTTGCTCATGATCAAGACCAACTGGCACCTCTGGCCCAACCTCAAGCTCATTATCATGTCGGCCACCATGGACGCGGCCATCTTCTTTAAGTACTTCAAGGAAGGCCTTCCCTCGCCGCTTGCGTGGAAGAAGCCGCTGTTTGTCGGCTCGGCGCTCTACGATGTGACGGCCATTTACATGGACGAGGTCCACAAGCACATTCCTGGCATCGCCGAGATTGCTACGCTGGCCAAGAAGCTCACGACGCAGCTCGCGGGCTGGAAGAAGACCGACTTGGACCCTGAAATCATGGGCAAGAAGATCACGCAGGTCGTCCCGATCCAGCTCGATCTGTGCGTCGCCCTCGCGCTCCACATCACCAAGACGGTCGTCGACCCGTCGTGCATTCTCATCTTCCTCCCGGGCATCTCGGACATTCAGTATGTCCACGAGCAGCTTGAGAAGATGCGCGATATCCAGCTGTTTGTGCTGCACAGCGAGCTCGACATTGAGGACCAAGAGAAGGCCTTTGCCGTACGTCCACGGACGGTATCACTGCAATTGCTAAGCGATGTGTGTAGCCGGTGGACGGCAAGGTCAAGATCATCCTCTCGACCAACATTGCCGAGAGCAGTGTGACGATCCCGGACGTGACGCACATTATCAACTCTGGCATGGAGAAGCAGATCATGATGCCGACGACGGGCCACATGGAAGTCCTTGTCCGCTCGTGGTGCTCGCAGGCGTCGGTCAAGCAGCGCTCGGGTCCGTCTCCTCTTACGTTGCAACGAAGCTCATGACCCTTTCTGTGTGTAGGCCGCGCGGGCCGCATTCGCCCGGGTACGGCGTACCACTTGTTCACAAAGTCGTTTATGAACGAGTGCATGGCTGCGTACACGACGCCCGAGCTGCTCCGGAAGCCGCTCGACAAGATTGTGCTCCAGCTCAAAGCGCAGCTCGCCCACATTGACACACCGACGAACCTCCTCAAGAATGCGATGAGCGTCCCGAACCTCAACAACATTACCGGCGCCTACAAGGTGCTGCACGACATGGCGGCCGTCACGGAAGCCAACGAGACGACCACGAACGCCATCACGCCCTTTGGCGTCTTTTGCACCAACTTTCCGCTCGACGTGCGTCTCTGCCGCCTCCTCATGTACGGCCTCAGCGCCTACGACCTCGGCATGCAGCACGGCCTCGTCGATGTGATCATTCTCGCCAGCATCCTCGCGTCGCCCGATCTGCACGTAGCGCCGTCCCGCTTTCACATTACGAGCGCGGGCAAGTACATGGCCGAGATGAAGCATGCACTCGAGGTAGACTCTTCTTGCGTGCTCCAATACGATGGTGACATATATGTGCACTGTAGGGCAAACTCTCGCTGCAGAAGGAGGAAGACGACGACCAGCCGCTGTGGAGCGAGCCGCTCGCTATGTGGCGCCTCGTCACGCGCTGCCTGGCGCTGAAGTCGAAAAGCGCGGTGCAGCATTTGTTGCGCAAGCACGCGATTGCGACACGCCGCTTCCAGACGATGTGTGTGCTCATGGGCGACGTGTGCCTCCGCTTTGTGCGGCTTGCCAAGCGCCAGGACTTTGCCCACTCGCGCGCGCTGCAACCCTCGGTGTTGCGCTCGGTCATGGCGCTCGAGAAGTTTTGCAACAAGGGGTTTTGCCCCGACTGGAAGCACCAGCACACGCCCGTGCCCATGCTGCGTCTCGTGCTCCTGCTCAACTACACGGACAGCCTGGTGGCCGGGAGCTTGCCGACCCCGGGTGCGAAGGCCAAGAAGGGATCGCCCAAGCCCAAGACGGGCCCGGTCCACGCCACGCTCACGATCGACGAAGAGAGCAAGTGGGCCAAAGGTGTCCCTCGGGATGACCTGCTGCGCACGCTGGGGCCCATCACCCGCGACGCGGCGAGCGAGATTCATTCGCTCAAGGTCGATGCGAAGAGCCTCACCATCCTCTTTGCGACGACGACCAACAATGACGAAGAAGACGCCAACCCCTTTAACGGGCTTCCGTTTGGCCTCTCGCTGCTGCACTTTATGCGCGACCGATCGTTCCCGATCGACGTGTCGACTCTGCCGCTCTGGGAGCCAAGTCCCGGGTCGTTTGACTCGATCCGCCTTCGCATGCCCCAGCGCCAAGTCGTCGGCTGCAGTTTGATTGCGTGGAAGCAGCTCCTGTCGGGCATCAAGGTCAACTGCTCGGGGCGCAACCCGATGGGCCTCCCCTTCAAGTACCTCAACAAGGACAACACGGTGCACGGTATCTTTTCCGAGCAGCTCTTGACGGGCGATGGATCGATGATGCTCGGCGGCAAGTGCACGCTCCTGCCGCCGGCGGTCGACAGTTACCTTGCGATTCGTACGTTCAATGGCTGAAAAACCTTCTCATGCTATGGTTAGTGATGCTGCTCTCGGCAAAGCGCAGCGTGTGGTTCCTTATGGACAAGACGGGGCTTCTTTGCGTAGCGCTCAAGGTCGACGGTCACAACTACTTGCTGCCCGAAGGTGTCGCGCTCCCTATTCGATCGGTCATGGCGACCGTCAACTGGATCCGGAAGGACCTCTCGCACGGCCTCACCAAGCCGCTGCGATCAATGAACGAGCCATCGACCAGCCTCAGTGGCCCCGAGATGGACGCGCTCTTTTCGACGACCAAGACCAAGGGCAAGAAATGGGACTGGGTCCAAATGGAGCTCGAGGCCGCGTACTTTGAGCCGTTTCCGCAAATCATGCTCGACGAGGATTAGGGTCGCCACGTCGCTGCGTTGCTCTTGACATTTCATTTTATACAAACCTTTCTGGGTGCTTCCTTTCGATCATCTCGAACTCAGGACCTGTCGAGCATAACGCTTCAGTCGATAAGACCAACGACGCAAGCTCGTCACTTGAGAAGCGTCCGTAGCTGGCCTAATACCTGCGTCCATCAACGCCAGAGACAGCTTTCTTCGCCGGTTGTCGGCCTCGACAACGAACTTGGGATCCCTTGACAAAGGGCAACAAATCTCTCCTACATCAGCCGTCGCTATTTTCTGCTATAACTTTCCGCTGTAGCTACATAAGACTCGCATCGTGTGCAGCCAACCGTAACAAATTAGCACCGGGAGAACCATTGCTCGAATGGCCATGATGAAGATGGAGGCGCGTGTGATGCAAATCAACACGTTCTCCGGACAGGTCTTGTATCCGGACTTATATCCGGTTGCGTTTGGTTGGATCAGGGCCAATCGGCTTTCGTGCTCGCTCCGAGTTGCCACAAGTCGAAAGATGGTGCACGCGCGTAATCGCCCGGGCAAGGGCAAGGTCAAGGTCTCGCGCAAGTCCAAGCCGATCCGCAAGTACAAGACCAAGTTTGTCGGCGACGGCGAGATCAAGAAGCTCTGGGACCACAAGCTCACGACCAAGCAAAACTACGAAAAGATTGGGCTCAACCGCGACCCGAACGCGATTGCGCAGATCCGGGCGTGCACGGAAGAGATCATCGACCCGGAAGAGCTCTTTGATGTGCCCGACTCGGACATCCTCAACCTCAACGACGAGCGCAATCACAAGAAGGCCGAGAACCACATGTCGGAGATGGAGGTTGCCTACTTGCGCCCACTCCTCGCCAAGTTTGGCGACGACTACGCCGCAATGGCCCGCGACATCAAGATCAACAACGAGCAGTGGACCGAGTCCAAGCTCAAGCGGCGGTGCGCGCGCCTCAAGCTCGTCGATGCCAAGATCATCAAGTAGTTAGAAAATTAGTTCGTGTCCATAAGATTAGAGGTGCTATTACTTGTAGCGTTTCATGCGGCAGAGGAGCGCTAGATATAGCATGAGCAGAAAGGTAGAGAGGTCCAAGAGCTTACCTCGCTTGGCCGCGCGGAGCTGATTTTGCACTTGACAGCGCGGACACGGCCCGCCCTTGCGGTGCCGGTGCTTGGTGCCCTCGACTTTGACTTCGGTGGCCTCAATCTTGAGCTTGAGGTCGCGTAGGTCCTGGGGCATGCAGCCGAGGTCCGGCAGCGGCATAAAGTCGACTTTTGGCCGCAAGATGCGCGACGTCGTGTCCGTGATCGAGTTGCAAAGGTCCAGTAGCTCTTGGTCAACCGCCAACGTGTCGATGTCCGAGTCGTCGGCCGACGACGGCAGTGGCATCGGTGTCACCTTGAACGACGCCAGTGTGAGGCCGCTCGCCATGCTCATCATTGCGTGCTTGCGTTTCTCTTGGGCCACCTTCTTGGTCAAAAGCGGCGCATTGACACCGAGCGTCGGCAGCTTCTTGGGCGTCGAGGTCTCCATCTTCTTGCGGTCTTCGTTCGGCTGCATGACGTGGTCCTTGTCCCGCGCCTTGCTCATCGTCGGCGTGTGGTTGGACGGCAGCGCAATGAAGGGCGCCAACGGCACCGTCGTTTCGATCGACTTGGTCGCTTCGTCCGGCGCTTTGCTTGCACTATACGAAGAGGACGACGACGAGACGGCAATTGTCGACGGCAGCGTCCGGACGGGCGCCATAATCGCCTTGGTCGACGAGAGGAGCGTCGGCGTCGTCTTGGCGACGACCGGTGTGAAATTCACGAGCTTCACTTGGTGCTTGTACGGCACGTGGAGCTTGCGCTTCTTGAGGCATGACGCCAAAATATGGTTGACCATGCGTCCCGACTCGGTCACGTTGGTCGATGGCAGCGGCGCGACTACCGACGTCATCTGCTTGGCGTCGCTGCTCGGGCTGCTCGCGCCACTGTTCGTCTCGTCGGCCGGCGACCAAAACCGGTTTTGCTTGTCGCAAATCACACGGTGGTCAATGTCGTAGTACTCCTTCTCGTCGGCTTCGTTCTCGCCCCAGCACACGACGTCGTCCGAGTCGGTTTCGTCGCCGCCAATGGCTTCGCTGCCGCACTCGCTCGGCGGCGCGCTTCGGCCTTCGTCGATCACCATGAGGTCGTCGCAGCTCGTTGGCAGCAGAAACGTGAACGGCGCATCTTCCTCGCTCGAGAGGTTGACGCGCGAGAGCAGCTCTTCGTAGCCATACGCATCAGGCGTCGCGACGCTCGTCGGGCTGCCGACGTTGTCGTCGAGGTCGTCGAGGTCGACGCTCCAGCCGCCATCGTCGTCGTCCAGCATCATGTCGTCGTCGTCGTCGTCCTCGAGCATATCGTCTTCCTCCAGGTCGGCTTCATGGAGCGGAAGGACGTCGATCGCCTCCATGCTCCGCATCGCGCTGCTGCTCATCATGCGTCGTCGCACTTCTTTGAATATTGCACCGACCCAATCCAGTGTATTATTTTATTTAAATAAAATTCTTCGAATTTTGGGCCGCTCCAACATGCGCACCACAGGTTTGCGGTCCCCATCCTGCTTGGCGCGATCGGATTGGCCGCGGATTCGGCGCGGTGACGCGACTTCTCCTCTGATTGGCCGCAAATCCCATGTCCCCCGTCCCTTTCTGGCTCCCGACCTGTCCCACTCCAGCCGAGTCTGGGATCGTGCGCGCGCCAAATCCGATAAAAATGACAGCGCATTTGTAAGGCGTTTATTTGCCGCGTGGGGTTGGGCCCCATCAAAAAGAAAGAACAGAGGGACCCATGAAAACCACCCAGGCCACGTGACCTACGGTATGCTCGCAACTGACTCGATTGCCCAAAGAAGGTGATCGAGCGAGTCGCGTCTTTGAAGCGACGGGATTATTGTCGCGCTTCAACCCATGTCCCGGAAGGAGATGCGCATTGCCTCGGTATCGACACCACCCTACCGTGTACAGCGGCAAGGACACGGCGATGGAGGAGAATCATCCTGGCATCCTCATCGCCCTTCCTGCATTATCGTTCGACCAAGAGGGACCTGGGTCCGCGAGGCAAGACGACGAAGAAGACGGTCATTTGGCGACAGCTGGACGAGGTTGAAGACAAGTCCCAAGCACGGGGTGGGGGGCCATGAATAAGATTGCCAACAACGGCTTGAACTGGGGGGTTGAAGCCTCCGGATAAAATCGTCCGCATACGCAGTGGCCGTGTGTTTTTATTCCCGAAGGCGCCAAGGCCATACAAAATACTGTGTTTTGTCACGAATTTAAAAAACAGCCGCTGGCGCATTCCGGATACCCAACGACCAAACCCGGCATGGCGTATCCGGCGTGCCAACTCGTGGCATCCTGCCAGCACAGGGCGCGACCCAGAACTTATTGACCATGCCACTGCGATTCCACCGCCCGCGATCGCCTCAACTTCCAAGGAGAATCAATACCGGTGCCTTCATGCAGGTGCACCAGAATGTGTCCCAGATGGCGTTGTGGACGTGTCTGCGATTCTCAGTCGCGTTGGAACCAGAATAATGGCGTTGCATGCACGCAATGTGCTTCTTAGCCGACTCTTTCTCAACCACACTGGCCTAACTAGAACGGGTTGACGCTGCGCGCGCAGCGAACGAGAAAGCTGGGGCACAGCCGATGCGGCGGCTGGAAGCTCGTCGAGAGCTTCGGCGAGTACGGCGGGCTCGAGTCGCGGATGATGCCAATGACGTCGTTCAAAAGCGGATCGTCGCCTTCGATCGGGTCCTACGTTGTGTCTTATTGCATTTGAGATGTAAGAGACGTGACACACCTCAATGATCGGGTCCGTGTGCGTCTTGTTGGCGTAGTACTTGACGTGCACGGTCGCGCCGGCCTGCGTGAGGACGTCGGCAAACTTCTTGGTCGACTCCCAGCGCACGGTCGTGTCGGCCGTGCCATGGAAGAGGTGCACGACGGGCAGCTGCGCCGCGGCTTGTGGCGGCAGCCTAACCATGCCATTAATTACTGCGCGCATGCACACAGCCAAGTACCGGACGACGCGGTCAGTGGGCGAGTGGTGCGCAATGTCGTTGGCCATGATGCGTCCGAGCACGCGGCGGTCGAGGCCATGCTCGTGGAATCGCTCGATCGACTCTTGGATGTTGTACGGGCCCGAGATCCCGATAAAGTTGCGGAGGCGCGACGGCGACCACGTCGCAAAGCTTGGACGCTCGATGCTCTCGAGCAGCACGAGCGCTCCAATGTGCGCGCCGGCCGACTGGCCCACGACCGTTATGTTGTCCGGGTCTACGCACAAATGAGTTCGCGCGCTTCTTGACTCCGGAGACCGTACCGCCGCCAAAGAGGTGGATGTTTTCAAAGACGTAGGCAATCGCCGTGTTGCTGTCGGCCATCATGTCGGGAATGATGCCCTGCGGGAAGTTGCGGTAGTCGGGCGTCACGACGAGGATGCCATAGGACGAGAGGACTCGGCCCATAAGCGCGCCCCACGCCTTGTAGCCAATGATCCACGCGCCGCCCGAGAGGAAGACCACGACCGGCATCTTGGCCTACGGCCTGCTCCACATGGCTGTATGTAGAGAGCTCGCGTACCTTGGGCTCGGGCACCATGTAGATGTCGAGGAGGTTGCGGGCTTGGCAGCCATACCGAATATTCTTGTGCACGCGTACGTCATAGAGCCAAAAGTACAGAATGCGCAGGAACGCCGGCGCAAGGAGGCACGAGAATGTGAGGAGCTTCACAAACATTGCGACCCACTTGTACGAGACGCGCAGCGCCCAGAGGAGCTTGGCGGCCAGCGTCGTGATGAGCCACACCTCGGCCGAGACCTCGGCGAGGTCCAGCGCGCACTGGCTGCGGGGCGTCTCGACGGCCGAGCGCTGCACGGACTTGCGCCGCTGCGGGCTCCGCGTCTCGACGCTTGGCCGCTTGAGCAGCGGCTGCGGCGACGGCAGGCGCTGGGCGCAAGTCCCTTCCTCGAGCAGTGGCGAGCTTGGCATGCGTCGCGGCGACCTTCCCATCACGTCGCACGTTGCACTATGGAAACGGGCGTAAGCCGACACCCGGTTCTGATTGGTCAAAAAGATACGCGTTTCAAACGACGCGAGTTTCAAGATTTGCGCGAGTACCGCGATGACGCGGCCGCGTCGGCTTTTCGTCGACGAGAACTCGACTGCGATGGAGAAGGCGCTGGCTGCAGCACCAGAGGTGCGGACTGCAAGCGGGGCGTCGATGTGACACCGACTTTTTGCGGGGTGTGTCGCTGTGGCTCGATTGTACTGGCTCGTTTTGCACACAATGTCTGTCGGCGTACAATATAGTGTTCTTGAGCGCGCGAGTCGGTTGGTGGTGCGCGGGCAGTGTCGCCAAGTGGACGAATCTCACGCCCTGGCAAGGTCCGAGGGGTCCTGTCCGCGACCGCAGGTGGAAGTGACCGTCGTAGCCGCATTGCAAAACCTTTGTCCACACATTTGGTGTGGAGTAGAACGCAGAGCAAGTTTGAAAAACATTGCGATTTGACCCTGTACTTGTCATTGAATTTGTCTTGCTTTGGTCCGTAATACAGTCCCTGCGCGCGAGCAAATCGAATTCTTCCGCCCCCCCACTAATGCCTCTGTGGCGGCTCGTTATTGGCTTTGCTAGCGATGACACAATCCGTTTCGACCTACCGAGCGTTTCGCGCCAGGCCGCTGACTAAACTTAACTTGGCATTTGTCTTGGCGGGCGATGGGCTGTGGCGCGTCGATTCTGCAAGAGCCGGAAGGCATCTCGGTCGACACGCACAAGTTTGTGCACGCGAGCAAGGCCGGGACGCTCGCCAACTCGGCGCGTGTCCGCGTCAAAAAGAAGGGCGACGATGTCATCACCGAGTCGCGCAACCTCGGTGAAGTCTTTTTTGGCCTCAACGTCCCCTTCAAGGACATTGACGTGAAATCGACGCTCGGGGCGGGCAACTTTGGCGTTGTCTATGAGGCGTACGTCAAGGGCAAGCGCGTCGCCGTCAAGAAGATTTACCTCCGCGAAGACGGCGACAAGGCGAGCGACCTCGACGACTTTGAGCAAGAAGTCGACATCTTGTCGCTGCTCGAACACCCCAACATTGTGCATTTTCTCGGCGCTGTCCAAGAGTACCCCAATTATTGTCTGATTACCGAGCTTTGCGAAGGCTCGGTGCGTGGCCATCAACATCTCTCCAATTTTAAACATTCAAGTCGTGTAGGTGCTGGATCTGCTCAAGCTCGTCGAGTCCAAGAAGGTCCGCGCCACGTGGGGCCTCGTGCTCGACATTGCCGCCGACTGCGCGAACGCATGCGGGTACTTGCACTCGCTCGAACCCATCATCTTGCACCGCGACATCAAGGTCCTTGATCCACTGTATGAAACACTGGCAATGCACATGTAGGCGGAAAATTTGCTCATCACCGAGCTCTTTCGATGCAAACTCTCGGACTTTGGGCTCTCGAGGTCGCTCGAGAAGGACGCGATTGCCAACACTGTGTGCGGCACCCCACGCTGGGTTGCACCCGAGGTCTACCGCGGCGAAGTATACTCGGAAAAGATTGATGTCTACTCGTACGGCATCGTCTTGTGGTGCGACATGTCGTCAAGAGATGACGTTAGCGTCTTAGCATGGTTTAATGGGCTAGGGAACTATTTTGCTTCAAGAAGCCGTATCTGGACCAAGACCCAATCAACTTGCCGTATATGGTGGTGCACAAGAATTTGCGCCCGCCGCTCTGTGTGCATATCCCCGAGGTGCTCCACTCGCTCATGAAGTCGTGCTGGCACCCCGACCCGGCCGAGCGGCCGTCGTTTCCCGCCGTGCTCCAACTGCTTGCCAACGCAAGGACCGAGGTGAAGCCGAGCATCACGATCGACACTGGCGTCTCGTATGCCGAGGCCGTTGAAAACAACAACCGAAAGCAATCGCAAGGCATTCGCATGGGCATTGGTCTGAAATCCGGGCTGCTGTAGGTCACTCTTCTATTTAACACCCGACGCCGTAAATAAGAGATATCCAGTCTGCGCAGAGTTGTCCATCATTATGGCATCTGCTGTGAACTCATCGTTCGTGGTGGTCGTGGAAGGCCTCAGGCTCGACGAAGAGTTTGGATCACCGCAAAGGGTGACGTCGGCGAAGAATTCTAGCCTCTTGTGTGCCCTTACTGGACATTAGCCGCCTTCCTGACCGCCTCAAACCCCAAATACGCGAAATTATTTCACCGGGTCTCCACAGCTCACTCTCTGCATTGCACGCGGGCAAGAGCGCCCACTGGTGCAAAGCGCGCGTGCATAAACCAGTTCTGTATGATTGTACAATTAGTATGTAATCGTTGTAGTTTTGTGGGTATTTGTATACGAGAGGATAAAGTATTGCTAGCAGGCGCACATCATTTAGGTGGCAGGATCACGCTTTTGGACAAGCGGCAGCCAGCAAATATTTTATCCGGACATCTTTATCCGGATAAAATGGGCTCGGCGTCGCTGCTCGGCAGCTTGTTGACGATGTTTGAAGTTTTTTACAGAGTCGCGAGTTTTGTTCGATATGCATAGCGCATGACGCAGGGAGCCCAAAAACCAAAGAATGGTGCTCGCAGCGTGCCGACAGCCTGAGTTATGCGCCGTTCAAGTTGGCGAAACTGATACAGACTCTAGTATCGATGTATCAAGGTATCAGTCAACTACCAGTTTACAATTGCAACTAACTCAGGCTGTAGGCACGCTACGAGCACCATTCTTTGGTTTGTGGGCTCCCAGAGTCATGCGCTATGCATATCGAACATAACACGCGACTCTGTAAAAAACTTCAAACTTCGTCAACAAGCTGCCGAGCAGCGACGCCGAGCCCATTTTATCCGGATAAAGATGTCCGGATAAAGATGTGCTGCCACTGCCATCCATGGTCCACGCCGTAATGACAAGGAAATAGCTCCTTTCCAGAGCAAGCCGTGCAGCGCGTCAGCTTGTCTGCATAGCCGCGCGAATGTTACGTGTCACAGACGCCAATGCGGGGTGATGCTGTCTTGGACTTCAGCGTGGTGCTTCATGTGGAAGCTCGGTGGTGTCAGCCTCTCGTCACGCAACCGACTTCCTTTCTGGTTGCATCATTCGCACCGACAAGACGTTCGTATTTGTGTAGCCATCAACATAGTGTACTAGACAGCTACGTGATTATTGACCTACAGTTCAATTTCGTCCTCGGAGCTCTCGATGGACATGCGGTTCTCAAACTCGTCGACAACGCCGTCTTTGCGTCGCCGGTACACGCCATTGTGCGAGTGGGTGCGCTGCTTCGTTGCCTCGTCCTCGCTGTTGTTCTTGGTCGTTGTTATTGTTGTCTGTTTGAAACCCAAGCTCTTGGATGACAAGATTCTCGACAGCAAGAAGAACGTCTCCAACCCATGTCTCCAACCTCTCGCAGGGCGAGTATTTGGCGCCCGAGAAGATTGAAAGTATCATCAAGAGTAGCGTACGTCGCCGAGCCGTTTATGTCCGGCGACTCGCTCCACGCCGTCCTTGACGGTGTCATTGTGCCCGAAGAAGCCGCGATCGAAGCACTCACCAAGTCGCTCAACATTTTGGAGACGCCCCAAGAGCTCTGTGCCGACTCTAAGGACACGGTGACGACCGTGTGATGAACCATCTCGATGGTTCCGATGCCAACGGTCAATGGGAAAAGAAGAGGTTGACAGCACCGACGGGGCGCGAACCGCGCCTCCGGCGAACGGTATGAAGAAGAAATCCATCGACTTGGTGGTCACGCCACACGTGTGATTGGTTTAAAACACATGAAATATTGTGTTTTCTGGAAATACGACCAATCCAATGCGCGTTACGATCGACATTACAGCCAATGACATGCTCTCTCAAATTCCCCTATACAAGTACACGTCGGATGTGATTGGCGCAAAGCCGGGATTTTCTGCACGTTGGCCATGGCCCCGAGCACGGAGGTCAACTTCAGCCTCGGCTTCAAGAGCCCGTGCTTCTTCACGATGCTCAACCTCGCCGGGTACCAGATCCCGCTCCTTGAGCGCAGCGTCCTCGAGTGGTGCGAGCGCATCGTCGCCGTCCTCAACAAGGAGCGTTTCGAGGGCACGCTCGACGGCATTGTGCACTCCCAGCTCGAAGCCAAGACGCGGCCGCTCTTCGCCGTCAAGATGGTCTCGGGCTTTGCCAACGACGGTACGTCGTCGCCGCGCATCATGCTCGGGTCGGAGCAAGGCGCCGCGGTCACACTCGCGCACGAGATCGCAGTCGCCCTCGTCGACGCCATCATGATCGCCGAGGCGCCGATTAGCGCCAAAGACCTCGCGACGACCAAGCGCCACGTCGCACAGCTTCAGAAGCGCATTGCCAAGGCTGCACCAGGCGACCAAGTCTACGCGATAATTGTCGACCGCAAGTACCACGAGACCCGACCGAAACGGCATCCACCAACATGATTTGCGTCGTGCTTGCCATCTCTCTTGCAGCATACCAAGGTCTACTCAAGTCTGCGCTTCGGTGCACTCTTGGTCACTCTTGTACAATCGTCTTGTTTGCAACAAAGTAGAAAGGACGGGTTTGAAGCCAACCAACGGAGCCACCATCTCACAACCCTCTCGTATTTGCAAGGGGCAATAAGAGAGCATCTTATTGACCCATGACAGTTCCTTCCAGTCCCCAGCGCAGTTGGCGCCACTCGCGATGGCCAAAAAGGAACCTGTACGTTGGTACCAAAATCGCAGAGAGCATATATATTTAGGGTCCATGTATAGTGTATACCGGTCGCTGCTGTAAATAGATCGCATTTGCATTCGACATTCATTTGTCCGTGCGAATATGTGGCGCTTTACATCGACGCCGCCCGTTGATATCGTAGCCGAAGGCTTCCTTCTCTACTCGTCTCCGCGGTACGTTTGTTACCTCTTGCCGCCACCCACCGTCGTGCTAGGCGCCCTACGCCGACCGCGCGTTGGTGTGTCCTCGACGGCGCACGCCACACGCTCAGCAAGTACGAGAGTGCCAAGCGGTCTCGACTGCTTGGTGGGCCCATCGAGATCATCGACGCGCGAATCGTCGAGGCGTCTGAGAGTGCCACGTCATTCACTTTGCACTTGAAGACATTGTACCACGGCATGACGGAGCTCACATTCACCGCCGACTCCAGTAAGGAACGCGCCCGCTGGGTCGACGCGCTCACACGCAGTTCGCACGGACTCGCGTCGGGTATCTCGAAGCGCATGGCGCACCGAGGTGTCTTGAACGGGCAGTATGTGCTCGTGCGCGAGCTTGGGCGCGGCGCGTCCGGCATCGTGTACCTGTACACGTGGCACGGCAAGCCCTGCGCCGTGAAGCGGCTCTCGGCGTCGCACAAGCGCGGCCAGCCGCCAGGCACCTTGCCCGACGACGCGCGGCGCGAAATTGCAATCTTGCGTAAAGTGAGCAACCTCCCGCACGTCGTATCGCTCTACGATGTCATCCACGACAGCGCCAATGACTGCGTGTACTTGGTCATGGAATTCCTTGGCGGCGGTCCGATCGCGTCGTACGACAAAGCCACAAAACGCTTCCACACGAAACACATCATGGGCGAAGGGGATTTGAAGCGGCTCTTGCGCTGCGCCTCCGTCGGGCTCAAGTACTTGCACGCCAACCACCTCGTGCACCGCGACATCAAGCCCGACAACCTCCTCTTGACGGACGACGGGCGCGAGTGCAAGCTAGCCGACCTAGGCGTCGCGCACTTTTTTCCGCCGCCCACATCGTTGCAAGGCGACGTATCTGCAGAGGGCGACGACGACGACAAGGCCGCGGCGGGGTCGGCACCCGGCATGCTCATCAACACCAAAGGTTATGTGAGCCATTTGTTGTTGCATTATTGTATTCAAACGTGGGCTAGGAACGTACGAGTTTATGTCACCGGAAGCGCTCTCGGGGGAGGAGTATTCCGGTTACGCGGCCGACATTTGGGCTCTTGGCGTCACCTTGTATGCCCTCGCCGTCGGGCAACTTCCGTTCCAAGCGCAAAGCATCCTCGCGCTCTTTGATGTGATTGCGACGGCGCCACTGATCTTTCCCGTGCGTTCCCATACGTCGCTTTGTCAGCGTTGATAATGGGCGTAGACGACCACCAAAGCGCTTTCGCCGGCGCTCACCGACTTGATCACGCGCATGCTGACAAAAGATGTCGCGCAACGCATCACGCTCGACGACGTTCTGTTGCATCCGTGGCTCTCAACCGGCGCGACTAAGCAGTACCTCCACCATTCCACCGCGGCCCTCGGCGAGGTTCTCTGCACAAATACAATTCATGATCTTCATGTATATATACACTAGGTGGTCATTGATGCCTCCGACATGTCGGGCGCGGTCTCACCCCTGCAGCTTAAGTTTGACCAACTTCGAATGAGCGTCACCGCGTCCGAGGACCTCGCTCTGTGGAGCGTCCTGTCAACCTCGACCGTAGCGTGTTCGACAAACCAGTACACGCCAACGCCGATCGACATTGTGAACGTCCCGTTGCCGGTTCGGCTTCGCCAAGACATTGTGTGGCTGGCGCAGCAGGTGCACTTTGCTTGGTGCACGACCAAGACCCTCGAGGGGTGGCGCGCGGGACCTGAGCGCAGCGAAGACGAGAAGATCCACCCGCTTCTCGTGCCCTACCAGCACCTCGACGACGCTGCAAAAACCCGGAATCTGGCGTCGGTCACGGCCTCGGTGCAGTGCATTGTGGCCTTAGGGTACGTGCACGTCGTTTACTTGCGCTCATGGACGTCTGCAGCTATGCGCTGCGAGCGCACAAGGCGTCGGCGCCAACGCGCTTGTTTCCGCTGTCACTTGAGCGCATCTCGCTCTCTGGTGACTTGGTCATTCTCGGTGACCTGCTCGCAGAGAACGACCACGAGGTGTGGGCCCACGAGTACATGGCACTCGGGTGGAAGGTATATATATATGCGGTGCAAACAAAAGCTTTTATGATTGTCTAGTATGGCGCTGGCTACGACCCAGAGCTCAAGACGCACCCGTCGCTCGTGCCGTTTCCAGCGCTGCCGGCCGGTCAGCGCGACGCAACGCGCAACGCGGCGCTCGTTGTCATCAAGAGCCTCGTCGCACTTCAGTACTCGATCCAGCACATACACGCCAAATACAACCACGAGTCCAACCAGCACGCCGAGCTCGTGCGCTAGTGTCGGCAGCTCCATGTCTCCGTCGTCCAAGAGAAAGACACCTACCTTCAACGATACGAGCTCTTGCATGAGTGCTGACACTAGCGCCGACAGTTCCATAGAGGGTGCTGATCTATGGAGACCTGCGATGTGCTCTGGCGTATTTGGGTTTGAGGTGCCTAACTTCGTCGGGAAGGCGCCCAACGTCGACTGAAAGGCCACGCAAGCAAAGGCTAGTATTCTTCGTCGACTGGACCCTCTGCGATGCTTGCATCACGGTCGAATAATGGCCAGCGAACGAACCAAAAGAGGTTGGGTCTGTGACGAGCCTGTCTCGACCGGAATAAGTCGTACGTCGTCGTTCCACTAGTCGGGAAGCCTGCACACTCTGGGTTGAACTCTCCAAAGCCGACGATGGCGATATTTAGAAGTCGATGCCACCTCGACGATCCAATCTCTAGTCATGTTAAACGAGCGGCTATGGATGGCCAAAGCGCTAGCGTGTTGCTTGGTACGTGAATTCCCGCCGCCATTGTACGACTCAAGAACTGCTGCCAATACTCTGGTACGGGGGCTGTACGGGGACGGGAGTATTACGGGCTAAACCAGTGGTATACCTTTTCCAGCAATTGACAATCACACGCAAGAACTTCATCTGAGTCAACCGGTCGTATCTGCCACGTTGGCACATGTCCGTCATAATCAAGCGAGGAGCGCAGCTGCGTCCACTCTGGTCCGACAGCTCTCATGCCTCGGCCGGCTCCCATAAAACGAGGTGGATCAGATGGTATTGGATCGAGATCCCTATCACTGGAACGCAAGAAGTCTGTTCTCTCTCCCCTCGTGCTGTTCTAGCGTGGTCCCAGAACGGTCAAGCAAACCTCAAGCTCCATGGTGCGTCTCCGATGCGACCATCATTCTAGGATTGGTGGACGGAAGCAATGTTGGTCCCCTTGACGTGACACGTTGCCGTTGCGACACCAGCGGGCAATGCGGACAGTGTAGCTGCTGGTCCAGCGCACCAGGTGTCCACCCTCGGTGACGTTATCGTCTAAGATCGGACCTCGCGTGTCTGCGCTTGGTGCCTCCAAGCTCTCAGACCTTGTGTGTAGTTGGATGCAAGAATGGATGGAGGGTGCTCTGTGGACAGGCTGTGCATTACGAACGCCCGTCACTTTCGACGAGCACAGGTTGTTCGAAGGTGATCGGCCGTGTCGGCCACAATCATTTTTCAAAGCTCCATGCCCATCAGCATCAGCGGACGGCGCCTCGTCGCCTTCGTCCTCGCAATCCTCGCGTCGCTCACGCAGGCCACCCCGCCACCGCTCTTGGGGCCGTCCGTCGACGTGACCCAGTGGACCTGCGTCTCGTCCGAGTCGCGCTACGTCACGGCGCGGCTCACCAACGGCAACCACAACCTCGAGTGCGTCACGACCAACGCGACGACCGACGTGTGTCTCTTTGCGTCGCGCGCCGAGTCCTGTCCGTCGCCGACCGGGTTCATCTACTCGTGCACCGACTACACGGTCGGGTCCCGCGACCCGACACCGGCCTGCGTCGCGCTCTATAGCACACTTCTTCGGGGCGACGCGCTCTCGCTGCGGGCAACGGCCCTGTACTTCTACTACAATGGTCTAACGTGGGGCGTCCGCATCGTGACAGCGCTCGGTATGGTGCTTCTCGGCGGCGCCTCGGCCACGCACGGCTATTACCTCTTCCGGCTCCTTCTCGTGCTCTACGGCCTCGTAGCCTTCTCGCTCGCGTTTGCGTCGCCGCTCGACTGGATCGACAACTCTACGACCGAGACTCTTCTTTGGGTTGGCGGTGCTATTCTCTTTGGCCTCTTTTGCGCCGCCTTCTACGCTCTCGCACGGCTCGTCACCGGGGCCATCGCAGGCGCGACGCTGGCCATGCTCGTCTTGGACTACGTCCACCTGACGCCGACGTACATGACCCTCGCCGTGTCTGGGGCAGGTGTTGTCACCGGCTTGATGACGCTGCGTTGGCCGCGCCCGCTCCTGCTCTTCCACACGGCGTATCTTGGTGCGATCGTGGCGGTCTATGGCGGTACGTTCTTGAGCTATGCGATTCCCAACGTGACGCACACCGTGTTTGACGTGGATCCCGTCCCGACGACGTGGACAAATGTGTTTGTTGGCAGTCTCTTTCTCCTCGCGCTGCCGCTGCAAGTGTACTACACGGCCAAAGACGTGGTTCATGGCGAGACGCCCTTCGAGCGATTGGCGCGAAAAGCTAGCGCGTCGACTGCGTCACCGGCGTACTCGGACGTGCTCGATCCGTCCGTGGTCGCGGCTCAGATGGCGGCCAAGGAGCACTGGTTCTTGCAGTGGCTCGCGTGGTCGCGACGATAAAATCGTATCAAATTATCAACGTATCAACCTTGGCGTTTGCGTTGGGAATGAAGCGAACGAGTGTGGATTGTATATAGAGCTGGTTATTAGTAGTAGTTGAAACGAAAGACACCTCGTGTGCTAGTACCGAGACGTGGCTTACGCGTAGAGCTTGAGCGACCGGTCGAGCGACGTCGACGCGATAAACTCGAGGCCGCGCGAGAGCTTGACGTCCGTGACCGCGGCCGTGTGGTCCTCAAACGTCTTGACGAGGTTCCAGCTCTTCTTGCCGGCTTCCTGGAAAATACGCACGCCCTTGCTTGTCGCGACACCGAGGAACGACCCGCTGTGCTCAAACGAGACTGCGTGGACCGGCGCCTCGAGCTGCAAATCAAACACACTCTTGAGCTTGCGGAGATCCCAAAACTTGACGAGGCCATCGGCGCTGCCCGACGCAAGGTGGTACCCGTTCTCCGAAAAGCTCAGGCTCGTCACGGCCTTGCCATGGCCCTCGAACGTCGCGGCCACCGACGCCGACGCGACTTCCCACACGCGGATCGTCGCGTCCCCCTGGCCCGTCGCAAAGATCGCACCGTCCGGGTGGAACTGCAGCGCGTGCATCTCCGAAGCTTGCGCCGCCACCTTCTTCAAGAGCGTGGCCGTGCCAAGGTCAAAGAAGCCCCACGATCCGTCTTCCGACGCCGTGCCGAGGTACGACCCCGACGGGTGCAGCGACATGCTCGTGACCGCGCCGTCGTGGCCGGTGAGCGTGTGCCCGACCGAGTAGCTGCGCTCATTGGCGCCGGCGCTCCAGAGCTTGACCGTCTTGTCGGCCGAGGCCGTGAGCGCCACGTCGGCAGCGGGGTGGAAGAGCACGTCGTTGATCTTCTTGCTGTGGCCGCTCAACGTCGCCTCAATCTGGCCCGAATGCGTGTTGAAGATCTAGGAAGATGCAAATCAGAACGAGCGCAGGGGTGGAAGCGAGACCTTGGCGTCCTTGTCGTTGCCGCCCGTGAGGACGAGGTGGTCCTTGATATCGACGCAGAGCACACCCGGCTTGTCGCTTTGGTGCAGCGTGTGGCTTGCAGAGCAGCTCATCGCGGCCACATTCTTGGTGATTTCCTCGACGCGGCGCTCCTTCTTGCGGTAGTGGGCGAGCTCCTTCGCACGCGCGGCGACGTTGGCCGAGACCGTCTCCCACGCATCTTCGATCGGGTTGGACGCGCCGTGCTTGCTCTTTTCTTTGAGGTGCTCGACCTCCTTGTTGAGGCGCGCAATGACGCGGCAAGCCGCGTCGTACTGGTACAAGGCGTGCGAGAGCTCCTGCCTAAAGCCAGCATGAGCCATCATTCACCACGATCCAAGATTCGCGTACCGCGTCTGCTGCAGGTGCTTCTTGACCTGGAACATCTCGAGCGCGTGGGCGTCGTACTCGGTCTGCAGCGCCGAGAGCAGCGACGGGATCGACGACGTGGCCTTGGACGGCGGCGTCACGTCGGTCGCGAGCGTCGTGAGCTTCAGCGGGAGCAGGTCTTCGGGCGAGAGCGCCGACTCGGAGAGCGGGCAGACGTTGCCATGCGTCTTCATGTACTCTTCAATGAGGTGCTTCTCATACACATGGCCCGTCTTGACGTTCACGACCGGGACTTGGCACACAGCGCCGCTCAAGCCGCAGAGCATCTTCACCGTTCAATGTGGTTGCGTACGAACCGCTGAATGGCCCACCTGCAGCAGCAACCTTTCAAACTTTATAGGCCGCCTCTTTGCATATTCGATATTGCCCGATTAAACCTTTTCAAAGTCGATAATATCCACTTCAAAAGCGGATGTGGGCAGCTCGCGGGCCACCGCGGATCTTGCGCTCGGCGCCGGGCGCGGTCGTCTGCGCTAGCGCCGACGGCGTCTGGAAGGCCGACGTACTGCTGGACGCGGTGCATCTTCGCTGCTACCAGATCAAGGACGACTACCCGGCCGTGTATGCGCTGGACCGGCCGGCGAATCCGCCGATCGCCGCCGCCTTCAAGGCCCCGCGGGCGTCACGCTTGGCGGTACTCACCGAGACGAGTCTCGAGATGTACTTGTGCGCCAGTGACATTGCCAACGGCGTCACGTTCACGTTTGCGCTCAGCATCACGCTCGGTACGTGGGCTCGCCAGTGGGGTGACGTGGCAAACACGCCAGGCTGTGTAGGCACCAAAGGCGTCGAAGTCGCCACGACGCTGGCCGCGAACGAGCAGCACCTCTTCATTGGCACGTCGCTTGGCCGCATGATGGTGTTTCAATGGGCGGATCTGCGCGCGGGCGGCCACTTTGTATCGCCCCTCGACGTCCTCGGCAGCCGCCCTGCGTTCCCCGTTCTCCCCGAGGTATACAAACGACGGCGATCTAGGCAAGCAAGAGGAGGCCTCATGTCTTGCCGTAGCCATCGGCCGTGTGCTCGATCGCGTGCAGTAGCGCCACGTATGTGCTCACGTCGCTCGTGTATGTCTGCGTGAGCTTTGCGAACGGCTTTGCGGTGCTCATGAGCTTTGCACCGACGCACTTGCGCCTCGAAGAGATTGTGTGGCTCAACGAAGTCATTCCGGTGCTCGGCGACGTGACTACCTGCCACGTTGACGGCGAAGCGTCCCTCGTCGCGCTCGGGTCGGCCACGAGTGTCACGACGCTCCTCCGGCTGCGCCACAAGCGGCCGACCGATCCCGAGTTTGTGCCGGTTCAGATCACCGAGCATGCGACTCTCTCGCTGGCGTTATGGGGCTTCACCCCCGACGACCTCGGCGCCGTGACTGCCCTCGCGTTTACTGACGACGGGCGCGCGATTGCAGTCGGGTTTGGGCTCCGCGGCATGGCGGTCTTTTCGATCGACAGCTGCAAGCTCATGTCGACGTTGCCGCAGCAGTTGGTCGCCAAGGACAACGAGCTGCTTCGGTACGGCGTCTCGTCGCTGCAGTGGACGAACGCCAGCAGCACGCTCCTCGTGACACCTCGCGTCGGCAACAACACGCCGCCGCCCTCGACAACCAGCGCCGGGGCCCTGTCACCGACCTATGCCCTTGTGCACGTCGAGATGCTCAAGGAACAGGACGGGCTCTGCCTCTCGCTGGCGGGCGAGCCCAAGCAATGCGGCGCTTGGGTCCGCAGTGAAGCGCCGTTCGTGCCGCAGCCGTCCAACGGCCTGCCCGGTCCCGCCGAGCGCAGCGGCCAAATCGACGGCGGCGACCTCGTCGTCGCGATCAACGACCAAGCCGTCGCACACTTGGCGTTCGATGACATTGTGGCCATCGTGAAGGAGCTCCCATTACGCTCCTCCGTGAAGCTCTCGCTGCTCCGTATTGACTTTGCCAAAGCATTTTCGCTTGCGACGCTGGCGCTCCAGTCGCATGCGTTTTGCGCGACGCACAAGCTGGCGCTTGACGAAGACCACGTCGTGTGGGAATACGCGCTGCGCATGCAAGCGACAGTTGGCGACTGCGTGACGCCCAAGCCGTCGATGCTGGCCTTTGAAGAGCGCGCTAAGTTTGACGGGTACATGGCCATCGCGGGTCTCTCGAGCACGCTGGCCATGCACCGGTACCTCAAGCTCTACCTTTCTTGCTTCCCGCGTACGAATTGGCAGCCGATTGAGGCGCTCGACCACTTGGTCGCGTTTCACAACCCCGAGACATCGCGGCTGCCGACCGCAACTCCCACGGTCGTGCTCATCGACTTTGCGCGTTCGGTGCTGCCGATGGGGAAGAGCGACTTGCATCTCCTTGAGGCATCGAGCGTCCACGTGCTCGCGGCCAACTGCAAGAACGACCCGTGCGGGGTGCTCTCATCGATCGCGATTCCCGTGCCGAGTACGTACACCAACCAAAACAGCCCGATGCAGCTCCTCGCCGTCTCGGCCGACGATACGCGCGTCGCCGTCGCGGGTGCCCGAGGCTTTGCCCTTCTCCACAAGGTACTGCGGTCTCCTGTCTCCATTTAACGACCTTTTGGTGTTGCTAGCCAAAGGGAACGTGGCTTTGTTTCGGCAACGTCCACGACGAGCAAGCGTTCCGAGTTGTCGCGATGGAGTGGTGGCACAGCGAGGCGCTTGTCGCGCTCGTGCTGCAAGACGACCTGCTTCTCATTGACGTCTATGGCCGCGACCGCCTCGATGTGCGCTGCTGCCGGCTCGTGTTGCCGCCGACCGCGTTTTTCTATGCACTGGCCGTCGACCACGATCGCGTCTACTGCCTCTCGCTGCAGCAACTGCTCGTGTACCGCATTACGACGTCCAAGTCGGCCGACACGTTTACGTTTGAGATTGCGTTTGAGCGGGCCGAGGCCCTTCCGCGATGCAACGCCATGGTCGGCCAGGCTCATTTCTTTGTGCCAATTCCGCGCCTGACAGCAACTTCAAGTACAGCGCATATGACGAGCGGCGCGTGGTTTCACGGCTGGCTCGGCCTCTTGGGCGAGGCGGACGCGCCGATGCTCTTGCCTCGGTTCGCCCTCCTCGATACGCTCGGGAGTCTCTATGTATGGGACCCAGAGACCAAGGAGCAGGTGCTCTTGGCCAGTGACATCTCGCACGTCTCGACGTGGCGCGGCCCGAGCGAGCTCCCGACACCGTGCACGCTCATGCACGGGCTGTATGGTCCCAAGGGCTTCCAGGCGTGGTGGCCGCTCCTCGACGGCGTCGATTTTGAACCGAAAGCGCCGGGCGACGCGCTCCGATCGTTCCTGCAAGTCCACGACCCGCCACGTGCGCGCCGCATGGGCAAGCTCCAAGGCGCATCCGAGGAGGTGGCCAGTACCTACTACCAGCTCTTGGCCGAGTACGGCGTGCGCCTCGAGGTCGCCAACGCCGAGTCGTCCGACGTTCCGACGTCGGTCCACTGCATCATGGTCGACCCGGTACTGAAATTCAACCCGGAAGTGCAGCTGGTAGGTATTCACGCACGCTTTGGCGTCCTCGTCGGCGCGTTCCAAGACCAATATGTCGGTATCTACGACATTGCCGCGCGGGTGCAGCCGCTCTTGCACTCGCTTCTCTCGCTCTTGCTCGTGCAGAAGCAGGCGACGCTTGCGCAGGCGTGTTTGGAGGTGATGAATGCGCGCCTCGGCCTCACGACGCCCACAAAAGAGCTCGTGCTCGTGACGGCGCTCGACAATGCCTTTCGACGCGTTTGGCCGGCGGCAGTCGTCGAGCGGACGCTGCTTTTGCTCCAAGACCCCGAGAACGAGATGGAAACGTACTGTGAAATCGTCGCCAACGTTGCGCGCAAGGTTGAGCCGAACCGCCTCCCGCTGCTGTTCCCGCTCGCCGGCGACCCAAGTGCGCTGCTCCAGCTGTGCCGGCAGCGCCACGAGGTGCGGACCGCCGCCAACTTTCTCTTGTGCTTGGACGAGTCGGTGAGCACGCCGACGCTACTGAATCGGACGCGCACCAACAGCTTTGCTCAGTTTCAGTCCCGGAGCGCGCTCGCGCTCGAGCTCATTGTCGACTGCGTCGAGTGCGACGAAGACCATTTGGCGCTGCAGCTGGTCCGTGTCGCGCGGGCGTGGGAGCCCGACCACTACTACCACGCGAGCAACGGCGCGTCCCCACAGTACGAGCGCTACATTGACGAGCAGCTTGGTAAATACGCCTTCCAGGTGCAGTTCTCGTTGGTCTCAAACAGTTGCCGACTCGTGTGTCTAGATGCTCGTCCAGTACCGGTTCGACAAGGTTGTATGGCTCGTCTCGCAGACCCAAGTGCCGTTGCCAGTTTTGTTCGGCGACGATCTCGGCGTCCGCAGTGAGAGTCTCTCGCTCATCCACGAGCGCCTTGATGGCCTCTTGACAAAGGACGAGGTGCGCTTGCTCCACGCTGCGGTCTCGGCGGCCAAGTACGAACAGTGGGCGACGCTTCTCGAAGCGGTGCGGCAGCAAGAGACGTAGAGAACGCGATATATACATGGTGGTGTGGGTATGCTAGTGGAGTTGAGCTACTAGCCATGGCGAAAGATGAGAAAGCCGATTTGTCCGAGGAAAAAGTAGAGCAGCCTAGCCACGGGAGGTCGTTAGACGAGAACAAGGTGGTGGGCTGCTACTTTTTGACTTCGTGCGTCACGAACGAGCCAAAGGACTTGCCGACAATGACGTGCCAGCTCCCGTCGTGTGTCTCTTCGATGTCCTTCTTGATCTGCTGCGCCACTTCGGTAAAGTGACTCTTCTCGCCCTTGTAGTACGCCTTGAGCGCGTTCGTCGCGCTCGCAATGAGGAGCTCCTCCATCTCCGTGCTGCTGTCGCGGTGCACGATGCGCAACGCGCCGACGCTCACGTCGTCCTTCTTGACCGCAGCTTTCGACATTTTCGGTTTCCGTCTCTTCAAGATCGCATCGCCGATCCAACGACCCATTCGTTGGTACTACCGTGCGCGATGGCTCACGTGATGGTACTTGCACACAGGACAGCACGGCCAGTCCGCCGTGCCTTCCTGCTCGTTGACGACTCTGGTGGAGGATAGTACGCAGGTGGCGAGCGCTACAGACGGTTGTACAGGAAGCGCGCCGACGAAGCATCCTAGAGCCTTCTACCCTCTACAGACATGTATCAAGGCAGCCGCGGAGTTGCGTATCGCCAAGGCGAGCGAGGTCGGGACTCTCGCACAACGATGACGTGGCAAGCCCTGCGTCATCTTGAGGTCCGGATAATGGTGCATCCGGATAGCCTCGGGCGTTTTGGCCAGCGCAACCGCTTGGAACATCCAGCAGGTGGGAGCATGGGCCGCAGCGCGCAGGTGGCAGACCCATGGGAGGTCGTCGAGATGTGCGTGCGATACCTCGAGGGTACTAATGTAGCGACGCGCTTTGTGGCCGCATGACGAGCGTGCGTAGGGCTCCACCTTCCGGACGTGCTGTACCAGCGCTGGGACAGCATCGGAGACGTCCGCCATGTCCAACGTGGCCTCGCCGCCCGGCGCGCCGGTGTTCTCGACAGCGTCTTGGACCCATCGGTGGTCGTGAGCGTGCTCGAGACGCAGCTCCGCGATCTCCACTCGCGCGAGTACTTGGTGTTCTCGCCCTTCCTCTACAACGAGCTCCTCGACCTCGGGCGTACGCTGCTCCCTCGATTGCTCTTTGCGTATCCCGCTCGTGTGCTAGGCGCTGTCGGGCGCAGCGACCACGAGACATTGGTGTGGGTGCGAGCGCTGTACGCGCGGACGACCGAGCCGTACCGAAGCCGCATGCACATGATCCTCGGCTTCCTCGCGACGCAGTGCGACGTGACCGACATGGACAAGACACTCTACATCGTCGAGCGGTATGCGCCCATGCTCTTGCGCGACGGCAGCAGCGCCTACATGTCGCTCCACCACATCGAAGGGTTTCCCGCTGCGACCGAATGCCTCCTGCTGTTTCTGACGTACTTGGACGTTCTGGACGGCGGACTCTCCTCCGCGGCGCTGGACCAGCACTTGGATATCCTACTGCACGAGACGGTGCACACAAGCCTCTTTGCCTCGCCGCCGCCTCGTGCTAGCATGACAGGTACGCAGACGACCTCAAATTGACCTGACGATGGCTGCAGTCGACATGGCGGCGACTCGGATTCAGGCGGCGGCGCGGGGGTGGCAGTGCCGCCGCTGGATCGGGCTTCGGCTGCTGTACACGTCCATGCCGCTCGCCCCAATGAGCTCCTTTCGGCGATACTACCTCGGTATGACCAAGCGCGTTCTACACTGGAGCGTGTCGGAGCTTGTGGCCGAGAAGCGGCGCCTCAAGACGCGCCTCCGCGCCTTTGACGAAGCGTTTACGCGAGCGCACCACCGCGTGCCGAAGCCGAAGGAGAAGGACGCTGGCCTATACGAGATGTACCATTTTCTGCGCATCGTACTCGACTACCAGCGGCAGCAAGATGACACCGACCCGACATCGTTTCACGAGTAGAAACCCTATCCCTGTTCGGTGTTGCACCTTTTCGAGTAGCTTTCTCCAGACTGCGACAACGAGCCAGCTCGCGCTCGCAAGGGACAAGTGCCAGCTGCAACTGCTCATCTTCGAACGTCATTTTTATCTCTGCTGCGGCGGCAAGGTGTCGAGGTCCCACCAGCGTCATGCAGCTCACTGCGCGTAGGTCGAAGACGAAGACGACTATGGTCACATCTTGCCGCGCTATCTCCAGTACAAGGTACCTGCGATCGGTCAAGCGTCGATGCTTCATGGGGATGGTAGACGTTGACGGGCAAACTCGCCGAGACGGCGTAGAGACACGCCGCTGATTAAGGAATTGACTGCTTGCTACTCGATACCACGAAGAGACTAAAACAGCAAGTGCACACGTGTTGCGTCTGGAGGCTAGTCGACTATAATCTAGTACACGTACTAAATTGTAGCCGAAAGAACATCGAGCGTAGTCGACTAAGCTTACGTACTGCTTGCCACTCGGACGCGGGACACACGTGGGATATATTAACATACGTGAATTGTGCATGTCTAGCGCGACCCAAGACCTGCTCGGGATACTTGACGTGCGACGCCTTTGGGCAGGAATCCCTGGAGCGACGTCGCGTGGTCTTGGAGAAGCCGGCGCTTGGCTTCTTCGACGATTTGCTTCTTGAAGGCTTCTTCGTCGGCAATGCGCGCGGCCTCGGCGCGCTCCTTCTCCAGTTCGAGTTGATACATTTGGACCTTGAGCGCGTTCTGGTCGGCAATGGCTTGCTTGTACTCGTCCCGTTGCTTGCGGCGGAAGATTTCCATCTCCATTTCGCGGCGCTCTTCCGACGCAAACTTGGCCCTGAGAAAAGCATTGTACTCGTCTTCCTTGGCCTTTTGCTCGTGGAGCACTTGGGCCTTGAGTCGCTGCTGCTCCTGGTTGCAACGAATCATTTCGTCGCGGTCCTTTTGCTTTTGCAGCATCTTGGCGCGCGCCTTCTCGCGGTGCGCCTCGAGCATCTCTTCTTCCCAGAGCTCGTCGCGGAGCCGCACAAACTCTTCTTCTTCCTTGCGCTGGCGCTGGATCTCGGCCTCGACCGCGAGGAACATCTCTTCTTCGCGCTTCTTCTTCTCGGCGAGCTTTTCCTTGATGCCGGCCTCGCGCTGCTCGACGCGCTTGCCGTACTGCGCAATCCGAGCGTCTTCGTCGCGATCGCGCCGCGCTGCGTCCTCACGTTCGTTGGCGCGCTGGAGCTTGCTATCTTCAATCATGATGCGTGCTTGGGCGACATAGCGCTCGCGCTTCTCCTGCTCGTGGCGGTCCTCGGCTTGAATTTGCGCCATGATCGCGTCGACCTTGGCCTTGTCGACTTCAGCCTCCTTTGCGGCTTCTTCGTACAGCTTGAGACGATCGAGCATCTGCTCTTGGATCGATTGCTTGCTCGCGACGGCCTCGGCGCGCCGCGCGATTTCCTTCGTTGCCATGTCGACCTCGGCGCGCTGCCGGTCGTACTCCATTTGCGTCTCGATGGCCTTCTCGCGCGACTTTTCGATTTGGCTCAAGGTCTCGCGCTCGGCCTGCTGCACCGATCGCTCCTTGTTGACGTACGCGACCTTGAGCATGCTCTCGAGCTCGCGGAGCTCTTCGCTCGACTCGCAAATCCGCTGGATCTCGCGCTCGCGGCGCTCGCTCAATCGGCGTTCTTCTTCGAGGGCCCGCGCGAGGCTGTCGTTCTGCTCCTTTGTGCGGAGATTGCGCTTGAGGTCGCGCTCCGCGACAAAGCTGCGCTCTTCAAGCATCGCCTCGGCGTTGCGCTGGAAGGCCGCGTTCCCGCGCCGCTTGGCGAGCACGGCCATGTCGCCCTTGTTGGCCATCGCCTGCACTTGGTTGCTCGACGCATACCGAAGGAGCTCGGTGTTCTGCGTCTCGATCCGGCGCCGGTCCGCCATCGTGCGCTCGACCTGCCGCGTCGTCACGCGGTGCTGCATCGTCGCTCCGGTCGTATTTATAGGCCTGTCCGAGAGATCTTTGCACCGAATTAGCTGTGCGCGGGGCTTAACTAATGCTCGAAACACACCGCCTCTTATTAAAGATGCTCGAAACCGTTTTTGACATTTTGAACAGAGACGACGTGGATGATCCGCGGAACTTGGTTGCGAGCGCTGCAAGCTTGAGCGATCTCTCGTGGCCGCGTAGCTTGTTGGCGCTACCTCTATTGCGAGCGTCCTATATGGCTAGCACGCCATGGAAGTGACATAAGTGGTCTCCAGAGGTATCGACGTGCACCGCCACCCGTCCAGCGCATCTTGGCGCCAACGTGTGACTTCAACAACCCAGCAACAGCCGCCATCAAACCACCAGAGCAGTCGCGTTGGTCGGATGCTAGATTGGCTTGGCCGCGCCACGAACGAGCGATCCAGCTATTTACTATCCAACTATCCAGCAGTCCGATTCTCTCCTCATTCTCACAATTTCTGGGTGGCTGGCCGCGTCGGCTTGGAACGCTAAATCTGGTGTCCTCGCACTTTGAATGGTCCGGATACGCCACCGTTGGTAATTCTAGATTTGTGGGGACGGTTTGGCGCGCATCCGGATACGTGGCTTCAAAAAGGGAGGGCTTGAAGATCGCCCCCATACATTCTCCCATACAACGAGCGGACGGGCCCCGCGAGCGTTGGCGTATTTTCGATTCCGCGGCCCGCGACCGACCGACGACCGACGCGCCCCGCGACTCCGACGTGTCGGCCCCTTCGCATCGCCATCGCCCCCTCCGACGACCCCCCCATGGCCTCGACCGGCGCCCCCTCCCCCGGCGCCGGCCACGCCCTCCGCCCCGGCCCCGCGCCCGCGGTACGTCAGTCGCCGACTTCGTTCCAAAGTCGTATACTTCTGTCGCCCTCTCACACTTTATGCATTCGTTAGGCCGCGCCCCGCGACCTCTTTCTCGCCACCTGGGGGCCATTTCAAACGCGCCTATTGGCCGAGCTCGTGGCGCTCCGGGCCGCGGCAGATCATGTTTCACAGGTACACCCTTTACAACGAATACATGCGTTTGGCACAAATATCGAGTCTCACGGGGCATCGATTTGTGCGATATTGCCCACGCGGACGGCTCACGACCTCGTAGACCGACGACGGCCGGTCGCCTGTCAGGCGAAAGCGGACGCGGTCCAAGTCCAAGTCCCCGACGCGGCTCTCGCCGCCTGCGGTGCTTAGCCCACCGCGTAAGGTCCAGCGGTCGGCGGCGCCCACCCGGCACTACCAGTCGCCGGTCGTGTCGCTCAACTCGGCCTACTTGGGCCTGCCCGCGACCAAGGTCAAGGAGCCCGCGCCTGTTGACACGACGAGCTCGGTGAATGCATTTGCCGATTTGTTGCGACTGCACGTGGAGAAGACGCAGCAGCTCGAGAAAGGCCCGAGCAAGAAGCGCCAGTTGCAGCGGCTGCGCGATCCGCCGCGCACCAAGTGCCACTGGGACGTGCTCCTTGACGAGATGCGCTGGATGGCGACCGACTTTGCCGAGGAGCGGCAATGGAAACGGGCGCGCGCGTGGCGTCTCGCGCGCGACGCGTCGGACGCCAAGAGCCTTGAGAAGCGCAACCAAGAGCAAGACAAGCGCAAGCTGGCGCGGTCGGTCGCTCTGCAGGTCGCATCGTTCTGGCGCGCCATGGAACGCATTGCTGCGAGGTACCACAACCGGTCACCGTCGTCCGTCGAGCTGCACACGCGGGCCGCACCGAAGGATGCGACCCTCTCGCCGCGTTCGGACGCCCACGTCGACTTTGCGTGGGCGACCACCTCGGACGCGTCGGCGACGATCCATGACTTGGTGGCTGCGATCTTTGCCGTCGGCAAGGAAGCCCGCGACCTCATGAAGAAGCAAGAGCTCGAGCTGGACCTGGACGTCAAGCTCGCGCCGTTCCAGCTGAGCGCGCTCCGTTTCATGTCGCACGTGCACAGCGCGGGCTATAACATCATCCTCAACGACCAACTTGGCACCGGCAAGGCGTTTACAGTCTCGCTCTTCTTGCGCTACCTCGAGCTCCAGACACCGAGTGCGCACCCGCACTTGATCCTCGTGCCCGACGCCGAAGTGCATAAGTGGGCTCACTACCTCAAGACGCTCCATGGTTCGCGCCGCATTCAGATCTACGGCGGCACGCCGCTGGACCGGCGGCGCCAGCACCTTACGTGGGACAAGGAGTATACTGCGTCCCTCGATCCGCACGAACGCCAAGACATTTACGTCGTGCTCTGCCCGCATGCGTGCTACCTCGAGGATGCGGCGGTGCTGCAAAAGCACACGTGGCAGGTCGTTGTCGTCGAAGACTTTGCGTTGCATCTGACCCCGTCGCTTGGCCTGACCAATGTCTCGCGACGCATTGTTGTGAGCGAGCTCGGGCTCGAGCACTGGGCACCCGAGCGCGCGAGTCTCTACGGCGGCTTTCTCCTTGGTACGTCGTCGACACCGTACGTACCGTCGGCGTGGGAAGACGACGTTGCGGACTCGAGCTCGGTGCAGCTCATGATGAAGCGCGCGGGCCTTCCGTACAAGGACGAGGTGTCGTGTCTCCAGATTGCGCTGCGCGCCCTCACGCTTGGCAGAATACGCAACGACATGGAGGCGCAGCTCGGCAAGATTGAGGAGCAGACAATCGGCGTCGCGCTCACGTCGTCGCAAGCCAACGCGTATACTGGCGCGATCGCAGCCTTTTGCTCGGGCAGCGACAAGGCGACCATGGACGGGTGGCTGCGGCTCTTCTTGCGGCTGCGCGCGATCGGCAACGGCGTGTCGTTGGACGTCGACCGGCTCGGCTCGATGGACCGTATGATTATCGCGAGCTGCTCGTCCAAGTGTGCGGCCTTTTTGGACCTCTTGGGGCGCCTCGTGGGCTCCGAGAAGCGCAAGGTGGCCGTGTACCTTCAAAGCGACGCGATGCTGCCGGTCATCGAACACCTCACGGCCAACGTGCTCAATTTCTCGACAGTGCGGATCACGGGCTCGGCGACGTGCCAGCACCGCGCATTGTCGCACTTTGCGCTCCAGGACGCTGTGCAAGTGGCCATCCTCTCGACACGGACGCGCACGGTGGGCACGAACCGCGCGGTGTGCGTCTATGGCGCGCATGCGGTACGACCCGTCTCTTGCGCGTTCGTCTCATCATGCGCCCGTGTAGATTGTCGTGCTCGACAGCGACTGGGACCCGATGTGCGACTCGAAGCTTCGCGCTGCGTGGCAGCTGCTCGCAACCACGATCGACGTGCCCGTCTTTCGGCTCTACAGCGAGTCGACGCTCGAGGCGTCGTTTTTGCGTGTCGGCGCGGTCCTCTCGGAGAAGCTCTTTGGGGAGATGACGCCGGCCGAGTGTGTGGCGTCGTCGGCTTTCAAGGGTATCGAGTGCCCGTCGTGGTGGTCGGTGTCGACGCCGGACCTTCCGAAAGCCATGGCGCGCGCCGAAGCAATGGAAAAGTACTGCAACAGCGCGCTCGACGGCGATATTTATGCGCTCGAGGCGCCCCTCACGACCGGCGGCGAGCTCGAACTCGAAGAACACTTGCTGCTCTCCAACAATGACGAGCTGACGCCGGTCGAGTGGTACGCTGTGCACCTCGTGCAGTCGCTCAAGGAGAAGCAACCGCCGAATCGCCCGTCCAAGGCAGCGATCGAGCCAATCAAAGACGACAGCGCGCCCCGGTCGTACGACGAAATGGTTGACGCGCACCGCGTCGACGCGTGGAAGCAGGAGCCGACGGCAGGCTTGTACTACGAGTGTCCTGTTGCCGGCGACAGCGTGTCGTCGATTGTCAACCACTTCCGAGCGCTGGGTCTTTCGCCTGCGTACGACGTGTGGCACGCCCCCGAGTACGACCCGGCCACGACGTTTGTCAAAGAACCCGTCGATGACGCGCCGCTGTGGATCGCGTACCGCACCAAGAAGCCACCAACGCCTACGGCGCCCGCCGCCGCCGACAAGAAGGCTGACGCCAAGCCGACCAAAGTCAAGAAGAACAAGCTGCTCAACAAGACGTCGCTGCCGATACCGGGTGGCAGTCCCAGCGTCAAGCGCAAGGAAAGCTCCAAGAAGAGTACCGACTATGCGGGCTTCCCGCTCCCCGACTCGAGTGGCTTTGACGACGACGGTTTCTGGGGCGATACGAACCTCGATGCGCTCGACTCGGTGTCGTGGGATGACACGTCGATTCTCGGCGGCATCCAAGTCGGCATTGAGAGCTCATTGCCACCGGCCAAGAAGGCCAAGACGTCGACACCCGTGACGTCGGCGCTGCCGCGACCGCGCAAGCCAACGCCGGAGCTCGCCCGCGAAGGGTGGAGCTTTGTCGAGGAGTCGCTCATGAAGAAGCTCCACGATATGTACGGCGCCAACTGGAATCTCATTGCGCAGATCTTGACGCGGCAGAGCATGGTGAAACGCCGGTCGGCGCGGCAGTGCCACGAAAAGTACCAGCGTCTTACAAGTGCCAACGCGACGCTCAAGGACAAGGACGCGGCCAAACCTGTGAAAATGAAGCCGCTCACCATGTCGCCGGCTGCACTCACGGCACGTGTCGGCGTCCATACGAGTGGGCTTCTCCTCAAGTACCCCGCCACGACCTTTGGGGGCATTCCGCCGCCGCCGTTGCGCAAGACGTCGGCCGTCGTGCTCAAGCCGCCAGCCGTCGTCCAGGAGCAAGACGTGTCGCAGTTTCGGAGTACGATGGAAGCCGTGCTCATGTCGGTCAAAAAGAAGGTGCCGTCGCCGCCGATTCCGATTCCACTCAACATGGAGCCCCACAAGTCGCACCTCGAGATTGTGGCGACGCCCGTCTTGAGTCCCGACGACGTCATCAAGAAGAGCAAGCAGCTCGCAGCGCTCACGTTTCAAGTTGCCGCTAGCTTTCCCGAGCCGGCGCCAGGTATATAGCACGCCCATTTGCCTCGTCGTTTGGGCTCACGACGCTTGTTCTGTAGGACTGCCCCCAGCGACGTCGGACACGATGCCGACACCCCCACCGACCTCGACGCCGGTACCACCACCGACGTCTGGATCTGGTCCGACCGACGACCCAGTGCGACCATCAGTTCCTATCCGGTACATTTGATCCTTAGTAGTAGTGCCATCGTCGTATTGGACTTGGTTTGTCAGTTGTTTGCGTTGATTTTCACGGCCATCGAGAGGACATTTGTAGCTAGCGTCGATGGATACTAGAGGACCTCGTCAGATCTGGTTTTGTAGCAGCCGGCACGTGCATCCACATTTTCCACCAACAATGGCAAACTTGCCTCTGCGTGTGCCACGTCATGGACCCCTTTGAGCATCGTATTAGGATACTACTCGTCGTTTGTATATAACTTGGTTGAGCGAGGAATCTCTTTGGCGATCGATCGGACCGCACGATGTCGAGCAGCCCGTCCACGCTATTGCACAGTCCCAGCTCACCTTGGGCATATTCCTGTGTCGGTAATTAACGTCAAGAATTGCTTTGTAACGTCAAGTATTGCTTCGTTGGCGCCGTCGACCAATGAAATCGGCCAAATCCGCTTGATGGAGGCCGTCAACAAGTTCATCCTCGAGTCGCGCGAGTCGTGCGTCAAGCATGCGATGATGTCGTCGGGCATGGGCATCGTCATGGGCGTCGGCCTCGGCACGTTCCTCGGCACCTTTGAAGGCGCGCACGGCGAGCTCGTCGGCTCAACCATGCGCGAGCAGCTCTACCACGGCTTCCGGAAGAGCTTCCTGGCCGGCTACCACCGCAGCATTTACTTTTCTGGCGTACGACTAACGTAGCCTTCTCGCTCGCATGGAAGCTCATGCAAACGATAGCAATTCGCGTCGGTGGGGCTTGTCTACGCCGGCATCGAGTGCGTCATTGAGCGCGAGCGGGCCAAGCACGACGTTGTCAACACGATCGCGGCCGCGTCGTCGTCGGGCGCGATCTTTGGCGCGTGGGCCGCGCGCCAGCAGCCCGCCAAGCGTACGTCCTTGTCCCGTACTGCTATCTCATTTCTTATACTCTAGTCTTCCTCACCAACACGGCCAAGGGCGCCGCCAGCTTCACGGCCTTTGCCGTTGTCATGGAGTTTTGCTTGGACCGCTTCCGCGAGTAAGAAGGTGCAATCAAGACTCATGGTATAGAATGCTTTGAGTCGGTGGCAGTCGACCAACAGGCCGTCGACGATCTAACTCCTTAGACGAGTCGCGTCACGACCTTCCACGTCGCGTCGTCCGGCCGGGTCCACGCAGCCTCGGTGCTCTCGCCCTAGTCATATACATGTGCATACGCCGGACACACAGAGGATCAACTTACGTGGACGGGTGCGGGCGGAACGTGGTCCTGAATGTGATCGAGAAATGCGTCGAGCTGCGTCTGGAGAGCTTGGGCGGTCGGCGTATGGCCAAAGTAGATCAGCATCGTGAGCAGCTGGCGCAGATCCGCGAGGAACTCGGGAGCGGGCATCGCGCCACGGAGGCTCTTTTCAACGTACGCATCTTCGTCCGCGCTGCCTTCCTGGATCTTGGTGCGGCGAAAGCGGCGCGGCATCTTCTTTGGGGTCGAACTGCTCGTGGGCTCGGCGCTCATTGCAGCGTAAAATGGACTAGTTGTCGCGCTGTGCGACGCTGTCTCAAAGCTCAGCGCCGACCCAAAGCGAATGTCGCGGTTGCTATTGTGGCTCCCGACCGAGCTCATGCTCATGTTGGAGAAGGCACTCGCCGCACTCGACGCGCCGTCGTCCAAGCCGTTGCCGTCGTCGTTCTTGCCGTCGATACCGTGGAGGCGGAAGAGCCGAATCTGCTCGCGCAACGTCGTGAGTCGCACCCAGTGCTTCTTGTACGTCGCGAGTCGTCCATTGATGTCGGTCTCCATGTCCTCGGCGGCTTGGAGCACCTAACGCAGTGGCGTGTCACACTGTGCATGCAACTAGAGGGTTAGGGTACGAGCGGCTCGACTTCGGTCTCGATGAGGTCGCGTCGTTTGTGCAGCTGCGCCGCTTGCAGCGCGAGGCCCCACTCGCGCGCCTGCACAAGCGTGGCCACGCCTATATGACAGAATCGCGAGAGTCGACGCGTGATTGGGTCGACGACGATGACGCACCTTCGTCAACGTCGTGGCAGTAGTGAATGTACAGCTCGGCGGCCGCGACCGGGTTGCGGGCCGTGCCCATCGCATTGAGGAGCTCGTCGGCCATCTCGTACGCGAGCGTATATAGATCGTAGTCTTCGATGCGGGCGGCGATGCTCATTGCGAGGCGCCAGTCGTGGGCTTTGCGGAACGCGTCGACGGCCAGCTCGAGCGCCGGCGGCACCGCCGCAAGAAACGTGTGCCCACCGGCGGCAAAGGCGCCGGTCGCCACTTGATGCGCCCCGTACGCGACCAAAATGTGCCGCCGAGTCGGAGACAACTTTGCACGAAACAGCCGGAGCCCGTCCTCGTACAAATGATGGGACGTGATGAGCGAGAGGGCAAGGTCGGCGTCGGCGTCGGCCGTGAGGTGCGTGAGCGCTTTCGCAAACCGCTGCAAGCTGAGGTCGATAGCGTACTTCATATATGCCTCTGACTTGGTGGTTTGCAGTGCTTCAAACGCTGCCAACTGCGGAAGGTACTCTTGCGGGTCGCGCTGGGTCCGGCCAGCGACAAGCCGCGTCAAGGCCATGTCATAGAGCCTAGCCATGCGGTCAGGCAAAGGGGACTGTACACAACACAAGTACCCGAGCGCGTGGTCGTAGAGAATGTCGACGTCCACGAGGAAGACGAGATGCTGCAAGCCCTTCTCCGCCAGCACCTTGTCCGTCGCATGCAGCTACGCGCATCCAGTGGGGCTCCCTCTCACAACACAATAAAAGCGTACGGCCTGGAGTCGCAACAACGCGGGCTCCAACAGCTGCATCTTGGCTTCGCACGTCAGAAGCGGCGTGAGGTACGTGGCAGCGTCGCGCGCGAGAAGCGCCGACCGCACGGCCGAGCACACCTACGGCAAGGCTTCTCCATGACTGGACTCCTTGGCCCGTTGAATGTACCTCGAGCACCTTGTCCCACGACTCGTGCATGCTCTGGACGGGTGCCAGCGGGTACTTGGCGCCGCAGACGTTGACCGGATGCAAGTTGGTGAGAAAGAGACAGAGCCGGTCGCTGCGAAGACGCGGCGGCAGCGCGTCGAGAAGCGCATCAATGTTGGCTAGAAACGCCGGCGGATCCAGGTCCACGAGCACGTTCATATCGACACGGTGCTTGCGGCAGAGCTCCAAGGCCGGTGCGTACGCCGCCGACGCAACGCACTGCGCGACCAGGTGGAGCACGAGCGGGCGCGGCGCGAGGATCTCTAAATTGCCCCGGGGCATCTGCAGAATGACGTCGGCGCGCGACGGCACGGTCGTCACGAGCTTGGCACCGCGCTCGACCGGCTGCGTGTGCACCGGGGTATACTTCCCATCGACCAAATCGTCGAGGAGGTAAAAGTGCAGCTGCGGGTGGGCCCCGAGCGTCGTCGTCAGAAGGTACATGTGCGAGAGATGGAACGACGCGACGGATGCATGCAGCAAGGCGCCGTTGACGAAGAGCTTGTGGCCTGCCGACCCGACGCAGAGATCGTGGTCGAGCGTCGCCCAGTGCGCATAGAGCGGGTGAGCACTTTCGTCAACATCACGTTGCGCGGGATGGAAGCGTGCGCCGGACGAGAGCTGCACGGCGCGACCGTCCATCGAGAGGGAGCTAAATGTCTCGTTGATCGGCGCCGGTAGCGACGACGTGCGAAGGACACACCCCGTGGTCACATCGAGAGACACCATACACAAGGTCGTCGCGTCGCCTTCCGGCACGCCCCAGAACAAAGCACCGTCCCACGCTAGCGATTGCATGGCTTGGGTAAACACCGCGTCTTCATGCGTGATAGGGCACACGCAGCCGTCGCGCACGAGGTGCCACGAGCCGGAGGACGTGACGAGGACGACCATGTCGTTGGCGAACGCAAGCACGTTGATCGGCGATGGCACCGAGATCGTGCTGGCGCACATAGGCGGAGGAATCGGCGCCTTTTGAAAGTGCGTGCGCTTGAGCTGGCACCCATCAATGACGGCGACGGTCGCCATCTCCGAAGCGCTCGCGTGCACATGCGGCTCGAGCGTCAGCGTGCGGTGCGTACCCGTTTGCTGCAAAATGTGCAAAGTGTACGGCGCCTCGAGGTCCCACGTAAGCGCCGCGAGGTTGTCCTCGAGCCGCCGCTCGTGCTTGAGGTACCAGTGGTAGTTGTTCCGAGTCCAGCATTGCAACCGCGCCTGCCCCGTCGACGACACGACGCCGAGCGCGAGCACGTCCGAGAGCGTGTTCCACTGCAGATGCGTGACGCTGGCCGCGTCGACAGCAAAGTCACCGTGACGCAGCCCGTTGCGTTCGAAAAAGATGACGTGCAGCTGGGATTTGAGGATCTGGCTCGTTGCGATCAGCGTGTGGTTTGGCGACCACGCAATTGTCGACTCGAGCTGCGTGAGCGGCCGGCCGTCTTCGTAGCGCCCCGTAGCGTGACGCGACCACGACGCATTCGACTGCTCCCAGACCTACAGCAAGCATGAGACACAGCGTTGCTGTATGAGCAACGTACCTGGATCTGCTGGGCAGCGTTCACAACGAGGAACTGGCCGTCGGCGCGCCACGCCAGAGAGACGAGCGACGCCGCATGCAAGCTTGGCACGTCGAGGAGGCCTTCGTGCAAGACGTCCCAGGACGTGCTCATCGTGATGAGGAGGCTCTCGCCCGTGACGAGCGCGACCTGGTCGTCCGTGGCGTTCCAAGCGACGGCGCAAAGGCCCGCGTCAAAGTGGCCGATGACCTCGACATCATGGTCTTTCGCGTCAATGGCCACGATGGCGCCGCTGCGCGAGGCGCAGATGATGGCCTCGAGCTCTATGTTGTAGTGGCACCATAGCCAGTCGGCGGCGCCGTCCAAACGACAGTCCCAAACAACTTCGTTGGCGACGAGGCAGGCCACGCAGCCGTCGCTCGTCATGGCAAAGACGCGGTCTTCGGCAGCATCGACGCTCTGCGCGACCCAGCTGCTTGGCGGCAGCGTTGCCCGGCGCTCGTCGAGCACGATCAAGTTGCGCATCTTCCAAGTCCACGGATGGCGTCAGCGCTTCCGATTGGCTGGATCCAGCACCTACTCAATCCAGTGTTCCATTAAAACAGAATACAAAACACTGTATCAAGGCAGCATGTTCACACTATTATATACCAACATGTTGAAAAATGCAGTCGTACTTAACAGGTATAGGGTTGGGGACTGCGAAAGCTTCACAAAGAATGGCAGCAGCAAGCGAGGACATCTTGCCGGCCAGGCAGGCTCCCGCTCTTCGAAGAGGTTGCTGCTCTCATGTATGCGTGGCCGCCATCGGAGCTGCCGCCGGCCCTCAGGGCGCTCAATAAGCTCAGCGAGACCAATAACCGCGTGACCATTGGCCAAGCCTGCATTGCTACGCTGTGCCAAAGGAAGGCTTCGAACTTGGCGTCGCCGCCTTTCCAGTCTTTGCGCATGCCAACATCGATCAGCTCCCGGTCAAGCGCTGGTTGTATGTCGCTCTGCCGCCGACGATCGCAATTTCGCTTGTTTCGAGACCTTTACAGTGCTCCCTGTGGTCCCTGTGGCATGGATCACGAGCGTCTGCATCCTCGAGTACCCAAGCCAAGGCGGACCCGCAGCGCAGCATTGGCGCGCTTCACGGCGACGAGGCGCACCAGGAGGACACGGACGCACACCTCCACGAGCATCCGCCACAGCGTTGTCACCGGCATTCATGCGCTCCCCCAATGCGTGCAAAGCCATGTTTGCCAACTTGCGAAGCGTGGTCGTTGCCGACATGTTGTGGTTGGTCTTCGAGGAGCATACCACAGCTGCCGAAGCGAATCTGTAGAACGAGACAACGGCCACCAAACAGCAAGAGGTTCGAAGACCCCTTCTTCCTTGTGAGATCGAGAGATAGACTCAGGATCAATGACGTGGCAAACGCAGCGGCCGTATCTTGAATGGCTCTCTGAAGTTCGGATACGTTTCGTACTTTGCGTGTTTCGTACTTTAAAGAGCGGCAGAACCAAGCACAGCGATGGCGACGCCAACCAAGCGCCCCTGCGTCGTCCGTGACGCCTCGACGGCCGTCGCTCGCCTCAACGGCGCAGTGCTGATCGACATGCTCCAGATGATTCCGAATGCTCGGGATGCTCTGGCCTTCCTCAACGCATGGCCCTCCACGGCGCTGCCACCTTCGCTCGTAGCGCTCAAGGAACTCAGTGGCGTCATGAGTCTCACCACTCAGTGGCCGAGCCTCGTCCTCCAAACGATTCCAACCGACCACATGGAACTCGGGGTATCGGCGCTGCCCGCGTTCCCACAGATCCAGGTGTCCGACATGACTGATGCGCGCTGCCTTGCTGCAGCGCTCCCACGCACGGTCCGTGTCAAGCTGTCTACCTCGAGTATGTGGACCGACGCGACCCATGCAGTGGTCCGCGCGTGGCACGATCACATTACGGACCTCTCTTTCCGCAAGCCGAGCGACATGCCCGAGGCAGTCGTCGACGCATTGCGACAGTGCACGCACCTTCGCAACGTCTCGATCGTCGACCCGATCAACGCCACGGTCGCCCAGCAGATCGTCGCTGCTGTCACGACCCGGAGCCTCCAGCAGCTTGACCTCGATGTCATGTTCAAGGACCCCTTGGATACAACGGACATGGCTGCCTGGCTACGTCGCGGTGGCGCCACGACGCTTCGCCTCGCATGCACGGGCGTCACGGACGCTACTGCCTTGGCCGACGCCATCTACTCATGCGACTCGCTCGCCTCGCTCTCACTTGTGGGCGCCCGCAGCGTCGTCGATGCCCTTCTCGCCTCGCCTCGGCCCTTGCACCAGCTCTCGGAGCTGTCACTCGACGTCCGCGGCGCCGCGCAAAACGACACGGCACTGCTGCACAAGCTCAGTGGCGCCAAGATGACGTCGCTGACGCTGATCGGTCGCATCATCGACGCGCCGCCCGGCATCTGGAAGCCGCTCATGAGCTTCACCAAGCTGCAGCAACTCACGCTTCAGCGCATCTCGCTTCTCGACGTGTCCGCGTCAGGAACGTGCCCGCAGCTTCGTAGCGTGACGCTACGCGAGCTCGCGATGCAAGCCAAAGACATCCCCAAAGTGACCAAGTGGCTCGGCACGTCCATGTCGCTCCGAAGTCTCGAGTGGGCCGACATGAAGCTCGGGCGCCAGGGCCTCACAGCACTGGCGCAGGCGGTCCCGCACTGGATGACTCATGGCCTCGAGACGCTGTCGCTCCAGAGCATTCCGATCGACGCCGACGGCGCCAAACGGTTGGCAGCATCGCTCCAGCAGGGACGCAACCCGTCACCGCTTCGCATCGCGCTGAGCAATAGCCAGCTGCTCCGCGGCTCGGTCCAGCAGCTGGCGAACGCGATCGATGCGTGCCGGCAGGTGACGCTCGGGCTCTTCTCGAGCCACTCGCGCAAGTACAAGCTCGAGATAGCTGCCGGATTGGGCCAGCCGGATGTTGACGCGGGCGACGTCATTTTCGTTCAGATGGCGTCTCCACCTGCCTAGTCATGATACATGTCCAAACTATCCAAGCTATCCAAACTATCCAAGCTATCCAGTGTGGATTTGTGGATTGAATGCAATGTATGCGTGGCCATGTTCTCGCCGGGTAGGCATGCTTGTGCTCGCGTCTTCGACTGCTCTGATGCACGCTGGCTCGAGGTCACTCTGCCGCAGTCGATCCAGATGTCCCTCAACTTGGGCCAAGGTACGCACGCGAAGTTTGCGTCCATGGCGTCTGCGTGGGGCCCGTGCATCGCCAGGACGCGTACCATGACGTCGAACAGGCCTCTGGGGTGGAGGAGAACGACGACCTTGTTAAAGACGACGACGAGGCAGAGTTTGAGCCGCCGCCATTGACGCCGTCGCGTACTGCACCAACATGCGCAAAGCCGTCTTTCTCTACTTGCCAGGACGACACGTTGCCAGCCTGTGCATGGCCGCCATGATGCACCCTACGCAGCGCGTGCGCTCGTTCTATCTCGCGGCTTGGTTTGGCGAACCGTTCCCGACGTCATGTCTTATCCCATGGCTCCGTCAGTCGTGTGGGCAAAGGCTACGTCTGCACAGGGTCGATAACAGCGCCGCGCTGGCCAAAGCGATTGCGTCGTCGCCCGCCCTCACGTCCCTCTTCTTGGAAGACAGCGACGATGTTGTGGCAGCACCTGTCCAGAGTGGCAACAACCGCTCTCCCGCCTTGCCAAGCTCACTTGGGGCGTCGTGCAAGATGCCGCAGCGGTGCCGCTCGTATTCGACGAGCTGCGTGACTCGACAGTGCTTCAAACGCTACGGCTGTTCAACTAAGCGCAAACCACCGACGTCGACTGGAGCGCAGCGCTCTCGTTCCCAGCGCTCCGCGCAATTGAACTGGGATCGTGCGCGATTCACAGGATCGACGACGATGCGCATTGCCCGCACCTCAAAGTCATCCACCTCAGCAGCGTACGTGTACCCGACACGCTGTGGCCACGCTGGATCACACTCCCCACCGAGTCGGATTCTTTGCGCAAAATCGCAACCAATCACCTGCACTTGGCGCACGACAGCATCACAGTGATGCATCACAGTGATGGCGCGCGCTTCCACGGCTCCTCGCCAACGGGCTCGCGCTCCTTCGACTCCACGACGCCAAGATCGATGACGATGGCGCCGGCTCTCGCTCTCGCCAATGCCCGCAACCGCGTGCCCTTTACGCTGGACGTTGCAAACAACGACTTTGGTACGACGGGCAAGGGCGCGCTCTGGAGGTCTGGCCCCGACGAGTTCCTGGACGATCTCGTCGCAGCGCATGGCCTGATCGTGCGCGACATCTCAAAACAATTGTGTACAATTATGTACAATTTATAACCAATATCGGAACAATTTTGGCATTTTTATTGCAGTTATTTTTTCTTGGGCGCGTTCTTGAACGACGATTTGTCGGTCGGATCGTCTGCCTTTGCAATTGTAATCGGGTAATAAGCTGGCGGCAAGGATGTGTCGAGCGCGCTCTCGAGCAGCACGAAATAGTCGCCCGGCGCGAGGCTACTCGGCAGCGCAAAGATGGCTGGCACAAGCGCGCCACCGTGTTCCGTCACAATCGCGTGCTCGTCGATTGGCGTCTTGTCGTCGCTCAGAGTCAAGAGCGGTAGCGGCAGCGGCGGGACGTCCGGTACAACTTCGGGGGGCGGCGCGACGACCGCGGGGGCTTTCTTTCCCTTCGGTACCTCAGCAACCACGTCGGGCTCGGTCGAGCCGGGAATCTTGCCAGCTAAAAGGAGCATGCGCAGCTGCCGCCCCGACTCTTCCACGACACACGTGCCCTAGTACGTGTCGATCAAGTTCGAGACCAGTCACGGTGAGTACGCACGGCTTGGTTGTTGGTGCGAGCTTGCACTGGTGCGTCGATGCAGTCGATGCGAAACGCCGGTAGCCGCTTGGGCTCGGGCGGCGGCGGCGCGTCGACGCTGCCATCTTCGCTCGGCGGGGCAGGCTCCACAGGCTTGTCCTCTCGAAACACCAAGGGCGTCAAGTCCACGGTGGTATAGTCGGGCATGAGTCGCGAGATCACGAGACCGCACGAGCGATCTAGAGACCTCTGCATACCACCTCGTTATGCAGTAGAGCATACGTTCGGGGCGGTCGGCTGTCCACATGCCATCGTAGACGATGCCGTCCGGAAAGACGCCGCGGCCTTTGCCGTCTCGGAGTCCGTCGCGCCAGCTGCCTTCGTAGCTCTCTCCGTTGGCGCCAAGATACGAGCCTCAAGAGCATCGTCAGCACAGTATGGCTGCATAGGGTGTGCGCACCAAGGCCATCTTGACGTCCGTGGGCCCAGAACCCGTCGTACGTGCTCGCATCGGGAAAGCTATAGGAAGCTCGAAGATGAGTTCGATCCTCGTTTCGTTCAGCAGACGTCTTGCGGCCTTCGCCGTGAAACGTGTGTGCTTCAAAGTCGCCAACGTAGTGAGAGCCGTCCGCATCCCAGAGCTCGCCGTGTCCTACCGCATGGTGCCAAGTGAAGTTGGTGGATGAATGGAGATGCTGCACCGCAGTACTGATTGTCTCGCCACGTTCCTTCGTAGCGTTTCCCACTGGCCGAGAGAAAGCTGCCTACGACAGCATGATTCGATTGCCCTTTGGAGGCAGAGGTGGCACCGTGGCCGTCGAGTTCGCCGCGGCGAAAGCTACCCGCGTACGTCGACCCGTCGGGCCAGCGCCGAAGCCCCGTGCCCGTCATTTCGCCCTCTTCGAAAGCACCTTCGTACGTGCTGCCATCGCCAAGAAAGAAGATGCCATGGCCGTGCATCTTGCCGCGGTACCAGGACCCCGTGTACTTGAAGTAACCGCCCGGGAACGTGTACGTGCCTTGGCCATGCCGCAGCCGGTCCTTTGTCTCGCCCACGTAGCTCTACAATGAGCCATGACACTCGCTAGCATTGCGACGACGTTCTTGCGCACCATGTTGTCGCACCCGCCAAAGATCCTTTGAAACCGTCATCGTCACCAGCACGACAGCTTGCTCGAGTCGTTGATTGCCGGCCCGACGTTGGGCATGCTTCGAGTTGGTGCGGGCGGTGAGCCAGCTCGGCTAGCGTGGACCAGAGCTCGCACGAGCTACGTATCCATGACACGGCATATTGTGCTTATTGCATATCTTATCCCACTAAGATGGTACTAGGCCCGACGTTGGACATGCTTCGAGTTGGTGCAGGCAGTGAGTGAGCCAGCTCGGCTAGCGCGGACCAGAGCTCGCACGAGCTACGTATCCATGACACGGCATATTGTGCTTATTGCATATCTTATCCCACTAAGATGGTACTAGGCTTGCATCCACTAGGTGCTGGCGTCACCGACTGGTCGCCTTGACGTAGCTGCTTGATGCGTACGGTACGGGTGCTTGGCCTACGTCTTCGTGCGTCTGAGTCGCACCGCCTGATCGGAGCACGGCACCTTCGCCGACGTTCGCGCCGCTGGCAATCAACTCGAATATTGTATGGCATACAAATAATGCGATACGAAAGCGCACAAGTTCAACTTGCACTTTCCGAGATTGCCGTTGCGGACAACATGCCATCGACGTGGACGTCCGATCTCACGTTTGCGCTCAACGGCGCGAAAGTCGTGCTGCAGGAAGGCAGCGTTGGCCAGCTGCGGCTCGTCGACTACATCCGCGACGTCGCACGGCTCACGGGCACCAAGGTCGCATGCGGCGAGGGCGGCTGTGGCGCGTGCACTGTCGTGCTTCGTCATCGCAGTGTGACCTCGTCGCAGCTCGTGACGCGCGCCGTCAATGCGTGCTTGATCCCGCTCGCTGCTATCGACGGCATGGAAGTGCTTACGGTCGAGGGCGTTGGCAACACCAAGACAGGCCTCCACCAAGTGCAAAAGACGCTCGTCGAAAAGTCGGGCATGCAATGCGGGTACTGCACGCCGGGCTGGGTTATGAACATGGTCGAGCTGCTGCAAAACAACGCGTCGCCGACGCAAGCTGCGATTGAAGACCACTTTGACGGCAACCTCTGCCGCTGCACGGGGTACCGGCCGATTCTGGCGACGATGCACTCGTTTGGGTCCAAAAGCCTTGCGTACGAAGTCGACGACGGCGATGCCTACAGCGGTGAAGACGACTATGAGTTTCTTAATCCAGCTTGCGATCACGCCGAGTCGACGCGTGCGGCGAAGGGATGCACAACGTCCTGCGCCGACTGCCCGCACAAGGCCAACAACGCCAGCAATGTCGGCGACATGGAAGACTTGCGGCCCGATGTGACGTTTGACCGGACGTCGCAGGCACCACCGCCAGCGTTCATTGCCGACTACACACCCGTGCCACTGCGCTTTGTTAACGGAGACCGTGCGTGGTACCGTGTGCTGACGCTCGAGCAACTTGCCGAGGTGCACACGCTGCATCCCAAGCACGACGATGTCATGCTTGTGGGCGGTCTCACGTCACGGGGCGTCACCAAGTACTTGAACAGCACTGCGCCGTACCGCCACGTAGAGTTTCCACCTGTCCTCGTCGATATCACGCACATCCCAGCTTTGAAAACGACGAGCGTGCACGAGAACAGCGTCGTCGTCGGCGCCGCCGTGACGCTTAACGAGCTGCTGCTACAGCTCTCGACCGTCGATTCGGACGCGCTGCGCGTGCTCGCCAAGCATGTCCGTCGCATCGCCAACAACCAAGTGCGCAACGCAGCCACGTGGGCCGGCAACCTCGCACTCGCACGGACGTACCCGTCGTTTCCATCCGACTTGGTCGTCGGCCTCGCAGGCATTGGTGCGAGCCTCGAGGGGCAGGTCAACGGCGCCACCAAGACATTCGCAGTGCTCGAGTACCTCGGGCTACCCAAAGAAGATAGCGTCATTTTGGTGGCGATGACGCTGCCGATCTTGGCGCACCCGGTGACATTTCTCTGCCATAAAGTCGCCCAGCGCGCCGTCAACGCGCACTCGCACGTCAACGGCGCTGTGCTGCTCGTTACCAACGCCGACCGCGTCGTCCAGCGCGCGACCATCGTCTTTGGCACCGCCGTCGGCCACGTTGTGCAGTGTACCGAGACCCAAGCGTTTGTGCAAGACAAGTTGCTCTCAGAAGATCACTTGCACGCGTCGTTGCCGTACCTCTTGAAGGACACGGCCGCGCTCCACGACTCGTTTGAAGCGTACGCAACCAATTCGGATCGCTACGATCTTAGCGTTTCTGATAGGTCGGTGTTGCAAGCGTTTTGGTACAAGTCGTGGCTGCAAGCACTGCCCACGCTCTCGTCCAAGACCCTTGCGTCGGCCGTACCCGAGATGCCCCGGGCCGTCTCGTCTGGCAGCCAGTCGTTTCCATCGCACACGTCGACGGCGCCGGTCGGCAAGGCGATTCCAAAGCTTGCGTCCAAGGTCGTATCAATCTTTCAAACGTTCAATCCCTGACCGCGATACTTGCATGTAGCTCTTGGTGACGGGGGAAGCACGGTTCGTCGCCGACTTGGCGCCGCCGCCCAATATGCTCTACGGCGCGTACGTGTACGCCACGAAGGCCCTTCAGCGTGTGGTGCAGATTGACGCAGGGCCGGCGCTGGCCGTCCCTGGTGTTGTTGACGTCGTGACGGCCATTGACGTGCCGGGTGAGAACGCGACGGGCGACGGCAACGAGCCGCTTTTTGTGCCGACACGGGGACCGGTTCTCTACGTCGGCGCGCCTCTCGGCCTCGTCATTGCCACATCAGCGTCGATCGCGCAAGACGCGGCGGCGCGCGTGCACGTGACGTATGCGCCGCTTCGCAACGACCCTTTTTGGAAAGTGGATGCGCCGGTGATCTCGGTGAAGCAGGCGCGGGCGGCGCAGACGCTCGTGCCATCAACGACCGCGACGCCCAACCCGATCACGATGAGTGGCAGCGACGACAACATTGCGCAACAGCTGCAACGCGCCCATCACAGGCTCTCTGGCACCGTCGACATTGGCTCCCAGCGCCACATGTACATGGAGCCCCAAGGTACAACTTTGCAGTAGGCTCGCAAACGATCCGCTGTGTCTAGCCACATCGGCGCATCCGGGCGAAGACGACGCGATGGTGCTGCATGCGTCGTGCCAAAACCCGTCGTTCGTGCAGAAGCGCGTCGCATTACTACTGAGCGTGCCCCAGCACGCGATTACGATCGAGATGAAGCGGGCGGGCGGCGGCTTTGGCGGCAAACTCAGTCGCAACATCCTCAATGCGGGGGCCGCCGCTGTTGCTGCCTCCAAGCTGGGCGTTGTACGTTGTACGTCGTTGGTTTTTAGTTGTGACGAGTGCGTAGCCCGTTCAAGTCGTCAACGACCGCAACACGGACTTCCAAATGATTGCGGGCCGCGAAGCCATGGTGGGCGAGTACACGGTCGGGTACGATGACGCGGGGCGCATCACCGCACTCGACGTGCAGCTGCACTGTGCGCTCGGCGCCTACGCGGGGTACATGTCGACTGCCTCGAACGACGGAGAAAACTGAGTGTCGGGGTACTCTAGCGACAACATGGGCGACATTACGATGGCCGTCATGTGGGCGGATGGCGCCTACTTCATTCCCCACATGCGGTATGGTCAGAAAGAGTTGCTGACGGTGCTGACGTGTCCTAGGTGCGAGGCATATCTCTACTTGACGAATACGCCGACGTGTACGTCGGTGCGCGCACCCGGCGTGCCCAACACGACGCTGCTGCTTGAGATCATCGTGCATCACATTGCGTCGGCGCTCAACAAACCCGTGGCGTGGATCCAAGCCCGCAACATGCTGCACGGTACGCGTCCCTCGATGCGTCACCCTGGACTTGCATGCGTCTAGATGGCCACAAGACGCCGTACGGCCAAGTGCTCTCGAACGTGACGCTGCCACGTATTTGGGACCGGCTCCGTGAGAGTGCCGACGTGCTCCGGCGCAAGGAAAAGATCGCGTACTTCAACGCCAACAATCGCTGGAAGAAGAAGGGCCTCTCGATGACGCCGGTCAAGTACGGCATGGGCATCTCGGGCCTCAAGTACGGCGCGAATGTCTCGATCTTTAGTGGCGATGGCACCGTGCTCGTCACCCACGGTACACACTAGCACTGGCCCGAGTGGGCTCAAGAGAGTCGTGTTGTAGGTGGCTGCGAAATCGGACAAGTTGTCTCGCATCGACGCGCTTCTGTGATGCTCATGCGCATACGAGTAGGGCATTGATACGAAAGCCGCACAAATGGCAGCCTACGCGCTTGGTATCCCGCTCAATATGGTGCGTGTGCGCGCCACGAGCACGGACTTCGTGCCCAACAGCGACGCGACCGGCGGCTCGAGCACGTCCGAGTCGATTGCGCGCTCCGTGCGGTACGCTCGACGACCATTGTCAAAGGCTGATTCTGCACCTCTAGTGCGGCCTGCAACACGCTCAACGCCCGCCTGTTGCCCATTCGCGCAGCGCATCCCGACATCAAGGAGTGGACGGCACTGGTGGCCGCCGCCCATGACGAGGGCGTTCACCTCGCAGCGTCCGAGCAACCGCACACGTCGAGCAACGAGACGTTCGACTACTTTGTGTACGCAGCCGCGGCCTCCGAGGTGCGGTCGACATTGCTCCTCCGAGAAGGAGGTACACGTTGCCATGTAGGTCGAAGTGGATGTTCTCACGGGTGAGGTGTCGCTCGTGCGCACGGATATCATGTACGACTGCGGCGTGTCGTTCAACCCCGCGATCGACATTGGCCAAATCGAAGGCGCGTTGGTGATGGCGCTCGGGTTCTTCTTCCAAGAAGAAGTGCTCTACGATGAAAACGGCGTCCTGCTCTCGTCGGGCACGTGGGAGTACAAGATCCCGTCGACCAAAGACATTCCGCAGCAGCTGCACGTGACGCTCCTCGACAAGACGGAGAATGAAAAGGGCGTCATGAGCTCGAAAGCGGTTGGCGAGCCGCCGTTCCAGCTCGCCAACTCGATCTACTTTGCGATCAAGGACGCGATCGCGCACAGCCGCGACGAACGCGGTCTCCACGGCTTCTTCCAGCTCGACTTGCCCGCGACGGTCAAGCGCCGGCAGGAAGCAGCCCATGTGACGCCCGCCTCCGACTATCGCCTGTAGGCCCCTCGCCGTTCGTCCAGTTTTGTTGCCTCTCACTACGATTTTTGTTAACATGCATGGGGTCATCCTACGTGGGAACACGGCGTGTCGCTCTGATCGGTCTCGGGGAAAAAGATGGTCGTCGCAGGCGTCGGGTGGGTCTTGGGCGAGACTGGCTTGGTCATCCACTCGTCGAGGCGGCGCGCTGTCGCGTCGCATTTGGCGTCGAGCGTGGCGTGGGCTTGAAGCAGTCGAGCAAGCTGGGCCTCGACGCGCAGCAAAGCGTCGTGCATCGAGTCGTGGCTGGGCGTCGGCGTTGGTGTCGCAAGCTTCTCGAGCGAGAGCGCGCGGTGACTGGGGAAAAAAGAGACGTCGCCGCGCGCCATCTTGAGCGCCAAATAGAGCTCAACGCCGTTGTACTCGGTGAAAGGTTTCTTGCGAATGTGGGCAAATAGATAGATGTAGTGCCACACGTTGTGCTCGGTCGTCGTGTGGTGCTCAAAGCCGCGGCGTGTCAGTCGATTGAACGTGTACCCGTCGATCGAGCACACAAAGCACCGGTCGCGGTTCTCGTCGAGTTGCTCCTTGTGCGACGTGCGCAGTGACGCAAACGTGTCGATGATGACACCGAACGTGAGGTTGATGAGCACGATGATCAAGACGATGTTGTACGCGAGGTCGTAAAAGAATCGGATGTAGCCGAGCGAGTCGCTGCCGCGGCGATGACTTGGAAGGTACGCTCCGAGGCCGCCGTTGTTCTTGAAGCCTTGGTCCAGCGTCGTGAGGAAGCACTCCCACACCGTTTCGCAGCCGTTCGTACTGGCGTCGACCTTGAAGTCCCCGGGAAAGTACGTGTACGCAATCACGGCAAACACGTAGACGAGGAGCAGGTAAAAGACGACGATGTGCAGCAGCGTCTTGCCAGGGACGACGACCGCCCGCAAGACATCCCGAAGCTCCTACAAAGAATCTCGCTCAATCTCCCAACTGTCGAGCGACCAGAGTACCTGCGACCGGTTGATAAAGTCGACGAGGTGGAATGAAAAGAAGAGCGGCTCGATCAAGACACCAGCGATCGCAACGCATACGAGCAGACCGCGATACAACAAGCGACCGTCGGTCAAAATCACGTAGACCGTCTCGAGCCGCGAGAGAGGTTGGACCTTGATGTCGCTACCGACGCATCGCACGAGCCGCTCGACGTCTTGCAAAGTCTTTTTGTCGTCCACACGCAGAGAAGGCGCGTCTTCGTACGCGTGCTGGGTCGCCCGTCTCTGGAGCAGTAGTGGCACCGAGTTGGTCCAGTACATGAAGAGGAGGACGACCGTGAGCAAGACGTGGATGCAGCCCATGAAATACCAGACCGTCACCAGCGCATAGTTGGTCAAAACGATGAAGTTCAGCAGCAGCGACCAGACAAATGTGAGCAGCTTGATTTGCGATGCGTTCTTGGAGAGGACGGCTTTCAAGTGGTTTTGCCGGAGCGTGCACTGGTGCTGCATCTCTTCGAGCACCAAGTGCGTTTTGACGTAGAAATCGTAGAGCTTGTTGGCATCCCGCGAGATGTCTTGGAGTAGCTGCTGGCGCGTCGCGTCGGTGACGCACACGCAAATCGGGTGGATCGGAAAGTGCACGGCAATGAGCGGTGGTACCGCGTCGCTTCCGCCGACGATGGGCCATACGATCTCGACGCGCGCGCAGCGTTTGTGGAAAAAGCGATAGGCCTTCTCGTAGGACATGTCCTTGACGCTCTTGTGCTTGATGACCTTGCGGGGCTGCAGCGCTTCTGCGATCGACGGCTGGTGCTCGATGAGCTGCTGCATCAGAATGTGCAGGTTGAAGCCCATGCCAAGGTACGCATCGTGGCTGCAGCGCTCATTGCCGTCGTACACACCCTACAAGACACTTGGCAAAGGTATGGCGTCGAAAGCGTACGCTGTAACGGTGCTCAAAGTAATGGTAGGCGTCGACGACGTTGTCTTTGAGCGCATCAAAGTTGAGTTCTTGGATGAGGCGGTCGTGAATCTGGCGGTCGTGGCGACCTTCCAAAAGACTCGAAAGCGCAATGACGATCGACGCCTTTAGATCGCGAAACAGCACGAGCGACGCATCCGACAGGCGTTGCGCTGACTTTGACGAAAAGAGCATGAGTTCGTTGACTGTCGACACAAAGGCGTAAGTAGCGACTGTTTCTTGAGCTTCGTGACACGGACCCTAACATCCAACAACATTGCACAATGGATGCAGTGCAAAACGCTAGCGCACCTGGCAACACTCGGTGATCGTGTCAAAGACTTGCTTGTGTACCGCCAACGTCTCGGCCGAGAGAGCTCCCGAGACGTCCATGAGGTATGCGACTGTCGTAGATACCAAGTTGTGCGATGACGTTCGCTGTGCGATCAAGTAGCGTTGGGTGTCGAGGTAGTGGCCTTCGCAGAGCAACTGGAGGAACCGAAGCAGCCGCGTGATCGCCTCGTACTTGGACATGCCTTCATGGCTCGGTGCTTTCAGTGGACTCTTCGGGCGTCTCGGTGTCAAGGGAAGCTCGCGCGCTGTGTTGTCGTGCGTCATCGCTGCCTCAAGACGGCTTTGAAGCCGCTGAAAAAAAGCGGCGTTCGTGCTCTCAATCCAAATTGCGTAGAAGTGTTCTTGGACCTTGGCGTTCATGCCGTTGAGGAGCGCGATGCCGAGTTCGATCGACTTGTCCAACACGATTTGGTCCTCCGTGCTGCTGACAAGGTCGACGACGAGCTCCGTAGCGCCGAGCGTGTCGAGCTTGACTTGCATCGCGTTTCGGTGCTCCGATGTATCGACCGACGTGATCATTTGGATAAAGACCTCGAGCAGCGTCAGCGACATCTTGATGTGCGTGGGGTACTTGAGCATCTACCGTGTGCTACGATTAACAGCAAATGTCATTGAGAATACTACCTTGAAGTGGCACACCAGCTTGGCCACAATGTCGTCAAACGTGAGCGCAATGAGCGGTAGCATCGGGTTCGTTTGGTGCTCCACTTTAAGTTGCACCTAATTTCCACTTGTGCATTTTGTGAACCGACGACGTATGCTGCATCACCTGCACGGAGACGATGTCGCGCATCATGTGGCTGAGCTCGTCACGCACTGTGATCTTGATGCGACGGTGACTTCGCAGGTACAAGACAAAGTCTTGCACGATCGCGCTATCTTCGTCGGCACCATCGCTTCCCCTGGGCATGCCGTACGCACTGCTCTTCGATCCCAGAGCGTGACCATGGGCCACGCCGTCAGTCATTTCGAGCTCCCATCCGTACTTGGCCTGAATCTTGCGCACCCAAGACGTTTTGGCTTCAAGTGACGCAATGTTGAGCGATGGCAGCTTCTCCGACACGTCCGTTGCAGTGACAATGTCGTGGAGCGCCGGCGCCCATGGCACGTGCGACGCTGAGAGCCGACGTGGAGAAGCCGCAGCAGCCGTAACTGGCTTTGGATGCTGCTTCAAGTACGCATGATACGCTTGGACTTCGACCAAGAGGTCCGCAAAAGCAGTACTGTCCAGATCGAGCACAAATGGTGCATTGCTTCGGAGTCCACCAAGTCCCGCGTCCAGTCGAGGGCGTTCACTGCGCTCCGAGACATCGCACCAGAGATCGCCGAGAAACTCTGTCGCCCATAGCACTTCAATGTACTGAAGGCAGCTGTGCAGCTCGTCCTTGCTCCGGGCATCCGTCGGAACCCACGCGCCAAAGAGCCAGATATACCATCCGGCGAGCCACTCGCGCCACTCGTCGGCACTTGGCTTGACAATGCCCATGATGCGTGGGAGGTATGCATCCAGTGCAGGCACAAGAACGAGCATGATCGCGTCGAGGGTGTACCGCGTCGCCGTGGGTGCCGCCAGCTGTAGATCGACCTGCTGGAGCGCGAGAAGATCCAATCGGATACCTACAAAGAGTTGTGTGATGTCGTTTTGGCACAACTAGACTGGTGCAGTACATTTGGCCGTCAGTTCACTCACACGCTGCAAAATGCGTAGGTGCAACGACGCTGGGACACCATCAAAGACGTCGTCTTGTGCCAAAATAACGTCCTTGAAGTAGCGAAGGCACGCAAGCCCCAGTGCCCATTCGTGCGTCGCAAGGCCGCCTTCCAAGACTGCAAGCCACTGGTCGAGCGACAGAAACTCGACACGGCATGCGTCTTTGGCCTCGGCGGTTGGCGCGCAAGCGGCGAGGAGGTTCAAGACGGCGGCGGTGTACTTGACATGGCGACCGCTGGACATGTCATTGTAGATGCTTGGGTATTGCTGTAGCTGCTGAAGGATCGTCGCTCGATCGCGCGGTCGGGTTGCTAAAGACCTCAAGAACTCGAGATACCGCGCTTCGCCTTCGGGCTTGTATGCGACGGCCCATCGCACAAACCACGCAACGACCGTCTTTGGGGTTGCATCGGTGCGACCTCCGAGGTAAAGACCACAGAGTGCATCCTGGGCCGCCGGCAGTGCTTCTGCAAACTCCAAGAGCGTGTCTGCGTGTGTGTCCATGAGCGACGCATTCTCCGGGTGTTGACAAATGTGCCCGAGGAACTCGGTGCAGTGTGAGTAAACGGCGTAAAGAGTGTTGCGTTGCTTCTCTTCCAGCACAGTCTCGGGAACGTTCATGCTGGATCCGTACCGCTGCGTGGGCCCGCACCCGCTCGCACCACGCGGTAGTTTGGAGGGGAAGAGTGCTTGAAAGAAATGGCTCCCAGCTGAAACCATCGCCACGACGTGATCAATCGCTTGGATGTTGCGCAAGATACGGTGAATGACGGCACGATGCGACTCCTTGGAGTTGAACGCGTCGAGGATCGCCCGGAGCGCCGCGCACGCCTTGCTCGCGGTTGAAAAGTCGGCGTCCGACGTCAAGTCCATCCAGACTTCGGTCGTCTCGGCAAGTCGACGCAGATCATTGACATGGGCTTGCAACCGCGCATACATTTGGACGGTGGCGTCGTCGGCAATGACGAGTGTGCTTGACAGCGCCTTGATGAGCTGGTCGTGCTGGTTGAACTGCTGCATGTAGAGCTCGAGCGCTTTCGAGACCAGCGGCGGGTGTTCATACATGAGCGCTTGGAGCAAGACCGTGTCAAGGCGTCGCCCCGCAAGCACATGGAGAGAGTAGATGCACTCGAGCGAGTCGTTTTGCATCGCAGACGTCAACGGCGTTCCACGCTTGCCGCTGGACCCCCACAAAGACGATGTGAGTGGCGAGGTCGAAGATCGTTTGGACGTGCTGTGTAGCGTGTAGAGCACGCTCGAAAGTTGATAGTCGAGTCGGAACGTGTCGATGCACAACAAAGTTGTGCAGATGCTCTCCTTGATGTCCATGACAACCTTGTTCCACTCGCTCATCGTGTACTTCGAGTCGGGAAGTCGTCGGAGCGACGACGAAGACGACTTTGCGCTAAGTGCGGAGAAGCGATGAAGCTCTTTCTTTGCTTTCGTGTAGGCTGCTTGCCACCCGGACCGTGACGTCTGGACGTCACGAGATGACAACGGCTCTTGCACGGGAAGCATCGGCTGAACCTCGGTGTCGTGCACGCTGTACTGGCGGTATGCGGGGTGTTTTTGCCGCTGGACGCTGTTCTCGAAAAATGGGACCGAGTACTCGGGTGGTGTCGTGCTCGCGGTGGGTCGATGAGCCTCGACCAAGTCGGTCCGACTGTCCAAGAGGTCGACAAGGAGAGGCACCAAGTGGCGCAGATCGCTGCTAAACATGCCAAACGCCACAAGTTTTTGGGTTGTCCGGACCATCGCGAGCGTGAGCTCGTTCTGCGGGTACTCGGCAATGACGATGACGCCGTGGTGCTTCTTGAAGTAGCGCAAAAGCTCTATCTTGAGGTCGCCAAAAAATGTGGCGTCTGCTCCGTGAAGAGCCGTCGATGGAACCTCGACGACTGCGTTCTTCCAAATGCGTGTGTAGCGCGGACTCGGCAGCACGGTCTGCGGCTCGCAGTCGACGTGAAGCACGACGAGCAAGTTGAGCAAGACGGCGCGCATGGACCGTGACAACCCTGCATCCTGGACCGTTTGGAGCAAGTTGGCGCGGGGAAAGATTGCTCGGAGACGCTGAATGCACACATAGTTGCGGTCCATGCACAGCGCACAGTAGAGCTGCAGCAGGCCATAGTAGTACGGCGCCAACGTCGTATGGCGCTTGCTGTCATAGTACTCGTTGTAGAAGACGTCGAGGTTGACTAAACGCACGCCAGAGGGTTTGGCGGGGATACTGATCTCAAACCCGCGGGATGCGGGCTGCGTCGGGATCAAGAGGGCTGCGCTGTCTTCCGTGTCGAAGAGAAGCTCGCAGAGCTTTTCTTGAATCTTGGCAATGGCGTGGCCGTTGGCGCTGCAGAGCACGACGAGAAACTGAAGATACCGAATCGACTTGCCGCGCGTCTTGATGAGGTCAATAAAGCTCCGGAGCGTGTGCGAGTAGGACGCGACAGACTCGGACACGTGCCACTTTTCTTGAATGAGGAACGAGAGCGGGACCGATGCCTTGAAGCCATGCCCGAGCAGCTCCATCAGCACTGGCATCGCGTCCCGGCACGCCGATGCATCATCCCACGTCTTGACCCGCGAAAAGATGCGGAACATGAGCATGTTGACCGTACAAATGATGCGGTTCAGCGTTTGCATCGAGTCGTCACTCAACTGATAAGCGGCCGGCAGCGACACGGCGACCTTGCCTTGACGCCCGCGGTGGTCGTTGGTGCCGTCATCGTCTTCATCATCGAGGCCGTCCAACGTCGTCGAAAGGTTGCTCTGCATACGGTCAAAGAGCGAGTGCGACGCAAAGTTGAACGAGCACAGGTAGTCGATCGAGTACGGACCGCCGTAGGAAGAAAACGGGGCCTTGATGACCGACGTCAGAAGCTCCACGTAGCGATTGCGACGAAGGAAGAGTGGTCGCCGGACGTCGTCGTTTGTCTCCGTAGCAAACTGGTTCAAAGCCAAGAGAGCTGCTTCGACGTGCAGTAAGAGAGCTGCAAGTCCGGCGCTGGCGTTTGAAGACATGGCGGCGTGCCGAGGAGAGCGGGGTGCGCCAGGTGCAGCTTGAAACGCCGAAATGAACTGACGCAAGATCCGACGGTATGAAACGAGAAGCAGCGTGTCATTTGTATCCGAGGCCGAGACGGATACGATTTGGAAAGCATCTTCGTCGTGCGGCGCTGGCAGAGCGCCAATGTCGATCAGGCTTGGATCGCACATGACGTCAGCGAGGTTGTCGACCGTTGCGATGTCGCTTGGGTGCAAGTAGCGCTTACATTGAACTTGTTGTAGCAGCGCAACGGCGTCTCGCGAAATACTGCAGCTACAATGATCCATGAGCGCAAATGTCGGGACAGTACACAAACCGCGGGTGAACGTTCATGGTTGCTTCAAACACAAACGCCTGAGGCTGATAGCCCATCCCAATTGTCGCAGAGGCCTCGTCCATTGTCATGTACTTGCCCGATACGAGGTGCCGCAATGCGATCGTATCTGCCCAGCAAAGCGCGCCTCCGTCGCTCGTGTAGCTTCGCTCAACTTCCCATAGCGTGTTGGGTAGCACCTGCATCATTTCGTAAACACCATAGCTAGAGCTATATCCGCACGCACCACAGCTGCGGCCTCAAGAGGGTCCATCCCGTGCAGCTCCGATTGGAGACGCACATGCAATGCGTCATCGTCACAGCCGAGCCACGCGTTTGTCTCCAGGTGCAGTAGGCGAATGCACGCGCCAGCTTTTAGCACGGCCGCTGACTCGAGGCTCTTGTTGGATGCTTTCTCTGTTGTCGACTCGTACGGAAGTAGACGCCATGGCGACGAGTGAGACTTGGACCCCACCATGAGCGACGACACCCCATCGGAGGCGAGACGGCTCGACGTGTGCACATATAGCCGTTTTACGTCGCGCACGACGTAAAACTATGCACAGAGGTAAATGATTGGAAAAGGCAACATTATGCGTACTTGGTCGAGGATCTGGACGGGCTCGCCTGACTTGCGTAGCTTGTAGCGTGGCACAAAAGTGAGATGGGCCTCCGCCGAGCCCCGTTTCAGGGAGATCTACACCACGTTCTCAACTATTTGTAGAACGCTCAAGATAGTTACCTCTGTCGTGTCCACAGTGGGTGTTGCGAGGTCGTGCACGCAGATGAATTTGCCCGACTTGATGTGCCGCAGCTGAATGGTCTAGAGCCAGACGCGGAGTATGAATCATTGTGGCAACTATGGACGTACCTGGCCATACTTGACGTGCCTTCCATACAAATTGGTATACGTTGACGCGTTCAGGCGCTGCTCGGATTCGCTCTTGAACTTGAGCTCGGAAAAGACAGTCGAGAAGCTGGCGGAAGTGCCCTTCGTTGTGGCCTTGGCCTGCTCGAACGCGGCTGTCGCTTCGTAACTCATCTTAGGAACGATCTACCCGCATCTGCGTCAGCCACAAGCTTGTAGCCCGATGCACCATGTACCTCGAAGAGACAGTCCTTGTAGTGGCATGCGACGAGTTGCCCCGATCGGCGCTTCATGTTGTGCTTGGCCTCGGGCACCATATGCTCGAGACGCACGTCCAAAGACGCAAAGCCTTCCGAGGCCAGCATCCCATTCCGCTCCATGGAGAGGAAGGCGACTGTCATGCCATACGTGAGGTAGTCGTCGTCTCCAGCATGACCACGGGCGATCCCTGCCTCGTCCAGCGCTCCATGGACGGTCAGCCGACGCCCCTTCGCATCCTCATGGGGCTTCGTCGGGGGAGGGGTGTTCATGGCGCTCCCCGCAAGCTCCGTGTCGATGGCCAACGCATGGTGGCGGGACTCCCCCGTCTGGCGCCGTCGCATCGTGTCCTCGTACCGCTGATCGTCGACTGCCAAGATCCGGTGAAACGGTTTGTCCGGATAACAATGTGTATCCGGCCATCCGGATAACTTCGCGCGCTGGTCGGTTGCGCTGCCACGTGGATGGCCGACTCTGGTTCCGCAGTCGTGCGTCCCCACAGCCGCGCCGTACAATGTACCGATTCCTCCCAAGGTTCCCCATCCTACGCGTTTCCTCGCCGGGCGAGATGCCGATAGCGATATGCAGCATTTTGAGTCCGTGAGGGGGTGCGTTCCAAATCCAAATCCGCAACCTTGGGTCGGTTGGGAATTTCGAGCTGCAATAGTGGTCGGTCGAATCTTGGCGCAAAGATAGTATACTTGAACTGTATCCAGTGAGCCATCCCCAAGACACGCCACATCGTGACTTGCGCGTTGCTGGTTCATTGAGCAGCTAGAACTTTTTCCCTGCGTAGTAGTTGGGATGTGCGAGTGGGCTACTGCCTCTCCGGAATCAGGTGACCAGTTTGTTCGGCAAGCTTGTGTGACCAAATGTGACCGACAGCTCACATCGACAGCTCCGCCCGCCGGTAGCTGACGTGCAAGCATCTTGTTTCACGCGAATTGCATAACGATAGAATGCATGACGCGTCATCCATCGCGATGTCGAGTTGCTGGAGTATGTCGACAAGCCATGCGTCGAAGCCACTGTATCGTTCTTGGCGTGCAAAGCGATGGCAGCCAAATATGCTACCATCGAACTCTGGCTCGCTTGATTTCTGTGGTTGCACAGTAGTCGATGGCGTTCGCACCAAGGGATGATGCGTGGCCACTCATTTTCCTTTGCTTCGATGCACGAGACGCATGGTGTCGGCGGCTGCGAATCGCAGTACCACGACGTTTTTTCGAACGCTACCTATTTGTCGTCTATCACGCAAGCGGGCTCGGCAAGAAATCCGATCCGGCAAGCAGGGCGTTTGCATGGTTTTGCTAGCTGGTTTTGCTGCGTCGACGGCTCCCAACTTCGGCCCGAGCGCATTTGTTCCAACGCGCAATCTCCGCCACGACCCTGGGGCCAGCGGTTCGCCCACCTTGCAGTTCGAGCTTTGCCGACACATCAACCTTTTTGGGACCGCCGCCGAGTAGCTACTTTTACTGCTATCCACGAGCGAGTAGCTCCGAGTAGCTATGCCTTATGAGCTGCGGCCACCCATGGCATGGCATTTCCTAAATCATGGAAAGATCGAGAGTCCGCTTGAACGCGTTTTACCCACGTTAAACCTAGGCACGTGGCGCGCTGTGGTCGTCGATTGCAATAAAACGTTGTGACCAGCCAACGATTCATTGCGAAAAGCATCTGCTATCACCTGTGTTTGTATGGTTGGCTATTAAATTTCTGCAATCTGTTTAAACGGCATGTCGGAGATCGCTGAAACGTCGACGGCGATGCGGATTGGCCATTGCGACTGGCGCATGCTGCACTTTTGGCCAATCAAAAGACACCTTGAACTTGGTTCCATTTTGGGCTGGCTATGATCCTGTTTCATTCACAAATTCGAATCACCATGAGCAGCTCCGACACGATGGGCCTCGTGCCCTCTCTTCTCTGGAGCACGACGCAGGCGACTTGCATGGTCGGCTCCATCATGTTTGTGGCCGCGCTCTGGCTACGACATGTGCGCAAGCTGCACGGCGGACCACCGACGAGCAGCAAGCTTGCGAGCGCATCGGACCACAACCGTATGGAACCGACAGCCGATGGCCAACACTCCGACAACAACTTTGGTTGCGGGCTCACGCTGCGCGATGCGCTCAACCCAGTGTCGTCGATCGACTTTAACACGCAGTTGCCCATTCCGATCGAGACGCCGCTCTTCCACGGCAAGGCGTACGTCTTGCTGCGTGACCCACGCGGCGATCCGCGCTGGGACCCGCTCTTTGAAGGCAAGCAACGACGTGTGTGGGTCATGGTCCAAGGTCAGTTCAAGCGTGAGCCCAAAGGCACCGTGTACCTCGCCGGCGAGCTGCCGCGCACGATGGTACTCAGCATGTGGACCAAGGCGTGGGCGGGCATGATCATTGCGTCGGTCAAGACGCTCATCGGCAAGCTCCACTTCTCGTTTGGCGACGACGTCGAGTCTCCGCACGTCGCACTACCGCTTTACCAGAGCGCCGATCAGCTCGTGGCAACGCCGATCAACGACGTGCCGCCCAAGCTCGGCATGGACAGCTGGGGCGAGTCGCCGGCCGACCAGAAGGCGCGCAAGGCCACGCCCGTTGGCGACGAGGTCTTCCGCACCGATATGATCTACTCGTTCCAGTTCCATACCATGTACATCGACTTGCCGTCGTGGAACCTCGTGAACCTCCCGGGCCTCCACGACGTTGGGTTGCAGCACTTTTTCGGCGACATGTCCCTGCGCCTCAGCATGTACGAGCACACGCCGCGGCCGCACGAGGTCGCGCACATTAGCAAAGAGTACTGCTTTGCACTGGACGTCGCACGCGGTGCAGCGTCGATGGTCGCGCCCACCTCGGCTGATTGCTGCTCAGTGCGCGACACGAGCACGTCGTTTGCCGGCGTCGAGTTTGACCTGTGGATGTGGCTCGAGTACTTTGATGCGACGCAAGACATTCGCCACATTGCGTATGTGCTGCGCGTGCGCCTCGCCGACTCCAAGGTCTACACGGTCATCTTGCCGTCCGAGGCCGTCGTGGCCATCTTTGCCGTCAACCACGACGCGTCGCCGCTGCTGACACGGGCGCGCATGGACGCATACGCTGCAATCGAAGACCAAGCGCTCGAGGTGGGTCGGCGGCTCCAGAGCATCGCGTACGGCGGCACCGGTGCCGCCAAGGCCGAGCTCTACCACTGGCTCACGACGCCGAGTCCAATGACGCTCGCGGCCGCCAACTCGGACAAGGCCCTCGGCGTGAGCCTCTGGCCGTGGCGCCGCGCGGGCATGAACGTCTGCAAGGAAGGCAGCGCGTACCGCATCCTGAGCGACACGTGCTTGCGCCAAGAGTACCTCATCTTGACGTCATCGTCGCTGCAGTTTTACCGCACGTACGCGTCGTCGCCGCTCCGAAAGGTGCCGATGAGCCACATGACGCACGTCGCGTGTCGGTACCTCAACGACCTCTTCGTGCTCGAACTCCATACGTGGACCGAAGTGCTCTACGTGCACGTGCCCGACCCGCTCTCGTGGCAGGCCGCGATCGAAGACCTCTGCGACCGAAGTCCGCTGCGCACCTGCGCCGCAGCATTGCAGATGACGGCGTGGACACCGTTCAACGCGCTCACGTACGAAGGGTACCTCGTCCTCAACTCGCGCAAGATTGCCCACGACGCTGCCACAACCGTCTCGGTCGACCCGTGTCTCGTGGCAGAGGCCGCCGTTGTTGCCGGCGCTCGCGTCTGGAGTGCGCGCACGCGGGCGCACAAGCTCGCCTTCCAGCTGGCAGTACAAGAGCTGCGGTCCGTGGACTTGAGCCTTCTCGAGGCGTCGGAGCACAAGCTTGCGTTCTACTTGAACGTGTACCAAGTGCTCCTCATGCATCTGCACCTCGCAATTCCCGCGCCCACGAGCGTGTGCATGCACCAAGTCATGTACGAGGTCGGCGTCCAGAAGCTTATGTTGTCGCTCGCCGAGCTCGAGCACGTCATGTTGCGCGGTGGCCTCGGTGCCGTCGAGGACGCCCCGTACCTCGACTTTGTGCCGCAGAAGGCCGCGTACCCGTCCGCGTACACGGCCGCCGCGTGCAGCAGCCGCGACTTTCGACTCAGCGCGGCGCTGTGCAGCCACCGTGACGACAAGGTCGTCGTGGTGTACGCACCGACATGCGTGCACGACCAACTCAACGCCGTCGTGTCGTCGTACTGGCAGGCGCGCGTCGTCGTGGGCAGTTCGTCGCTGCAGCTGCCGCTGTCGTGCAAGTGGTTTGGCAGTGACTTTGGGGCGGACGACCGTCTCGTGCGCAAGCTCCTTGGGTTCCTCTCGGACGACCAGCGCAGCGGCGTCTGTCGCCTCCTCGAGGCGCCCACTAATTTATATCCCGAGTTCAAAGACGGGGCCAAAGCCGCGCCGCACGGCTTTTCTATTTAGTCGCGTCCGAAGTCGAGCGCAGTCGATGGCAGCAACTAACTAATATGTGTGAACGTTTGCTTGCGGCAGAGACCAAGGGTAGAAGCATGACTGCAGAGGTGATTCCGTGGCCTTGACCTCTGCTGCAAGCAGCTGCATTGCAGGAGCATTTGTCCGACCCTCTGACGTGGGTGACGTGTCACAGCGTGCGGTGATTGTCCAGGATGTGGCCTCTTTCGTCGCTTGCCGAGACGACCTTTCGATAAAAATTAGTTAATCGCCTTTCGACTAAGTGTACTTTGTACTCGCAAGGCCCTAGTACTTGTGAGTGGCTTTGTGCATTCGTACACACGACCACACGGAGGCAGCTTGCGGAGGCAGCTAAAGGAAGCGCGACGATGCTTGAAGAATGCCCCGTTGTTGCATGACTCGCTCTGTCCAAGCATGCTCTAGAAGGTGTTCCGGGACTGGATAGCGTAGGACGTCCGTGCTGAGGGCTTATGTCGCGTTGAACGTCAACCTCGGATTCAACGGCACGCCTTATCCATGCAGCAAATCGCCTCGGTCAACGTCCCCGCGACTCCAACACGCCAAAAGTAATTTGGTTTGCAGTGAGCGTAATGACCAAGGAACACTACTTCTTCCAGGAAGCGTCGTTTGTTTGGTCAATGATCCGTGGCTACGCAGAGCCATACGCACAGCCTCCAAGTCGATCCAGGTTGAGGATTCGCCTTGCCATCGCAGGTCCTTGTGCAACAGCAACCACGTGCGAAGGCTGGACGAGCGAATCGATGTTGTTGGCATCGAATTAGCAAGAGAATGATGCCCGACCAAGCTGCCTGGATCGTCGTGAACGATATAGAAGAATATATGTGGCCAGTTCAACGTCTTATCGGCATGCTCTCTCTTCAGCGGCCAAAGGCTTCGCCGATACGAGTGGCTGCATGGACCTGCTACAAAACATTGTGGTCGATGCTACGACACTTTAAACATCCATTGGAGCTCGTCGCTTGCGAGTATCTTTGACAATCGACAAATGCGCTCTCCAAGGTGCGCGACGATGTTGAAGCCGCTGACCCATGACGCTCTTGAGAGCAAGTGCATGACGCTGCTTCCTACATCATCGACGCCCGTGCTCTGAAAGATCTCGTGGTGTGCGACGCAAGCATCCTTCTCAGGTATCTCGTACGTTGAACGATGAGAAGGTCGATCCTCCAGCGATGCATCGCGTCATGGTGCCACCTCCCGATGGCCGTGTCCGATGCATCGCAGTTCTCTTGGGTCCTATCAACACGGCGTTCCGTGGGCATGAACCAACACTCCACGTAGACCCGACGCCGAAACCCCCGTGGACACACATACTCTATCGAATCGTGTCTGAAGACCGCATTCGTTTCGTGCCCAATGACGACACGACCAGATTCGTGGAAAGATTCCAGCCACACGTTGCCCCATCGGCGTCATGAGCGGGCACGGCCCACGTCGCGCGGTGGTTTACCTATACGTTGGCCAATTAGACAATCGCACGTAATCGGTGTCCCTCCTCCTCTTGGGGGCAGGTCGCTCCGTATACATTCTCCATGTCATCCAGCTGCCCATCCCCGCCATGTGATTACCAATAGCGTCCGCCAGAATCTTGGCGGCTTTCTCGGTGGTCGTATCCATGGGACGCCGCGCGACCGGCTCGTCCAATACAGTACGTACATCATCATACAAACATCGAGCTCAAATACACCGTACATCGTACGTTTGCGAGACAGACGCCCGCGTCAGACGGTGCGCTTCGATTTCACCGCGCGATGTGATTGGCGCTAAAGAGATGCGGTCTTGTGATTGGTCACTTTTTTGAAGTCATCGCAACCTCACCGATGACCACCACGCGATGCATCAACACCCTAGCCCTCCCCAAGCCTTCGTAATCGTGCTGCAGGAGAGGACCTCTCACAACGTATAAACACTGCGTTTCGATCGCGTCATTATACAAAACCCTGCTCCTTAGACCTCTTATAAAGCATACCTGTGTACACACGATCGCGCTCATATATTAAAAGAGAGAGGTTTGGACGCGGTGCACGGGGAGCGTCTCGTCTTGCACTTGGCGTTTGTATGTGGGCCAATCAGAGGCCGGCGTCCGACTTCCCGGGGGCGTCGGAAATCCTGCGAACGGACTCCGGGTGGTGGCACTTACTTTACAATTTCCTTCGTCTAGCGCGCGCCCCCTGACCACGGACGCTGACAAGACACACCCATGGCTTCGACGACGACTACCTCGACCTCGACCTCGACCAGCTCCATGACGCCGCCGGCCCTCGTGACCTCGCCGGCGACGCGGCTCGCCGTGACCTTTGGCGGCCAGGCCAACGTCTACATTGACGAGCTCGCGCTCCTCCTCGAAAAGTCGCCGGCGGCTGCATCCTTTATCGAAGCCGCGCAGGCTGCGCTTGTCGAAGAGGCCAAGCCGTTTGGCATCACGATCCATCCGTTCTTGTGGGCGACGGACGCGACGACGCGCCCGTCCGCGGCGGCGCTCGCATCGGCGACCAACAGCTACCCGCTTATCATGCTCGCGCAGTTTGCCAACTACCTCGCGTTCCTTGAAGCTGCGCACGTGACGCACGAGCAGTTTGTGCCCAAGATCGTCGCAGGGACGGGCCACTCACAGGGCGTCGTGACGTCCGTGCTTGTCGCGGCGGCCAAGACGCACGAGTCGCTTCTGTCGCTTGGCCTTCAGTTTGTGCGCTACATGTTCCTTCACGGTGTGCATGCGCAAGCGACGTTTGGCAACGTCTCGAACGCCGGCGACGTCTCGCCGATGCTCCTCGTGCGTGGCCTCCCGGTCGAGAAGCTGCAGCCGATTGTCGACGGCACGAACGCCAAGCTGCGCTTGAAGGACGCACGCGCGCTCCAGCTCTCGCTCGTGAACGACAAGACCAAGATCGTCGTGACGGGCCACCCGGACGCGCTGGCGCTGCTCCAAGCGGCGCTCAACAAGATGAGCGCGGGCGACGATGCGCAGAACCGCGTCCCGTTCTCGCAGCGCAAGCCGCAGATCTCGACCATTCCGCTGGCTGTCTCGGTCGCGTTCCACAACACGATTCTGACGCCGGCGCAGGCGCTCATTCAGCAGGAGCTCAACCGCCTCGAGCTCGCGATTCCTGGTGATGCGCTGCAGTTTCCCGTCATTGGTACGAACGCGGCGGCCGCCAACTTGCAGTCGTACGGCGCCAAGGACGTGCTCCCGGACGTGGTCGCGATGCAGCTCTCGGACGCTGCCTTGTGGCCAACGACCGTGTCTGCGCTCCAGCGGATTGGTAACCTCACGCATGTGCTCGACTTTGGGCCGTCGCGTGGTGCTGCACCGCTGACCGCGCCCTTCTTGGAAGGCCATGGCGTGACCGTGCTGCTGCCGACGCATGCACACAAGGGGTCGGCGACCGTGCCGGGTCTCGCGTACCTTGCGACGCCGGCGTCGGCCCTTCTGCGGTCGTCGTGGGAAGCCACGTTTGGCCCGCGCCTCGCTACCTCCGACTCGGGCAAGACGATTCTGCAGAACGCGTACACGGACCGCCTTGGTCGCCAGCCGATTTGGATTGGTGGCATGACGCCGACGACGAGCTACAACGGCGTGCCGCTCGTGGCCGCGGCGCTCGAGAGCGGCTACATTGGCGAGCTCGCGTGCGGCGGTCTTCCGCGCCCAACGATCTTCGAGGCCAAGGTGAACGACCTTGTCGCGCGCCTCACGCCCGGCAACGGCATCTACCTCAACTTGCTCTACTTGAACGCGAAGCAATGGGCTTTCCAGTTTCCGATGATCAAGAAGATGCGTCTCGAAGGCCTCCCGATCGAAGGCGTGACGGTTGCCGCGGGTATTCCGACGCCCGAGAAGGCCGACATTGTGCTCCACGAGCTCCTCTCGGTGGACATCAAGGTCGTTAGCTTCAAGCCGAGCTCGATCGCGTCGATCCGCGAGGTGCTCACGATCGCGGCGCGCCACCCGGCGGCGACGATTGTCGTGCAGTGGACCGGCGGCCGTGCAGGTGGCCACCACAGTTTTGAGGACTTTCACACGCCGCTGCTCGCGACGTACGCCGAGATCCGCCGCCATCCCAACGTGCTTCTGATCGTTGGCTCGGGCTTTGGGTCGGCGGCGCAGTCGTACCCGTACCTCACGGGCGACTGGAGCGTCGAGTTTGCCGATGTCAAGATGCCCTGCGACGGTATCCTTGTCGCGTCGCGCGTCATGGTGGCCAAGGAGGCCGCGACGGCCGAAGCGGTCAAGGCGCTTCTTGTTGCGACGCCCGGCATTGCGAATGAAGCCGACTGGGAAGTGGCCTACGAAGGCTCGGCGGGCGGCGTCATCACGCTCAAGTCGGAGCTCGGCGAGCCGATCCACAAGATTGAGAACCGCGGCGCAGTGTGCTGGCGCGACTTTGACCGCAAGTACTTTAGCCTCCCGATGAAGGACGCGACGCAGGCCATCTTGGCGGACAAGGCGGCGATCATTGCGCGCATCAACGCCGACTTTCAAAAGCCGTACTTTGGTCGCAAGGCCAACGGCGACGTCGTCGACCTTGAGAGCATGACGTACCTGGAGGTGCTCCAGCGCATGATGAGCCTCATGTACGTGCCGTCGCGCTGGATCGACGTGACGTTCATGACGCGCGTGTTTTCGTTCTTGCAGCGTGCGGAGCAGCGGTTCCTCGGCCGCGCCACGACGTCGTCCAAGCTCGTGGTGCAGAGCGCGAGCCAGCTCCAGAGCAACCCGTCCGCGCTCCTCGTCGCGTTCCAACAGGCGTACCCGGCGTCGGCGTCGTCGCTTCTCTCGATCGACGATGTCGATTTCTTTTTGCATCTGTGCAAGTTTGGCGGCAAGCCGGTCAATTTTATCCCGGTCATTGACGGCGAGCTCGTCACGTGGTTTAAGAAGGACTCGCTGTGGTACTCGGAAGACCTCGAAGCGGTGGTCGACCAGGATGCCGGGCGCGTCATGATCCTCCAGGGCCCCGTCGCCGTGCACCACATCACCAAGGCGAACGAGCCCGTCGGCGACATCCTGTACGGCATGAGCAACGGCGTCGTCGAGTCGATGGTGGCCAAGAACTTCCCCAAGGTGCCGACGGCATCGGCCGCGTATGTTGCGGTCGAGGGCTGGACCCGCGCCGAGAAGATCGTGACCAAGACCGTCACCGAGGCTACTGACGCGGTGGCGCATGTTGGTGCGCTCGCGCGCCTTGTCTCGGGCAGCCGCAACTGGCTGCACGCGCTCTTGACGGCCGATCACGTCGTTTCGAGCGGCAAGTGGGTGGCCAACTCGATTGCTGCGATTTTGGCGCCAAAGATCGGGCAGATCGTGGAGCTTGAACTGGCGTCGGACGCGCCAGTGGCCCTCCGGATCCGCGACAAGGCGGTGCTCGAATCGGCGCCGGTCGTCGAGGTCTCGTTCGCGGCCGGTGTCATCACGCTCCGCGTCAACCTCTTGCGCCCGTCGACGCGTGAGTGGAAGGCCACCGTCGTGTCGCTCGACCGCGTGTACGACTACAAGCCGTCGATCGCGATCTCGCCGATCCACCTGCGCACGACGGTGTGCGAAGACAACATCAAGGCGTTCTACGCGCAGCACTGGCTGGGCAACTCGCTCGACGACTGCACGGCGGCGCTCGGCCAGAGCATCCATGCGACGCACAAGGCTAGCTTCACGGTCACGGCGTCCGACATTGCCGACTACAACGCGTCGCTTGGTCTTGTCGGTGCGACGGCGCCGGTCGATTTTAGCACGGTTGCCGGCTGGCAGCCGCTGATCGCGTCCGTCTTTGCATCCGAGATCCAAGGTGATCTTCTGCGCCTGGTGCATCTCAGCCACGCGTACGATGTCGTCACCAAGGGCGACGCTGTCTTCTGCACCGGTGACGTTGTTGCGTCGACGGGGTATGTCACGGCCATGCGCAACACGCCGTCCGGCAAGGTCGTCACGGGTGTCGTGGCGGTGGCCGTCAACGGCGCCGACTTTGTCCGCGTCACGAGCGAGTTTCTCATCCGCGGCAAGTTTGAAGACCACGCGCACACGTTCGAGAAGAAGCCGTTGATGGGCAACGTGCACTTGGCGGACAAGGCCTCGATCGCCGTCCTCACCGACAAGTCGTGGTTCAAGCTCTCGGAGGGCAAGAGCCTCCGTCGCGGCGACACGCTGCGCTTTGACCTCCACGCGTCGTACGTGTTTGCCGACGGCATGGCGTGGCTTGCGTCGCTCGACGTCCAGGGCAAGGTGTTTGGCGGCCCGGCGCTCAACGAGGTCGTCGGCTCGGTCTATCTGGTGCAGACTGGCGTCGCGAAGGACCCGATTGCGGCGTACTTGGACCGTGCTGGTGTGTCGGCGGCGGTGCCGACCAAGACGGCGGCCAACCTTTTGGAGACGCCGTTGGCGATCCACGTGCCGACGCACGCGCTTGCGTACGCGCAGGCGTCGCGCGATCTCAACCCGATCCATCGCTGCGGCTACGCGGCGGCGCTTGCGGGGCTGCCCAAGTCGGCGCCCATCATGCACGGCATGTGGACAGCGACCAAGGTCCGCAACATGCTCATGGAGTCGCTTGAGGCGCAGTTCCAGGTGACCAAGCTGACGTCGTACCACGCCGAGTTCACGGGCATGGTGGCCAACGACGACGAGCTCTTCCTCCAGGTGACGCAGACAGGTGTCTCCAAGGGCCAGCTGCTCCTCGCTATCAACGTGGCCAACTTGCGCGGCGAGGCGGTGCTTGGCGCGACCGCGTCCGTGCCGATGCCGCTCACGGCGTTTGTCTTTACGGGCCAAGGCTCGGCCGAGGTCGGCATGGGCATGCAAGCGTACGCGTCGTCGCGTGTCGTCAAGGAGGTCTGGGACGCTGGTGACAAGCACCTCATGGCCAAGTTTGGCTTCTCGATCCTCGACATTGTGCGCACCAACCCAAAGAGCATCACGATCCACTTTGGCGGCAAGAAGGGCATGGCGATCCGCCAAAACTACATGGCGCTCGTGTGCGAAAAGGGCAACGACGTCGTGCCGCTCATTCCGGAAATCACGCAGCACACGCAGAGCTTTACGTTCTCGGCGCCGACCGGTCTCCTCTTTGCGACGCAGTTTAGCCAGCCGGCGCTCGTGCTCATGGAGAAGGCCACGTACACGGAAGCCAAGGCGAACGGTGTCATCGCCGAGGGCTGCTACTTTGCGGGCCACTCGCTCGGCGAGTACGCGGCGCTGAGCTCCTTTGCGGACGTGCTCGCCACCGCCGACCTCGCCGAAGTCGTCTTCCTCCGCGGCATGGTCATGCAGAACGCGGTCGAACGCGATGCTAACGGGCTCTCGGACTACGGCATGGTCGCCGCCAACCCTGCGCGCGTCGGGTCGCGCGCCTTTGACGAGACGACGCTCTTCACGCTCTTGGACGTCATCGAGGCGGCGTCCGGTGAGCTCTGCCAGGTCGTCAACTACAACGTGCAGGACACGCAGTACGTCGTCGCCGGCGAACTCGTGAACCTTGAAGTGCTCTCGCGCCTCATGACGCGTATCCGCGAGCAGCCGACCATTTACCAAGCGGTCGGCGCCGAGGCCCTCGTGGCCGAGACGCTGGCGCTGGTGCGCGCGCAGAAGGAGCTCTCGCTCGCCAAGGGCAAGCCGTTCGGACTCAAGCGCGGCACGGCGACGATCCCGCTGGTCGGAATTGATGTGCCGTTCCACTCCAAGAAGCTGCTCGGTGGCGTGCCGGCGTTCCGCAACCTCTTGCGTCCGAAGCTCAAGAAGGAGATTCTCTTCCGGAACAAGGCGCTGCTCGAGCACCATTACGTGCCCAACCTCGTGGCCAAGCCGTTTGCGTGCACGAAGGAGTACGTGGCCGAGATCGTCGCCTTGACGGGGTCGCCGTCGCTGACGCCGATTCTCGCCAACTGGGGCGCGACGCCCGAGGACGAGCTGGTGCACACGCTTGTGATCGAGCTGCTTGCGTACCAGTTTGCGTCGCCGGTGCAGTGGATCCAGACGCAGGCGTACTTTTTCGAGAACGGCCTCCGCCGGTTTGTCGAGATTGGTCCGTCCTCGACGCTCACGGGCATGGCGGCCAAGACGCTCCAGAGCGGCAAGTTCCCGTCGGCCAAGTGCGACATTCTCTTCATCGGGAAGGACCGCGACGTCATCTACTACGAAACCGAGTCGGAGCACCCGTCGGCGGTCGAGTATGCGTCGGCCCAGGCGTCAGCCCGCGCGGCGGCTGCTGCACCGACCTCTGACGACGTTGCCGTCGTTGAAGACGTCGAAGAAGTCAAGGCGGCTCCGGTGGTCGTCGCGGCCCCGGTGGTCGTTGCGGCGCCTGCTCCGGTGGCGGCGGCCCCGGCGGCAGCCGTCTCGGACGCCCCGATTAGCGTCAACCACGTGCTGCGTGTCTTCTTGGCGTACCGTTTCAAGAAGACTTTGTCCGAGATCGACGACAACACAACGATCCATGCGCTCGCAGCCGGCAAGTCGGCGGCGCAGAACGAAGTTGTGGGCGAGCTCGAAAAGGAGTTTGGTGGCGGCGTCGACCGCGTGCCCGAGCTCCCGCTCTCGGTGCTCGCGACGTCCTTCAAGGCCTACAGCGCGTTTGGCGCGGTCTTTGGTGCGCTCACGACCGACTATGTGCGCAAGCAGATGCCCGGTGGCTTCAACCTCTCGCAAGTCAAGGCGTACCTTGGCTCCGAGTTTGGTCTTGGCGCGGGTCGCACAGACTCGGTGCTCATGCACTCGCTCCTCTTCCCGCCGGCGTCGCGCCATGCCAACGAAGCCGCGGCCAAGTCGTGGCTCGACACAATCGTCGCGGACTACGCCAAGTTTGCCGGTGTCTCAATCGCCAAGGGCGGGTCCGCGCCTGCCGGTGGAGCTGGCATGATGATGATGCCGTCCATGGGTGCGCCGGTCGCGCTCGACCCGGTGCCCGAGGCCGACATCACGGCCGCGTATGCGCTCAAGGTGTTCCTCGCGCACAAGTTCAAAAAGTCGCTGGCCGAGATTTCCGATGCGGTGAGTGTCCACGACCTAGCGGCCGGCAAGAGTGCTGTCCAGAACGAAGTCGTGGCCGAGATGGAAGTCGAGTTTGGCGGCGCCGTCGATGGCGTGGCGGAGATGAAGCTTGGCGACCTCGCGCCCAAGCTCGCGAGCTACAACAAGCCCGGCAAGTACTTTACGACGACGGTCTCCAAGATGCTCTCGGCCAAGCTCCCGGGCGGCTTCTCGGCGTCGCAGCTCCGGTCGTTCATGGCGACCGAGCGCCTCCTCGGCCCCAGCCGCACGGAGATTGCGCTCATCCACGCGCTCGTGCATGTGCCCGAAGCGCGCTTTGGTACGGACGCCGACGCCAAAGCGTGGATCAACAAGGTCGTCGACGACTACGCGACAGTGGCCGGCGTTTCGATCCCGTATGCGTCCAAGGCGGGCGGCGCGGTCGGCGGTGGCGGCATGATGGCCATGATGGGCGGTGGCGGCGTCTCGTCGGCGGCGCTCACGGCGCTCGAAGGCAAGATGGAGACGATGCTCCACGACCAGATCAGTGCGTTCCAGACGTTCATGTCGTTCGACCCGCTCGACAGCTTGAAGAAGACGACGGCCGAAGACGTTGCGCGCCGTGAACTCGAGGCCGCGCTCGACCTCTGGGTCTCCGAGATGGGCGAGACGTACGAGAAGGGCATTCAACCCAAGTTCGACGCCAACAAGGTGCGCGTGTACGACAGCTCGTGGAACTGGGTCATGCAAGATGCGCTCGACTTTTACTACAAGTCGCTGCTGGCGCCCAAGGACGCGACGCCGTCAGCGAGCGCGCCGCAGTCGTTTGACCGTGACACGTTCTTTGCCGAGATGTCGGCCTTCTTCAACACGGACGCGGCGCAGTTGGCCAAGATTGGCGAGCCCCAGGGCTGGTTCAAGCCGTTCCTCTGCAACCGCGCGACGCCCGAGCTCCTCGCGGCCACCGAGTTCTTTGCGTCCCGGAACGACGCCGACGGGCACTCGGAGTACGCGCAAGCGATTGCGTTGCTCAACGAAGAAGTCGAAAAGTGGCTTGCGCGGGACCCGGTGCACCTCCAGCTCTTGCAGCCGATCCAGCCGCAGGTCGTGATTGAAGCCAACGGACACATTGCGTACACCGAAGTGCCCCGCGGCAACACGTCGGTCGACTATGTCGACGAGCTCGCGCGCGGCTTTAGCTACCGCGTCGAGGGCGACCGCTTGGCGTCGCCGCTCGGTGGCGGCCACGCGACCGTCAACGTCGTCCGCGGCCTCGAGATGGCCGACCTCACGGAAGACGGCGGTGTGCACTCGGACCCGAACAGCGTCTGCAGCGAGCCCGTCAAGAAGAAGCGCTACGCCAAGCGCGGGTCGCGCATTGCTGGCGCCAAGCTCCGCGGTCTCCAGGCTGTCTCGCGCAAGACCAAGAAGGCCAAGACGTCGGCCGCGACAACCGTGCTGCCGTACGTGCACGTGCGCAAGCCCGACCACGTCGACCCGACCAACCGCGTGCTCGACGAAGCGCTCACGCGGGAGTTCCTCTTGAGCATGCACGACATTGCGTCGGCGGGTGTCTCGTTCGTCGGCAAGAACGCTCTCGTGACCGGCTGCGGCAAGGACTCGATCGCGATCGAAGTCGTCAAGGCGCTCCTCGAAGGCGGTGCGACGGTCATCTGCACGACGAGCAGCTTCTCGGCGCGCTCGACCAAGCTCTTCCGCTCGGTCTACGAGAACCACGGGTCGCGTGGGTCGCGTCTCATCCTGCTGCCGTTCAACCAAGCGTCGGCCAAGGACGTCGCCGCGCTCATCGGCCACGTGTATCACGTGTTGCACCTGGACCTCGACTTTATCATTCCGTTTGGTGCGATCTCGGTTGTGGGCCCGACGCTCGCCGACATTGACTCGAAGAGCGAGCTTGCGCACCGCATCATGCTCACCAACACGTACCGCCTCCTCGGCCAGATCATCGAGGCCAAGCGGGCGGGCAAGATCGAGACGCGGCCGTGCCTTGCGCTTCTGCCGCTGTCGCCCAACCACGGCACGATGGGTGGCGACGGTCTCTACGCCGAAGCCAAGCTCGGCCTCGAAGCGCTCATGAACAAGTGGCACTCGGAAGGCTGGGAAGACTACATGAGCATCGGCGGCGCGGTCATTGGCTGGACGCGCGGCACGGGGCTCATGGCCGGCAACAACATGGTCTCGGCCGGCATCGAGAAGCTCGGCGTGCGGACGTTTAGCACGACGGAAATGGCCTTCAACCTCACGTCGATTCTGCATCCGCGCATGGTCGCCGCGGCCGCTAAGTCGCCGCTCTGGGTCGACCTCGGCGGCGCGATGGGCCAGCTCCACGACCTTAAGGTGCAGACCGACACGATCCGCGCCTCGATCCTTGAAGAGTCGGCGCTGCGCAAGGCCGCGGTCAACGACCGTGCGCTCGACGCGGCGTCGTCCAAGGCCGCCGAGACGCCGGTGCAGCCGCGTGCCAACATGTACGAGTACTTTGCCAAGTTCCCAAGCCTTCCGGCCGCGTCCGAGCTCGCACCTCTCGGCGCCAACTACCGCGGCATGATTGACTTGGACAAGACTGTCGTTGTCGTCGGCTTTGGCGAAGTCGGCCCGTGGGGCAACTCGCGCACGCGCTGGGAGATGGAGTCGTACGGCGTCTTCTCGATCGAAGGCTGCATCGAGCTTGCGTGGCTGCTCGGGTACATTGCGTACTTCAACGGCACGCTCAAGAACGGTGAGCACTACATTGGGTGGGTCGACGCGTCGACAAAGGACCCGGTGCATGACACGCAGGTCAAGGCGCTCTACGAGGAGAAGATGCTCGAGCACGCTGGCATCCGCGTGATCGAGCCCGCGCTCTTTGAAGGCTATGACCCGGCCAAGAAGATGTTTTTGCAGCAGGTCGCGGTCGACAAGAACATGCGCCCGATCGAAGTCGCGAGCCAAGAAGAGGCGCTCGAGTTCCAGCGCGAGCTTGGCGACGACAACGTCGACGTGTACGAAGGCAAGGACGGCGTGTGGATGATTCGTCTCCGCCAAGGCGCCGTGCTCTCGATCCCCAAGGCGCTTCGCTTCAACCGCTTCGTCGCGGGCCAGATCCCGACCGGCTGGGACGCCAAGCGCCTCGGTATTCCCGCCGACATTGCCGACGCGGTCGACCCGGTCACGCTCTTCACGCTCGTGTCGACGGCCGAAGCGCTCATTTGCGCCGGTATCACGGACCCGTACGAGTTTTACCAGTACGTGCACGTCTCGGCGGTCGGCAACACGTCCGGTTCGGGCATGGGCGGCATGCGGTCGCTCAAGCGCATCTACCACGAACGCGCGCTCGCCAAGAACATTCCGTCCGACTCGCTCCAAGAATGCTTCATCAACACGATGGCGGCGTGGGTCAACATGCTCTTGCTGTCGTCGTCGGGGCCGATCAAGACGCCGGTCGGTGCGTGCGCGACGGCCGCCGAGTCGGTCGACATTGGTGTCGAAACCATTCTGAGCGGCAAGGCGCGTGTCATCATTGTCGGCGGCTACGACGACTTTGGCGAAGAAGGCTCGTATGAGTTTGCGCAGATGAAGGCGACGTCCGATGCGGTCAAGGAGACGAGCATGGGCCGCGACCCGCGCGAGATGTGCCGTCCGTGCACCGACACCCGCGGCGGCTTCATGGAGGCCCAGGGCGCCGGGATCCAAGTGCTCATGGATGCGACCCTCGCGATCGAAATGGGCGTCCCGATTTACGGGATCGTCGGCGCGACCAACACGGCGACGGACAAGAACGGCCGCTCGGTGCCGTCGCCGGGCCAGGGTATCCTCACGACGGCGCGCGAGTTCACGGTCGGCGACGATGGTCGCATGGCCAGCGCGCTCCTGAACCCTGCGTTCCGCCGCGCGCAGTTTGACGACGAAGTCGAGGCGATCAACGCGTGGAAGACCAAGCAGCTGGCGGCCATTGCGGCGGGCAAGCAGACGTTGTACGCGGCCGACGTGGTCGAACGCATGGCGCTCAAGAAGCTCAAGGCGGCCCAGCGCATGTGGGGCCACGACTTCTTCAAGGGCGAAACCTCGATCGCGCCGCTTCGTGGTGCGCTCAACGCTTGGGGTCTCACTGTCGACGACCTCGGTGTCACGAGCTTCCACGGCACGGGCACGAACGCCAACGACAAGAACGAGAGCGAGATCACGCAGAAGCAGCTCGAGCACCTCGGCCGCACGCCCGGCAACCCGATCATGGTTGTGTGCCAAAAGTACCTCACGGGCCACCCGAAGGGGGCGGCGGCGGCGTGGATGTTCAACGGCCTCCTCCAAGTGATGCAGTCCGGGCTTGTGCCTGGCAACGCCAACAACGACAACACGGCGCCCGAGCTCCAAAAGTTTGACCTGCTCGTGTACCCGAACCGTTCGATCCAGACGGACGGCGTCAAGGCCGCGATGCTCAAGAGCTTTGGTTTTGGCCAGGCCGGCGGCGAAGTGCTGTTGATCCACCCCAACTACTTGCTCGCGGCGCTCGAGCCGGAGACGTATGCGGCGTACTCGGTCAAGCGCGCCAAGCGCACGGCGGGTCTTCACAACTACTACCAGAACGTGCTCGCCAACAAGCACGCGCTCGTCCAAGTCAAGGACCACGCGCCGTATACGGCCGAGAACGAGTCGGCGGTCTACCTCAACCCGAACGCCCGCGCCTCGTACAACCCCAAGGAGAAGACGTGGACGTTTGGCGACGTCTCGTCGCAAGTCGACGCCGCCGTTGAGACGGGTGTCGCGCCGCCGCCGACGTCGGGCCCGGTTGTCGCGCCCAAGAAGATGCTCGAATCGTCCATGGCGTCGGCCGGCTCGCAGCTCATCATGTCGGCGGGCCAAGGCCTCGGCATCGACGTCGAGCCGATCGCAACGTTTGCCGACTTTGCGCTCAAGCAGACGTTCTTGGCGCGCAACTTTACGCCCGCCGAGATCGCGTACTGCGAAGCGTCGGCCGCGCCTGCAGCGTCGTTTGCGGGCCGCTGGGCCGCGAAGGAAGCCGTCGTCAAGGCCATCTGCAACGCCAACCCGAACGCGCAGCTCACGGCCGGCCCGGAAGCGCCGCTCATCGACATTGAAATCGGCAAGTCCGTCTCGGGCGCGCCGACCGTCAGCTTTGCCGGCCGCGCGCTTGCCGCGTTCCAAGTGTCGAACCTCAGCAGCGTCAAGCTCTCGATCTCGCACTCGGGCGACTACGCCGTCGCGCAAGCGCTCGTGCTCTAGATAGCATTGTTAGGACTTAGAAGTCGTGCGTCGTGTCGAGCGGATTGGTCCCCGTCTCGATGCGGCCGCGAAGCATTGTATGTTGCATGTGTCATTAACTAAATACGAAAAGTATTCAATTTCGATCCTGCATCATTCGCGACGTTGTCCATTTTGGCCGAATGAAAATCACAAAATTTGTGTTTCATTTACTTAACAAGGTGGATGCTACTTCAACGTGACCTGATGCATGAAGAAGTCGCGTTCTCTTGTCGGACGTGGCATCGTCGGTCTCGAGATCGTGCAAGACACCGCTGCCGAGCTTGCGTTGTCTGTCGTGTCGTCCACACATCGCAGCAGTTTGACCCATGCTCCCTACGGTTCAGCATCTTTGGAACCGGTGGAGACGCTCATAAACTCCAGGAACTGGGCTCACGTAACGTTTCGCCTCCGACTTCTTCAAACTCTTTGGCCCTTCTACTGTCTGGTCCCACCAAAGGTAGAACCCACTGGTCGCTCAACGCCTCTGCGTTGGAGCTTTGCGTTGGTTGCCGAGCGAGTTTTTCTCTGGCAAATGCAAACTGGAAACTGCAAAGTGGTGACGTCAGCAAATTTTATGCCGAGGTATCTTCCCGCGCTGGGCGAAGGCCGCTATGCAGCGTCGTGTCTTGTCGTGTCGTTGGGCGGCTCGTTGTTGGCTCTCACTTGCAAGCAAGGCTCGTAGTTGCAGCGCTTTTCGCTGATCCTTCTCCGTCGTGTCGGACCGACCTACCAAGAGTTACCGTAAATTTTGACAATTTCGACGCCAATGTCTCTTTTTTGGCGCATTACACCACATAGTTCAGCTTGGATTGAGTATCGGGCCATTCCACCCTATGTTCATCTGCAAGTTTGTATACCGTACAATTGGTCGAGTTGTTTCTGATTCCATCGAATAGACGCCAAAGTGCAATCGCCACGATGGGCGTCGTCAGCAAATGCTGCTGCCTCACGCTCGTGCTCTACAAGCTCGTGTGGCTGGCCTTCACGCTCGGGCCGCTCGTTCTCATGTACTTTATCTACACGCTGTACCTCAAGCCGTGGGGCGAGGACCAGGTCGCGACGCTCTCAGCCGGCAAGTCGGCCGCGTCGCTCAACTGCTCGGGCTGCGTCCTCGGCATCAACACGCAGTTCCCGCCCAACACGACGGGCTTCCGCCACACGCTCGACACGTTTGGCGGCCAAACCATGAGCTCGGTGGTGCGTCCATTTTGAAACCAGTCTCTGTTCATCTCATGTCATTGCAGGTCGGGATTGCCATCGCCTCGTCGGTCGCATCCGGTGTTGCGTCCATGGCGTGGGCGTCTTTCCTTCCGGGCGCGGCCACGCTCGGCAGCCTGGGCTCCAACGTCAACGAAGTACTCGCGATCGTCGAGCAAGCGCAGTTCATCGGCCTTCTCGGGCAGCTCCAGACGTCGGGCGCCCCCGTGTTTTTCCAGCAGTTTACAAAGGAGCTCGCGTGGGTCAACTTCAACATTGGCAAAGGCGTCGACGCAGTGAAAAAGTCCATGCACGCGCGCCGCCTCGACCTCTTCTCGGCGCAAACGAGCGAGACCGGGGTCGAGCGGTACGCGGCGACGCTCGGGGTTGAGCCCGACGACCTCTTCTACTACACGCTCATGATCCTCGCGATCGTATTTGCCATCATCCTCGTGCTCTACGTGCTCGTGACGGCGATCATGAGCTGCATCAAAAAGTCCAAGAAGAATCTGTGGGTCAAGTACTTTCGCAAAGTCATTTGGGCCTACGTGCTCATTCTCCTCCTCTCGCTCTACATTGTGGCCATGACGGGCTCCTACAAGGCGCGCATCGAGCTCGCCAACGGCTCGTCCGCCGCCGGCTCGGGCGCGATCGTCCTCTCGGTGGCCATCTTTGGCCTCGCGGTGCTCGTCGGCGTCGTTGTTATTGCGTCGCACCCGAGTGAGCTCGACGACCTTGGGACGTACGAACACGAGCAACGACCGTTCAACGCCAAGTACGGGGCCTACTACGACGAGTACAACGCGGACAACCGATTTTTTTTCGTGCCGAAAGCCATCGTGGCCGTCGCCACCGGTATCGTTGTCGGTGTCGTCGCCGACACGAACTGGCAGCTGGGCTTGCTCATCGCCGCCAACTTGCTCTACCTTGTGCTGCTCGTTTTGCGCGAGCCGTTCTTGCTGCGGTTCCTCTTCTACATTGGCGTTCTCTCGGTCTTTCTCAAGGTGTTTTTGCTGCTGCTCATGGTTATCCTCGCGCGGGACGACGTCTTCCCGCAAGCAGTCCGCGACAACGTGGCGTACGTGATCGTCGCCATCAACATGATCGTCTTTGGCCTCCTTGTGATCCGCCAGCTCTACATGACGATCCACAAAATGGTCCGCAACTGCAAGGCCAAGAAGAAGACTCCCTTGGACGACGAGAACGAGCGCGCCGACTTCAACCAGGTCGAGTCGCCGGTCCGCCCGAAGAACACGCACCATCAACCCGACCTTGAGCGCGGTCAAGGGCGCCCGCACGCCCCGGATGTGCACAGCGCGGGGCCGCGTCCTGGCGCACAAGCCGCCGGTTCAATGCGCGACGGACCCAACGCGTCACTGCAAAGTGGACAAAATACGCACCAGCTCGGCGGCTCACTGCGGGCCGACCCCTCGCGCTCGGCACTCAACGGCAACGGTCATCTGCAAGGCGGCGGATCCATGCGGTCGGGACTCGACGAGTACGGCCGTCCGTTGCCCAACCAGCCGACTCCACCAGGCTCGATGCGGTCGGGGCCGCAGAGCTCGCTGCCCGGCGCTGCGAATGGTCCTGGCAATCTGCGTACTCAACCGACAACGTCGCTTCCAGGAAGCAATCGCGCCGCTCAAATCACTCCTCCTGGCTCGCTCCGGAAGGGTGACATCGCGTCAACGGTATCGACGTCTTCCGGTGGCAACTTTCGAGGCTCAACACAAGGCGGTGTTGCGAGCGGCCCGTCATGGTCGGGCGACGCCGCGACTGGGACGTCGGCCCTCGCTGCGGGTGGTGCCGTGATCGGTGTTGCCGCAGCGACAAGTCGGCGTCGGGAGAAGGAGCAGATCGGTGTAGCCGCAGCATCGAGTCGGCGTCGGGAGACAGAGCAGCCACCAAAGCGCGGGTCGTTGCCGCCGCCGTGGTCGGGAGATGCGTACGCCGAACCCAACCACGCGGTGGTCATGCCCGAGTACGACCTCGACAAGGAGCTCAACCTTCGCGCCGACGACGGCGAGAAGCGGCGCCTCAACAAATCCTTTGCGAGCAGCAACGACTCGTACGACCGCGCGTCGTCGGGCTACGGCTACTCGGGCAAGCTCTCGTTCGCGTCAATGACCGACCAACCCTTCTCCCGCGCCATGGCATCCCCGCCGCCGCTCCTCGAGCGCGACTCGCACTCTGTGAGTAGCTCTTCGTCGTCGCGGGAGGCATCAAGCAGGCTCGACGCACTCGCCGCCAAGTACCTCGTTGAAGACCTCTCGGGGGAAAAACACAAAAAATCGCTCGTCGATGGCATCGACAACGAGGATACCAAGCTATCAATGGTCGGAAGCCTCCCACCGAAAGAGTCGCTTGCGTTCATTCCGCGGCCGCTTGTGGCCTCCAAGAGCTTGGGTCTCGAACCAACCGCAACAACAACCAAGAACGACGACGAGACGACGAAGCGGCGCACTCACTCGCACAATGGCGTGTACCGGCGAAGCAAAGACGGCGCCGACGAGTTTGAGAACCGCATGTCCATCGACAGCTCCGAGGACGAAATCGAACTTTAGGTCAATAATCATGTAGCTGTCTAATACACTGTGTTGATGGTTACACAAAAATGAGCTGTTTCCTCGATATTGTCCCGGATGTGGTGTAGTACTAGTAGGCAAGCGAAGCGGCAATGGCACTGGCGGCGCATCTTTATCCGGGCATTATTATCCAGATTAAATGTGCTCGGCGTCGCTGCTCGGCAGCTTGTTGACGAAGTTTGAAGTTTTTTGCAGAGTCGCGTGTTTTGCTCGATATGCATAGCGCATGACGCAGGGAGCCCATAAACCAAGGAATGGGGCTCGTAGCGTGCCTACAGCCTGAGTTAGTTGCAATCTGGTAGTCGATTGATACATTGATACAGTGATACTAGTCAGTTTCGCCAACTTGAACGGCGCCTAACTCGGGCTGGAGGCACGCTACGAGCACCATTCTTTGGTTTTTGGGCTCCCTGCGTCATGCGCTATGCATATCGAGCAAAACACGCGACTCTGTGAAAAACTTCAAACTTTGTCAACAAGCTGCCGAGCAGCGACGCCGAGCACATTTAATCCGGATAATGCGCCGCCATTGCCGCTTGTCCATGTGTGATGATGCGATGTATGGCCGTGCGCCTGCTAGCAATAATGTACCTCCTCATGTGCAAAACCCACAGAGCCACTACGATAACATAATGATTGTGCACTCATGCAGAATTGGTTCATGCGCGCGTCAAACTGCTTGACCAAGAGCTTCTTGAGTGCGGTTGCGCTTGATCGTGAACATTGAGTGGTCGTTCTCGACCGCCAACGGGTTCAGGTGCAGCAAAACGGCACGGTCACACTCAAAGCCGTTGTTGAGAAGGCCGTTCTTGCCCAAACCTCAAGATACAGGCATTTAGTCGACCACCTTTTGTCCAGTCGGTGGATTCCTTCTCTATACTACACCGGTTCAAGCCCTGTCTGTGTTGTCAACTTCTTTTTCCCGTTGGCGTTGGCATCGGAACTCCGAGAAAAGTTCGTCCCACAGAGCTCTTGGAGCGTCTCCAACATGTTGAGCGACTTGGCAGCAACTTGGCTTGCTTCTTCGGACATAATGATACCTTCAAGTAAGGTGTGGGGCGAGTCGCTGGACACGAACGGCTTGGCGACGTACACGCTGCTCTTGATGTCTTCTCTGGCGCCAAATACTCGCCCTGTGAGAGCATGGAGACGTCTTTTTTGCTGTCGACGATCGTGTCATCCAAGAGCTTGCGTTTCAAACAGACAACAATAACAACAACGACCAAGAACAACAGCGAGGACGCGGCGACGAAGCGGCGCACCCACTCGCACAATAGCATGCACCGGCGATGCAAAGACGGCGCCGACGAGCTTGCGAAATCGAACTGTAGGTCAATAATCTTGTAGCTGTCTAGTACTGTGTCGATGGCTACCCGAACACAAATACGAATATCTGGTCGGTGCGAATGATGCAACCAGAATCGATCGGTGCGTGGTCTGCCTACGACGTCGTTCGTCGACGTGACGAGAGGCCGACGCTGCAGAAAAAGCCAGCTTCTAAAGGAAGGTAGGTAGCAACACCACGTCTGCAGACCAAGAGTGCATCATCCGCATTGGCGTCTGTGACACGTGGCATTCGCGCGGCTTCAGGAACAAAGTAGGCGCTGCTTGGCGTGCTTTGCATACTGCTATTTCCGACTGGTACTAGTTGTCATTGTGGTGTGGACTAGTGATAGTCTAAATAGAAATGGTATATATTTATAGGGCGTTGGACGATAGACAACGTGTTAATAATAAGGCACGGCACAGCGACAGAGATGCGACGAGAGAGATTACGCCGAGTAGAGACGCTGGCGCTTGATGCACACCGGCGAGTCGTACGAGTAGACGTCCTCGACGCCGCTCGGGCTCGCCGAGCGCTTGAGCTTGCTTGGCGCTGTCGGCGTCGAGCACTCGACTTCAACCGGGGCCGCCGGGTGGGCGAGGGCGAACACCGCCTCCTTGACGACGCCAAACGATGCGTCGAGCTCAAAGCGAGCGCGCGGGAAGGGCATGTGCAGCATGTCGCACGCGACCGAGACGACCGCGAGGGCGACTGTCGACGGGAGGTACTCGAGGAGGCTCATGTCCTCGGCCGTGCGCGAGAGGAGGTCGAGGCAGAGGTCCAAGACCGTCGCATCGGTGTCGAGAAGCGCGAGGTAGCTCTCGAGAAAGTCGTGCGGCAGCGCCGCCACGAGCTTCCAGTCGAGCACCTTGAGCAGGTCCTTCTCGGCCGACACAATGTCGGCTGCGCTATAGTCATTCGCGATCGAGACAGCCTCGACCACGGTAAGCGCGTCCTGCTCGTTGAATTTGGAGGCGGCGAGGACGCACGCCATTGCGATAAGCTCAACGTCCTTTTTCTGAATCGAGCGCACCGAGAGGTAGCGGTCAAAGTAGTTGAGGGCGAGGGCGGTCGTCTTGACCTGGAATGTGAGCATGCCGGCGAGGTTGGTCATCCAGCTCACGACGTTCGAGCGCCACTCGAGGACCATACCGTCGGCCTGCACGGTCGCGAGGTACGACGCGTTGGGCTGCGACTTGGTCTGGTTGCGGGTCAGGTACGCAAGCGAGTCCTCGATCGCCTCGGGCGTGAGGCTGTACGCGACGCTCATCGCAGGCTCTTCGTTGCACGTGAGATCCATAAAACTCTTCATATTGGTTGGGCACTAGCGGCGACAATCGGAAGTGAGCGCCTCCGCCATGCTGGCGGGTGAAGCTCAAGAAAATCATCTTCGATTCCGCATCGTCCTGCTTCGCCATCTGAGTGTCCAGTCGGCTTTCGAAAATCGCCAGGCGCCAACCGTTAACCGGTTGCGACGCGGCAAATGCAAGGGCAATGTGGACCGCAACTGGTTAGCCGCCAACCTGACGGACGCCTGGCGGTTAGACTGGTCGAACTTTATATGACGAAATGTATCAGATGCCACTCTGAAGTTCGAAGCGACGAATTTCTCACACAGGAGCTGATGCAGGTGGTCGGATCGTCATCGTCGTCGCTGGAAGAGGCGGGCGACCATCCCATCGCCGCTCCATACCAGCCATCACAGCAGACACCCGCTGATCGCAATCTATCGTCCTCGCCTTGCCCACCGTCAACGCGAGCTTGGAACGCGATGGTGTAATGGTCGCGCGAAGCAGAAGTGCGCGCGTTGGCGTCCCACCCGCCCTGTCTAGAGCAAGCCATTTGTGAGCGCAAGCAATGGAAGAGCCGCGTCGAGTCAGAGGTCGAGTAGCCGCGGTATACAAAGACGCAGAGGACGTGCACACTGCTGTCACCACCTTGAACCCAACGTCGGTGAACAAAGTTGACGCACGCCTTGCAGATACCAGATATCGTATCGTCGGCATCTCCATCAACCGCATTGTTGCTCGACGGTGAGCGTAGCGGTCGTACGTTGGCTACCGGTGACCTGGCTTCATGGCCATGAAATATTCCCAGCGGCTGCGGCTGTATCACACAATCCATTCAAGGCGATCCACTGCAGCTGCTTGCCTCCTTCAACCAAGCAACCTGGCCACACGCCCAACCGTTCCACGGCCGTGCGAGCAACCGAGGCGTGTATCAGCATACAGCACCAGCCGTGTAGCAAAGACAGGAGCGGACGACGACGACACTCTGGGTTGCGGTTGGTACCTTCCCAACCGTGCGCCACGAAAATCCCAACAAACCGGTTTCAGGCTGCCACGCGTCTCTTGTTTTTATAAGTTATTTTTGTGGGGTTACTTGGTGAACGAGATCTTCATCTTCTTGCGCTTCGGCGGCGACGCGACGGGCATGACGGGCTCGGGCATGACGGGCTCGGGCGGCGGCGACGCTTCGGGCGCGGCCGCCATTGCAGCATCGAGCGACCGCTTGACAGTGGCGGGCGGCGCCGTGGGCGCAGGCGTCGGCGACGTCGCCTCGGACGGCGGGCCTGATTCGTCCGTCGTCACCTCGGCAGCGACGTCGACCGTCGTCTCTTCTGGCGTCATATTGTCGGGCGGCGTCTCGTCCGTGTCGTCCGCCACGACGGTTTCTTGCGACGCCTCGGACGCGGCTTGCGCAGCCGCCTTGGTCGGCGACGAGAGCGCGGCGGCCGCGAGCTCTTCGAGCTTGGCGAGGTCCTCCTTCTTCTTCTTGAGCAGCTTCTGGCGCATCTCCTTGGCGATCTTCTTGCCGCCAATGTCTTCAAACACAAACTCGGGGAGGTTCTTCCACACAACCGGCGTGATCTTGACGTCCATGCCGTCGACGCGCTTGGGCCAGCGGTAAAGGCTGTTCATCTTGAAGTCGTCGACCGCGCCATTCAAGTGGATCTCCTTCGAGTTGCGCAGCTTGAGCTTGTCGACGTCAAACGCCAGAAAGTACGTGCCACCGTGCTTCTCGTCGTCGGGGTCGGACGCAAAGGAGAGCGGAAACTTCTTTGGGTGCACGCGGAGGCGGCAGAGCTGCGGGTTGTAGTACGCGAGGCTGTCGACGAGCTTGCGGAGGCGCGACTCGGCATAGCCGCACCACGCGGCCTGGTCGTCGACGTTGCTCGTGTAAATCTCAATCGCGAGGTAGTGCTGGTGGTCGACAAAGTACGGCGACGGCTCAAAGAGCGCCGACCAGTCGCTGCCGCCGTCCTTGATGATGGTCTTGACGACCTCGAGGCCGCGCTTGAACTCTTCCTTCATGACGCTGAGCGAGTGCACCGACACGTTGTACGACGAGTTCATCGACGGGTACGCCGGCGTCAAGATCGGCATCACTTGGTACTTGTTGCCGCCGACGTTGGCGTTCCAGACTTCGAGCCCGAGGTGCGCATCGTGCGTCTTGCAGAGCTACGATTGTGAGATAAGATGAGAAGAATTGTACGAAAGGACGCACTTGGATCGCGAGCGGCCACTTCCAGTTGGTCAAGATCATGAAGAAGCGGAGGAGCAGCGTGGACGGCGCGGCCGTCGGGTAGAGCTGGTTGATGAAGCAGACGAGGATGCACCAGTTGACGCCGCCAAGGTAGCCCATCTTGTTGGAGTAGAGGCCGCGCTTCTTGGCCCAGCGACGCACGATGCGGAGGACCGAAATGAAGCTGCTGCGGTTGGGCGTCAGCTAAGGCGTAGGTATGAGACAAAGGTGGAAGGCAGGCTGTGTACCTTGATGACGAGCTCGGTGACGCGCGGGCCGTTGAGACTCTTCTCGGTGGGCGTGTCGACGCCGACGAGGATGTTGTCGTCGAGCACGTTCAGGTTCTCAGGGATGCTATTGCGCTCCAAAATAGCAATTTGCAAATCGATGTTGATTTCTTCATAATCAAACGTAAGGATGGGCACGATCGCGCCTTCGATGGCGACGAGGTTCGTCACCTTGGTGTGCTTGAGGAGAATATCCTTTAGGGACGAGAAGAAGTCGTCGCGGGTCACAAACTTGGGCGCGACGCAGATCGTATCGATATCCGCGCCGGGCTCGTTCACGCCGAGCCGGTACGAGCCCGAGACAAGGATGATGCCACCGGCTTCGTTCGCAATCTCCTCGGGAAGACCGCGCTTCAAGCACACGTCCTTGACCCACGCGCGGAAGATGCTGCGGAGCTCGCCCAAGATGATCGTGCGGCGCTGGATGTTCTTCTCGACCTCCATCGGGAAGTGCTCGTCCATGTACGCCTGCAGCTTCTCGCTCATCTCGACGTCGGCGGCCTCGGGCGGCGTCGTCCGGATCGCCTTGTACGCTTGCTCCAGCACCATGGCGGCCGCAGCGCTTGTCTCGGCCATGCTCTTCTTCCTCTCCGGCCCGAATTCGCAAATGCTTGTGCTGGCCGCCGGTTCGATGTCCGGATAACGATCCACCAACCGGAACGCCATTAAAAAATTATTCCGACTCTGTATTTTATCACATGGACTTTGTATGTCGGGTGATGTTTCGGAAATGCACGGAATAACCGTTGATTTGCGGAAATATTGGCGCGACGCATCGAACCACGCATACAAAGATCAAGCTTGCGCGCGCGATGTGGTATTTTCGGATCACTGCAACCCAACCGCCAAGTTGTGCACACAAGGACCTCGTCGAAGCAACTTCCTAGCTCAAGGTCCGGGTATTACTCAGCTGGGTATGACGACCTCACGTACCGTTAGTACGTGGCACGCTAGAAACGCGCCTGCATACTAAAATTCGGTTGTGGCGGTCGCCAGCGCTTGCCAGTACCATCCCGCTGCTATTCACGAGCATAGACTCATGCTGGGCTTTGAACGAAGTGACACCGGAAACATCCGAGACTGCGCTGAGCTTGGTTACCCCAGCGTTGGCGCTTTTGGCGCGATCATGGTCGGGGTGGCGCTGAGTTGGTGGATATCCGGATACGACTGGGCGGAGCCGGTTTGGTTCATCCGGATACGCATTTAACTCCGCAAAATTGCGACGGCAAGATGGACGGCGAGACGAAGAAGTTGTGCTCGGACGTCTTGGATGAGTTCTTCAAGATGGAAGCCTCGGGTACGGACGACGCTGGGTATGTGAAGGGTCATCTGACGTGAAGCCATGAGCAGAGCCCTTCCGGGAGCGCGTGAACTGGGAGGAGTGGGGTCTCTACGACTACCTCCAGGTCGTCAAGACGCCCATGGACATGGGCGCGGTCCGCATCAAGCTCAACAAGGGCGAGTACAAGAAGCCGGAAGAGTTTGCCAAGGACATGCGTCTTATCTGGGACAACTGCAAGTTGTACAACCAGGTACAGTATCATCGTCAATGCTTGCTCGCTCATAATACACTCGCTTGCAGGATGGCTCGGAGCTCTATGCCGTCGCGCATAGCCTTGCCAAGCAGTTCGACGACAAGATGAAGCATCTCAAGCTCGACGATGGCCCGCCGTCCAAGTCGTCGTCGTCGTAAGCGCGCTTGGCCTGTGCACGCCGGATGACAAGCGATCGCTAGGGACCCGTCGCTGGAGGACCGCATTGTATTTAGCCAAGACATTTACAAGATCTCTAGCAAGGACCTCGGCACGATCGTCGAGATGCTCGAGGAGCGCTGCCCCAAGGCGCTCGACAAGGTAGATAACCACCTCGTCCTCCTCGCCTGCGCTCATGCAACGCGTAGCAAACGTCGGACGAGCTCGACGTCAACATTGACGCGATTGACGCCAAGACGTTCAAGGAGATCGAAGTGTTTGTCAAGGAGTGCATTCCAGGCGGGAGCGCGCCCCGGACACTGAAGAAGGGCAAGCGAAAGAGCAAGGAGAAGGACGAGAAGACGCCATCGAAGCGCCAGAAGGAATAGAAACTACGTAGCCTCCATCTATACTCTCTTGTATTGGCGTAGTACTTTTACTCTGATTGGCTTCGAAGCGCCGCCAAGTTGAGCTTGGGCACGCCGGGCGTTGGCGCCGTCGGAGGCGCAGCGACGTTGCCTCGACTCCAGCCTTTACCGTCCGCGTTGGCCTTGCGAGGCGACGCCGGCGCGGGCTCCATCGAACGTCCGCCGCACTTTCGCTGCGACTTCCATTGGCTCTGGGCCACCGGGATGACGGACATTGGATGGCGGTTCGTGTCCTTCCGCGCCGTGCGAAGCACCTGCTGCTGGACGAGCAAGGCAGCTTGGTTCTGGCGAGCAATCGTCTTCTTGAGCTTCTACGCCATCACGGGTGTCACGAGAAGCGTAGACAGACGAGCGTACATCGTCGGGATCCTTGCGCGGTGTCGCCGACGCGAGTAGCTCCGTCTTGTGCAACTGCATTTGCTCCCTACGAGCATCCACGCTACTGTACGTCACTAATCAAGTCGATTGTACTTGAGAGGCGGCGCCCCGTCCTTGCTGTGGTCCCACGCATCGCCATAGAGCTCGCGCCCGCGCGCGAGTATCGCGGCCCAGGTTGGATCGTTGTCGTTATCCGTGTCGTCCTTGGCCATGGACGGGTAGCTCTGCGCCTCCATGGCGGCGCGGGCCGTCAAGAGCTCTTCAACGTGGTCGTGCATCTTGAGCTGCGCCTGGCGCACCTGCAGCTTCCTCTGCAGCGTCTCGATATACCGGTTGAGGTCGTGCTTGCGGCGATGGATGTTTTCGGCGAACGTGCCATTGGCGACGGCGAGCGGGGCATGGTCTAGGAGGGTCGCGAATGAGACGGCGTCGCAGGCCATGGCCCATACACTGGCGCCGGCCGCGTCGGCTCGCGAGCTTCCAGAGGACGACGAGCACCAAGAGGCAGCCGCCGGCCACGACGAGGTAGAGCGGCAGGCCCTCGGACGGCGCCGCCTTCATGGGGCGAATCTTTTGAATCTATTTTTAGATCCACCAGTTGCGTGCCGGATCAGTTGTTGGCTGAATCATACACTATTTCGGTAGTCGGCCAGGAACCACGAATCACGACTCTGGAAAGCGTTCCTGCTGCCAGCACACAACAATGGCGTCCTTCCGTGCGCCTTTGTTCAGGCTACCAGAATCTGTGGGGTCGGCAAAGGAAGCGTCGCATGCATATACGCACAGGCGTGGTGGCGATGAC